CTCCTGTTCCTGATTAGCAAATAACTGCACAACCTGTTGCATGCCACAGAAGCTGAAGCTTTTGTTCTTTTTGTCATAATCCCCTGTGTAATCCTCCTGTGCTCCTTTGTGGTACAAAGTCCTAATTCCCAGCTTGTGAAGGAGATTTGTGTCATCGGGAATAAGTATGGTGGGAATTAAGCAATGTGTCTTTTTTTTTTTACTGTGTCAGTGATGCATTGAATTTGAAGGAGTAAGAAATAACCCAAGCCTGGAGATGATCGCTTAAGATGCTTAAAAAACAAAACCACCGCAAGCATTTTGACATTTTTGGAATATTTCTGTCGTGACTCAAAGCCAACAAGATTTTTGCCGTTTTTCCATTACTGGAAAATTTAATTTCAGTCTTCGTCTCTCAAATATGTAAGCCTTCATTTACATGTTTATCAGGCTTGCAACTTTTCCTCGGATCAGCTGATTTCCTCTTTTTTTTTTACTTCCCATGTGTGCCATTGAAAATAGAAAAACACTTTACAAAGTCTTGGAAAGATTTGAATTTCCTCTTTTTTTGTGACTTCCCAGTTGCATGCCTGGTTTATATTCTAACACTTGTTATCAGTAAAGCAACAATGTATTCTGTAGATAATATCTACTAGTAGTAGTAGATATGCCGTGTTTTTCATGTTTGTGACAAGATGCACAATATGGCTATTTTTGGTCGGAGTCCTTCACATTAGCTCATGTGTAAAGCATTCATGAAATAGTATAATGGCGAGAAGTATTTGATTTCAAAAATAGGTTCGTGCGACATCACTCCATCATCCACAGAAAAAAAACAACCCATGTCTATTTGCGGTGTTTCAAAAGGTGGAGTTTGAGTTCAGGTTAAATCCGGGCAGTCACCGTATATGCATTCATGCACTTTTTGCACTCGGTTCAGTCATTTATTCATCCTGTTGGGAACAATGACGTTTTAAATTGCCTTCTGGATCTCAAACTTTCGGAAAAGTCTTCTAAATATAATTCACAAATGATTTTTTTTGGGGGGGGGCCATAATGGATGTGGAGGTTTGCATTTTGTAAGCAATCCCGGACTTCCTTGTCCAACAGAGCGTGATATTAAAAAAAAAAGACAGAGACAAAAACGAAAATGTATTGTTCTTATTGTGCAACAATTGCTTCTAAAGTTTAGTCAAAGAAATGCAATCACAGATATGTCAAGTCTAAAATTGGCCCCACTTTGTCATTACATTTACGTGAATAGACCTTGTGACCAGCTCCACAATGGCGGATAATCGCGTAGTCGATGTGACAAGGCTTGTATTGATGCATGCACGGACTTTTTTACCCGTTTGACTTTTAGGCCTTATAAATTCTGTGCGCACAGCTGGTCAATATACATTTATTGGCTCAAAACGACATCTACCGGTACTGGTACAATAAGCCACCATCAGTTCAACAGGCATGCAACTTCTCCTCGTATCCGCTGATTTCCTCGTTTGTTACTTCTCATGAATGCCATTTCAAATTGAAAAAAAACACTGTACAAAGTCTTGTGTGGTTTGGAATTTTCTCGTTATTTCTAAATTCCCAATTGCGTGCCTGGTTCAACATCATTGTGCATTTTTTTTTCATATATAGTTCCATCAAATGAGGCAATTAATTAATATTTTTTTCATTTGTTAAACATTCATTCCACGTTTAACTGATTTTTGAGAGCAAATGACATACTTGTAATCACAGAGTTGATTTACCGGTACATGCCGCAAACTTGCTTGGAACTTTTCTGAATTTTAAAAAAAATCTTTCTTTGCATAAGTACCGGTATAAACACTGAGCAGTGCTTTGTATTAAACTTTTGGAGTAATTGAAATAAGTTGTTCGGCAAGCTGAGAACCAACATTCACTTAGCCCTTTTCACACTAGAGCCTCTCAACCCGGGTTGAACTCAACCCTGGGCGAACACAGTGCCGTCCCGGGTTGAGTTTTTGATTTTTCAACCCTGCATCGTTTCACACTTGTTTCATGCAAATCAAGCTTATCATGCTCAGTTACTACTGTTTTGAACCCTGGCAAGAATTTCAACCCGGGTTGAAAATCTCAACCCTGGTCTGGAGCAGGGTTGAGTTCAGCCCGGGTTGAAATCAATCTCGGGGTTGACGCAGGGTTGACGCAGGGTTGAAATTCTTCAAGTGTGAAACGATGCATGTTTTCAACCCTGCGTCAACCCCGAGATTTGTCTAGTGTGAAAAGGGCTTTTGTTTCACTTTTTGTGCACTTCAAAAGGATGGTTGGTACAATACAGCATTCGTGAATGCTGAACGCTTAAATTGCTTAAATTGGGTAGAATGGGGTCAACGAGTTTGCTGTCTTCATGTAAATACATTGTACATCTACAAAAACTAATGTATATTTCAGAGATGGTGACAATTTTTGCCACACTGGGATGGTTTCATTCATCACCGGGCCAGTTAACAGACAACCTCACCTTGTCTGCTCTGCCCCACCAATCAAATGAAAGTAGAGTTGGTTTTGGATGACCAAAGGCCTTTCAAACGTACATTGTACATTGTAACAAAGGCACTGGACGACTGATGAGCGGTTTTACCTTGTGGTGTCAGCGATTCTTTCAAGGGACGCTGGCTAATTGCCGGTGTCATCCTCGCTAGATAATAGAGCAGGGAAAGGCCAGCACATATACCGGGGGTACACGTACCGGTAGTAACCAGAGGAATTCAAAAATACTCCAGAAGACTAAAATATTTGAATTGAAGTTGAAAGTGTAAATGTCTGGTGCCTGTCCATGGGTGGCACTGGATTCCTTAATATAATTGTGTTCATGATTTAAGTAACCTTTGTAATGAAAATTTGATTTGATGATAGTATCTAAAGCATTCTGACCGAAACCTTGAATTAAACATGTTAGGTCCCTCTCAAAACTATTTCATTCACGTTGAGAAAGTCACTTATCTGCAAATTTCTTGCAAGTCATTTTTTGACAAATTATCGTAATCATTTTTATAACATACATGTACACTGTACATACATGTAAACGGCTTTGGCTACGGCTTGACTTACACATGCCCCTATGGCAGTAGCGGCAGCCGCTTCCCATAGACCTGTGTGTAATCTCAAGCCGTAGCCAAGTATTTCGGACACGGCTATGCAGTTCTAGTGCTTTTTCAGGCACCAATTTCATGGAGCAGGAAACATGGTTTAGAAATTGTTTGTATTCAGCAAAAATGAGCCCAGAACCAGTCATAGGTACCCGGTGGTATAGACTTGCATGACATTTTGGCTGGTAACCTGTTTCTGCTCAGCAAGTATTTTCTATGCTTAGAAAAGATCTGTTTTTAGCAGCTGTGTAAAAATCCCCCCCCCCCCTCTTCATGTGTTCAAGAATCAAGAAAAGTACAGCACGTGCATGTGTGCTAGAATCTGATGTGCTTTGGCGATATTTGAGCCCAGATAACCAGCATAGGGACTAGGCGACTAAACCCACACCCACACCCACCATCAAAATTCCTCCCGGAGCATTCCTCGCATGATACATTTGGTCTCCAGTGTCTTTTGCTCCAGGGTACCTCAGATCTGGTTCTTGGTAAATAGACCTGTAATCCATCAAGCTATCATAACAAGCCTAGCTCACAGTAGCACCCATTTGCATCATACTTCAAACTTTCTTTTATGAAACACCTGTTTTAAATGGCTATTTAATTTGGTTGGTATTTCAATCATAGCCTGGGCGCCCAGGCCAGCATACATGTATATATCACCTCTTGAGAAACCCAAATGCAGAAAACAAACAACAAGCCTTGAACCCTTCCCCCCTCAAAGAAAAAAAAAAAGACAACCCACAATAAAATACACTCTTGGCCTAAGAACCTATACATTCCTTCCAGATGTATAGCTATTCTTGAGTTTTCTGTGTTTTCATTCTAAAAACATTCACTTTCATTGTAAACATTTGGATGAACTAAATGTTTCATTATTGCAAATCTGCTGGTACATGTATACATACATTTCGTACTTTTTTTGGGGGGGGGGGAGGGGGGTTCAGCATTAGTGTCATAAGAATTACAATTTAAAAACATACTTTTGATGCTACTAACTCCCTGAAAAGGAATGGCCTAAGCTTTGACAAACTTCTGATGGTTTATTCTTCTAGGTTCCTGCCAAGGAAGTACGAATTATCTTTCGCCACGTTAATTTGTTACCCCATGTTAATGATACATACAGGTGCATGCACTATGGGCGCCTTGTTATTTCTTGTTTGGTTTCCCTATGCACATACAAATGTACTTTGAGTTCATGAATCTGCCTACATCATTACACTTGAATGGACCTCACAGCTTGTTCAAGTGCCCAGTGGTTCAAATGAAACAGCAAACCAAACAATTACAGGATTTCCTCCAGGTGCAACTTTTCACATAGGTAATCATTTCAACTCAGGGAAAAACAGTGGGTGCCTAATGGATAGAAAGGGCCTAAACTATCCATCAGTATCATTGGAACGACAGTACATTACTTCCTGAATTGGTTAGAAGGGTCTCAAAGGGAATTCAGTAGGGATTCATATATGCCGTAAATCATGACCAAAACATACAGCATTTTAATTTGAGCGTTGTTTGAGTGATGGGTGAACAAGTGAAAACTATTTTCTAGATTGGTTCGCTGACAAGGTACCTTTCATGAATCTTACTGGCAGGTTTTGAACATATTTTGATTTTCCTTTTGCAGATTTCCAGGTGTTTTTTTTTGAAAAATTGGAGGAGCCAATTATAGATTTGGAATTATCTCAATTGTGTTTTTACATTTAATAGAAACAGTACTGTACAGGTAAATTTTCTGGCTTTTTAAAAACTGATCTGATAATTCAGATATTTAGTCTTCATGTGCATGGAAACATGTGTTTACATTTTGTCCAAATTTGTTTTGTACCGTAGGTTTGTAGCATTTTTGTTTTTGGCTGATCTGATTATTCAAATGACCAATCTTGTTCATTGTTGTCTTTGATACAGGTTGAGATAACAGTCTTGGATGAGAATGACAGCCCGCCGACCTTTGACCACCCAGTCTACACGGCCAACATCTCAGAAGAAGCCCGCAGCAGCTCCCCGGTCACCCGACTCACCGCCCATGACGCCGACATCGGCTCCAACGCCGAGATCTCCTACAGCATCACCAGGGGTAACGAGGACGGTCACTTCACCATCGACTCCAACACCGGCCAGATCCAGACCAGCGGGAGGCTGGACCGCGAGACTACGGCCATGTACACACTTGAGATCCGCGCCAGCGACGGCCGGCAAGACACCGTCACCTCGCTGGAAGTCAACATCCAGGACACCAACGACAACGATCCAGTCTTCACCGAGTCCATGTATTCCTTCAGCGTGCCCGAGAATCACCCAGTCGGCACTGTCGTTGACGCGGTCTCGGCCACGGACCCTGACGCAGGCACCAACGGTGACGTGGTGTACTCTATCGTCGCCGAAGGAGCACCAGGAGAAGATATCTTTAGTCTGGACTCACTGACTGGAGAGTTTACTCTCTTGACAGAACTGGATTATGAGCAGGTAAAACTTTGATAAAACTCTGTAATTTATTTAATTTACAAAAGTTGACTAGTATTATGCCTTCAATTGAACAAACATTTCCTTGTTGACTTTGTATTTAAAAAGTTGCTAAGTTATCTTTAACTTGAAAATCTCAGATCCTCACAAAACCATTTCTCAAAGTTAATTATTTCATATTAGTCTGAGGACAGATATTGCAGATTTACCACTGGTAAAGAGCAATTCATGTAAAAATAAAAGTGGCTGTCAAAACAATGTTCATACAAAAATCTAATTTGTTAGAAACTATTCTAAATGAAAGTTACAATGTGTTGAATTCGATGAAAGATGCTCCTAATTTTCATCAGAGTGTACACATGTACATGTAAGTAACTGAAAACATGGGGCTATTAAAACAGAAACACGGTACCTATTTTGTTCGTTGTTACAGAAACAAGTGTACTTCCTGACTGTGCGTGCCAATGATCGAGGTACCACCCCACGGTCCACCACAGCCTCTGTCTACTTCAACATTCTGGACGTCAATGACAATGCGCCGGTCTTTGATCGCACAAGCTACTGGGTTGAAGTGGCTGAAGATGTCGCCGTGGGGACGGGTATCGTCATGGTAACAGCAACTGATGCCGACTCAGGTATAGTTATTCTTGACTAAAACTTATTTTCAATCAATCTCTGAGTGTGTAAGAGATATTTCCTGGACCAGGATGTGAAACTGTTACCTCCGGAGCACTGAGGCATGCTCTTACAATAGACCTTTATCATACTGCCACCATTGCAGTCATGTTCCCTGTATCCAATAACAATACTGAATGATAATGTTTTTTTGGTGCAAAAAGGAACCAGACTATTTTTCCTTCAAGCCTCGCTTTTGGTTACGTTGATTTGAATGGGAAAAAAATACGATGGCCGCGACATGATAATTGTCTATGGAGCCAGCCAGCACCATGTTGGCAGTATTTCAATATGTCAATGTCCATATTCTTTTTATACAATACCATACTTTCCTAAAAATGAGCCGGTGCAACAAACTACAAAGATGCTGTAAAGCGCTGTTTTAGGGAACCATTTAGAAAATTATTTTCTGTCTGAGATAAGGGCCTACAGAAATTGAACTGTTTCAGAAAGTCTTAATTTGGTTGGTTGAGGACTGAAAAATATATATATTTTTTTATCAAACTTGCAAAATGTGTGAGAAAATAAAATAAAGAAAAGTCCCTCTTATATAAACAAGAAATCATTTTGCAAAGCCACTGTTGATGCTGTTTCCTAACAACCATGTGTTGGAGGCCAAGGAGTCGGTAAACTTGATCCGGGTAGAGCTCACCAAAGCTGCAGTGTTGCATTTTTGGCATCATCCTGTGTTGATTTTGGAAATGTGACTGCATTGTTTAGGCAACTCTGAGGAACCCAAACCCACCACCCTGTGGGTGGAACCAAATGCCGCCCCATATTTCACGGGTCTCTTGCGCCCAGACCCTCAAGAGTTTACCCAAATGTTGCAATGTTCGGGAGAGAAACTCACAACTGTTTGGAGAGAAATCTGTTCCCAGTTGACCCTGACGACAACCCGATCAGCATTGTGAATGTAACGCACCAATCACGCCCCAAAAGTGTATCAACAAACCTCCCTTGCATGTGAGGTCGCAAAGGTCACACATTGGTATTGCTCTAGAGATTCAATTTGAGTCTGGTAGTGGAACGCATTCGATTGTATTTCTGTGTGCAAATTAGGATCTGTCACCCTCAGACCTTGGAAACCTTTCCGAAATCTCGTTTTTGTGATGTACCTGTCACCAACTGCATACCAAAACAAATTCCTTGGGAAATTACACAGTCTTTCCCAGAACGAAGAAAAGAAAAACAGAAGATAAGAACAGAGATACGACAGATAACATTCCATCTTTTTTATGTCATTAGTAATTTATTAAGAAGCTGGTTCAAAATGGCCAACCTAATAATTTTTCTCCGCACGTGAGTTCAGATTGTGTTGTTTATCCCAAAAGTACCGGTTTAATAATTAGGCAAGTAACTGATTTACTCAAGTACATTTTTTTTGGCATGCCTGCTGAAATCGCTCGGTCCCTGAAGACAGATTTATTTCCCAAGTCCTGCCCCGTTAGGTATGGGTGGCTGGCACCAGACAGCAGCACAATCCAGAACTTTTGTGGAGCTAGCAAAAAAAGTGTTATTTTACATCCCGGAAAGCGATCATCTGTCTAGCGCTGGCTGGGAAATGTCATTACACTTGTTCTGAAATTTCATCCTTTCCAGAATTAATGTAAAAAACATTATTTTGAGGGTTAATGATACTTGAATGCTTAGTTTTGTTTGCCACATGCAGAGTCTGCGTATGCAGTTTAGGTATTAGGAATTTAGGAACCTGATCTATTTTTTGGATGTATTTAAAACATTGCGTGTGAAGAGCCCATCATTAAAAATGATAACTTCCTGTCCTTCCCTTTCTAATCCATTAGAGGGCTGATCATCTGAAGTAACTGCTCGCGATGAATGTGATTAAATTCACTTGTATGGTTAACTGGTATTTTTCTTTCTATTTATGTAATTTGAAAACCTCCATAAGGCCAAAAAAAAAAAGTCTCCGGTTTCTGGTATGGAGCTTGCCCCAAAAGTGGTGCGGCGACGCGGCTTTTTTTTTTTTTTACCTGTTTTTTTTTTTTTTTTGGCTTCAAATGTCGGCTGATGACTGCAAATGGTGCCCGACTAAACTTAGTGCAAATATATGGGAGTCCAGAGAGGTCACATAAAGCTTATTCTCGATCATAACCCCATCTAAAAAACACGTTAAAATTGTGCAGCAGCAGGATTCCAGTCAAACCAGTGAGTTTGGCGGTTTTGAGACATCATCTTGTATTGAAAAAAAAACCTTTTTCATTTTGCCGACGCGCATGGCTACGGCGACGCGCGCGCATACCAGAAACCGGAGACAAGAGAATGTCATAACTTCAATTCTGAGTCTCATAACATTTTTAAGACTTTAAGTAAAAAGTAAAAAACAAGCAGTCCCATCTGTACGAGAAAAAAATAACAAGTTTTCATGTTTTTTTGGAAATTGTATTTGCTGTATTCTTACAGTGTTTTTCTTTATGTCTTGCATGCAGGTTACAATGGAGAGATTGTGTTCACCATTTCCTCCGGTGATCCAACTAATCGTTTCACCATCCACCCCAACGGTAGCATCACCACCATCATGGGGCTTGACCGCGAGACGCAATCCTTCTACAATCTTGAGATCACTGCCACGGACCAAGCCGCCGACCCGGCCCTGCAGAAGTCCAGCATGGCCCAAGTCACCATCATCGTCTTGGACATCAACGACAACGCACCGGTCTTCACCACGGGTAACTATGCAACCGTGCGAGAGGACACCGACGTCGGAGAGGTCGTGATGTTCGTCCAAGCGGTCGACGCTGATGTTGAGAAGAACAGTTACATCGAGTTCTCCCTGTCTGGAGTTACAGATGGAGTATTCCTGATCAACCCGGTCGATGGCAACATCCGCTTGTTGAAGTCCCTGGATAGAGAGACTGTCCCCGAGTACAACATCACAGTCAATGCCACCGACAAAGGCCAACCCCCTCAATTCACCACCATGGACATTGTAATCAAGGTCTTGGATGTCAACGATAACGGGCCCGTCTTCGATTTGGACTCTTATCATTCCTCTCTACCAGAGGATGTTCCTGTTGGCTTGGAATTCCTCAAGGTGGGTGCGGCTGATGCGGATGAAGGGATCAATGCAGAGCTGCGATTCTCCATCTTCAACGGCAACTACGACTCGGACTTTGACATCGACCAGACCACCGGAGTCCTATCTGTTGCCAACGCGCTGGACCGTGAGCGCCGCTCGTCCTACTCGCTGATCGTCCGCGCTCAGGATAACGGAGATGGATCGCATATCTCCTCCACCACCGTCACGATCACCGTCCAAGACATCAACGACAATGCCCCAGTATTCCTGACGCCTTACACCCCGAGAATCACAGAGAACAACCAACCGGGAGCTCTCGTGGTCCAAGTATCTGCCACCGATGATGACGAGGGGACCAACGGCCAGTTGACGTACCGCATCAAAGGCAACGACTATGACGGTCTCTTCACCATTGTACCTGACACTGGGGTAATCAACGTAGCTGCGTTGCTAAATCGTGAGGAGGTGGACAGCTACACGCTCAGGATTGTCGCTCAGGATTCAGGTTGGTGAACACACTTGTTCTTCTCTTAGACCCTGGGTCTAATTTCATGAAGCTTCTCAGCACAGAATTTTGATAAGCAAAATAGTTGCTTTGCAAAAGCAATCAAAGTTCCATATGATAGTTCCAGATGATGTTGCCATATGATTGACTACGTCTCAACAGATTTTTGCTTATCATATTTTTGATTATCTTTCAATGTGACTATTGGCAATTTAAAAAAATATCATTGTTATAAAGGTCATCAAGGTTTATTTTTTTCAAAAAGAAAAAGTTCTTCATCCTCCTTAGTCCTTAGCATTCATAAAAAGATTTCAAAGCCTTTATCTCCATATCAATGCAGCATCTTGTTTTTTTCATAAAAACTTTTAAAATTGACACAATCCAAGCAAAACCAACACTTCAACAAGTGCAATAGTGGTTTTTGGTATTTAGATCAAGTTTCTGTCTACCCTCTGTTGATACAAGCATGGTTAAATTCCCCAGCGAGGTCTGATTAATAAGTGGGTCAGGCAAACAGACACAATTTAAGAGTTTGTCATGAATGGGGAAATTGGGTTTGTTTGGCAGTGGCACAGTTTGCGGATCAGCCGGGCCACTCGTTCTCACTCCTCAGCGAGATCAATCTATTGTCGTCAGGGGTACTGGGGAGGCCGGCAAATCAATCAGGTCATGTATAGTTAAAACCACACACCAACAAAAAAAACCTACATTTTTCTGTCCCACGAAAGTATACTTTCAGTACCTTGTGATTGCATTCAGTTCTCACTAATGGGAAGCACATCTCTCAGGTTTTTTTCATGTAGATGATAGATGTAGCATTGGTAGACTCCAGTCACGAATCAGTTTTGTCGTAGATGTCGTAGTCTGACACAATCTTTTCTTTTAAATTCTGGATGTCTTGCTTTTGCCCTATATGTAAACATACATCATGTTGAGTCATTTTGAAACCTAGTTTCTGCTCATTAACGTCCATACTATTTACTTTCATAACAATCCTGGAAATTGGAGAAGTTGAATTTGTGAGACATCTTTCAAGGAGCTAATCTGCCTGCATCCATGGGGGTCTAGGAGTGACCTTACCTCAAAGCGGGTACAATGAATGGCTGAATTTATAAACTTGTGGTAAATTTATTGGCTGCATAAAACCCCCTAACCCTAGAATAATAAGGAACCTGTATCATAACGGTTCCAAAACAAAACTATTATCCAAAGATTTAAGAGTCGATTAACTTCATTCTTTTTACCTTTTTTCTGGCACGAAAACTAGACATCGATGACTAGGGACTCATTGATACGTCTAGAGCTCAAGCCTGCTTTTTGGTCGAATCATTAAAAGGAATTTTTATTCCCTATGCTCAAATCATCATGTCAACTTCAATTTATATCGAAATATAATTTAACCCTAACTCCCTAGGCATTTTCGCTGTGATGCAACCTCAATCCTGCAAAATCTTCCAACCGCCTACATGTTGTCAGTTTTTTTCTTGAATGTGGTCCTTTGAAGGGTGGCCACTGCCTCAATCCTGTGAACTCCAGCAATCACTGTCAATATGTTGAGGCAGAGCCAGTGACATCCTGGAGCAGTGCTAAGAATTTTAAGTATAATCTAGGCCTAAATTTCTGCACGGCTGAGCATTTATGCACAAGGTCTGGCCCAAGACCTTGACACAGTGCATCTTCCAAAATAAGCCACACATTTTTGCCATGTATAGCCTCAATCCTGCAAAATTCTGCGTTTTGCAAAGAGGATTCTGGAGGATTTGGGAAGGTTAGGGTTAAATTTTCCTTGAGAGTATGGCGCTTCTGGAAAGACAAATGCCATCAACACTTTTGCAAAAGTCCAGGGACTGAAAGATCAAGAAGATATCTTGTTGAAACACAGTTCGATGACAAAAACCATTACCGTTCAAATAGGTGTGTGACTGGTTTATAAGGATGACATCAGTGTTCGTGTTTTCCTGTTACTCATGAAAAGCGCTTTTCAAAAATTGATTGAATCTAGTGATAGGATGCAAGAAGAAAGAGGCATGTATGGTTGGAAATAAAAACTGCCCTTGGCATTGAAGCAGCTCAACATTTGAACCTGTTGCTCATATCTGACTCCTGGCCACCTGCCCTGCCCCTGTTTCCTGAAGCTTGTGTTCTTACAAGTGGCTTAAAAAATTGATGATGTCATCTATTATGTACATGTATGTTGCTAGCTGTTCAAGACATTTGCTGTTGGTAGATTAGAAGTAGTTTTATGGATGGAAATGTGAAGCAACTTTGAACATTTGAACCTGTTGCTCATGTCCCGCAGCTGCCCTGGACAGTGATATTTCCTGGGGCTCATCTTCGTTAAGTAGCTTTACAAATTGATGATGTCACTTATCATGACATGACATGTTCTGTACATGTTGTCGGATGTCCAAGACATGCACTTTGGTACATGTAGTTTCAAAGTCAATTTGTTCTAGTGAAAAGTACATTTGTTTGGGAAAATAACAAGTATTTTATGGTTATTTTGTAAGCAATTGAATTTAATTCAAGTTGCTCTCAAAGTACGTGCAGGTATCCACTATTGGGGAAAAACTGGTGAAACATTCAAATAATTGAATAGGTGGTCTTCATGGTGGTATTTACAATATATTATATTTACATTGTTCATTTTTAAACAAGTTTACAAATGTATACTGTACTGTTACAAATAGGAATTCATGTTCAGGTGTTTTGGTGAAATGTTGGATTTTTTTCTCCAGTACCGCAATACATGTAAAAATTAGGTTATTGGAAAAAACCTAAAGAGTTTTGAAAGATGGAATATAATTTAGGCAAAAGTGAGCTAAATTACCCATTGTGCACATACATGTACGTGTAATTTACCTTCACAGAACTGGTTTGCACAGAATATAGAGTGACTGTGCGTAATCACCTGTCTGCTAAAAATAGAATCATCAGAATGACACGCACCTAGATTTTTTTCCCAATCGGAAACTATTTCCCAAGTTTTGACAGCAGGTAAAATCAGTCAACCCTTTTGTTGGCAACGACTAATTCTATGGAGTGAATGCCAGGGCACTGCGGCGGAACCTTAATTGATTAGTCTGCAGGATTTCTCCTTGGGTGATTTGTAATTGGCTGTTAATTTCCCATGACTTCCTCGCGTGTTGCCTGCGCTTGTCCCAGGCCAATTCAGGCCGGACCCCGCTGCTTGTTTGGCTGTGCAAATATAGGCTAATTTGTAGTACTTATGTGGGAAGCAAACTGGTTAATGTGTCTATGTACATGTACAAGTGTACACAATGTTTATATACATTTAGTAAGGTTACATTGTATACAATGTAATTAAATGTACACAGATCACTAATTGAATGAAACACCATGATGAGGGAGATTGAAATTACATTTTAAGTCTGCTCAGGAAAATAACCAGAAAGTGTAGTCAACTTTCGCCTGATATTTTGGTTGTGGATGATGTACATGTAAATGGCTAAAGGTACATGTACGGTACGTTATCAAAGTACGTTTTGACATGAGCATTGTTTGAGTTTCATAAGTGGTTCATGAATATATTCAAGACTCCACTCAACTGTCTTGAAGTTCTGTCCCATTTTAACTTCATGTTTTCTCAAAGAGAAAGTGGTAAGGTTCATGAAAACATATTTGCCTTAAAGACTGTCTTGCAATTCTGTCGCATTTCAAATTCCAGGTTTTTTCATATATCCATTAGAGAAAGTGGTCGTATCGGCTCCATGCGCAAAAACAAGAGGGGGTGTTTTTTTACTACTTTTGAGAGCGATTTTGAGGTGCAATTTATTTTATTTTGAATACGTTTGCTCAAAGCTGCAGCATCTTCGCATGAGTCAGGGGTGTGAAATCTCAGCTTTAAAGCTGATTTCAGCTGTTTTTGTTTTGGATTTCAGCTTTTTCCCCCCTCACTTGCTGTGTACAAAAGTATAGGAGATTTCCAAAGTTCAGCTTTTTTTACACCTTTTCCAGCTGTTTTCAGCTATTTTTATCAGTGGTCACTCACACCCCTGATGAGTGTCAGGCATTGTCTGGCAATGCATTCCATGATGTCTCTTCCAGTGGTCCCCTCCCCCCCCCCCCCAACTCTCTTAGTTTCTTACCATTGTGGGGTACTTGTGCACAGAGCTCTTAGAAGTGCTTCATGTTATTTCTCCAATTTTTCCAAGACAAGACCAATACCCTCTTCCAAAAATGACAAGTTTTTCCCTTTAAAAACCTGCTCCAGGTGGCCACATGAATGTCCTTTTCGGCGTTCATGTAGCCTGTAACTTCACTCTTTTGTTTGGAAACAGCGGAATGTTATCTTTCCCTTTGGAATGGGCTTGGGGTCCCTACCAGTGTCTGATTACACCGCTTGGAGGTTCTCCCATGGCTGGGCAAGGAGCTGAGGCCGCTCCCTCAACTGGTGCTTAGTCCACAGTCACTGGACCCTGTGATTTGATGCCAGTGGTTTTTGGGCCCAATATCTGGAGGGCATGTGATTAATTCTTGGGTTTTCCTGGGAAATTGTGTGGCGGTTTCTGTGATGGGAGAAGGCTTATTGTCCTAAAAATGGTCATTGTGTTTCACACAGGTTGACCGCTCTGTTATTAAAGAAATTATCTACATGTATACTTTTTTTCCGATGAGGTAGAAAGTGGGGGAAAATGAGCTTTTTCCCCTCATTTGTTTCAGGCCCTAACCCTGCTGAATCCAACAGGCTCCAACTATATCAACCCGTTGGAGCCTGTTGGATTGAGCAGTAAACTCCTTGTGCAAATTCAGAATAAGTGAGAGGTTTGCGGTATCGCCATGTGGAAATATCTCTTTTGTGAGTATGTGTGGTTCTGAAGAGAACCTGTTGGAATAACTCGACGTTTCGAACAGTATGCTCTGTTACATATTCAGAGTCCGATTCTGTTGGGTACTGATAAATAATGCCAAGTTGGACTCTGTTGGATCCAGCAGACAATTAAAAATTAGGCGCAGTTGGTTTCTGTTGGATTGAGCAGGAAGTAACCGTTGGACTCTGTTGGATTTAGTAGGGTAGTCCTGAGGAACCCTAAGGGGGTTAAAGTTTTAATGTGAGTACATTATGTTGCTGCCAAGACTGTCTTTTCTTTCTTGTATCTCAGATTCTGGAAACTTTTTATTAAGGCTTTTGGGGCATTTCCACAAGAAAAAATACAGTTAAGCACACCAGTAGTTAGTCAGCAGAAATAAATGTATTTCATCGGTACATGTTTTGTACCTACATAACACTTCACAACTTTGCAATTAAGTAACCAAATTTCCTTTTGTTTATCCAAACTAATGGAAAAAATTCCTCTGTTTATTTCTCTTCCCAGTCTCACAAACTTCTTCACAAAATCCTAGACTACCGTCCTTTAATTTTTCAATTTATTTCAAGCATCAAAATTTGCCTTGAAAAAGAGAGCGCCTCCACTTATCCTTACACACACTGTGTATACATTTGGCAGAAAATGCCTTCAAGGAAGTTCTGGAGTTCATTCGGCTGACTTGCGATTCCAGATTAGTTGCTACCAAATAGTTGTTGACAAAGCCCTCAGGATTTGATTTTTTTTTTGTAAGCTTCATTAATTTTTTACCCGTGAACGCTCCCCTGCAAGCTTTTTCCTTATTTGGAGGATAAGCACCTTCCTAAATGCACAGAAGATTGATTTGATACAGTTATAACGCTGGTTTGTTGTAATCTTTTCAGCACTTTTGAAACTTTACGGTAAAGAATCGAACCAGTAAAGCCAGAAGTCAGTTCTGTGTGCGCACATGCTCGGGGGATTAACGGATATTCCGGAGTCTTTATTGAAAGTGCCAGTCCCCATTTCTCGGGGTAAAACAAACTGAACATGACTGGTGTATCGATCGGGGAGATTTTCGGGCAAAGTCGCCGAGCCACCCTCCGGTTTGCTGACAGAACTGAAGCCGTACTTTATATACTCGGAGATGGTTATCATGTTACAGGATCGAAAGGTGGATTCATTGCCTGGGAGGGCAGGCATTGTTGTGTGTAAACCATGCCCTGGTTGAGCAAAATTAAGACAGAAACTACTAAAAAAAACCTCTGGAACAAATGTTTCGATGCAATACAATTTGCTCTGGTTGCCAAAAGTCTTTTAAAATTTAACCAGTAGTGAATCATCTGAAGCGTTATGCAGACCGAACAGCTGAAAGCACTGGCTTTGATATTGCCAAACGTTCTCAAGATCCAAGACTTGTCAAACCTTGTTGCAATCATGACTCCATGTTAAACGAAAGCAGGAAATAAAAATTAGGTTTTCAAACTAGAGCTGTGTTTACTGTGGCTATTCAGACAGAAAAAAAAGATTTTGTACATTTTTTTAAATTCAAGATATTAATTCCCACACACATGTTGCTTCTTATGTTGAGAAAATTGTGTGTGTGCAGTTATAAGAACTGGATCAAGGACTGAAGCTAGTCCAAAAATAAGAACAAGGTAGCTGTCCAACCCGTGAATTTGTGGAGTTGAACCAGGATTGGCCAGGTTGGAATTTACCACTCACGGGTCAAAATGGCAATTGTGTGAAACGGCCTCATGGGTGCCATATGTGCACCGCAGACATTGAAGATCGCTCGGACCAGTGTGCTAAGTTACACAATGAAATTCTTGTGGTTCATGAAATTTTATGATTCGCACTAAAACCAACAAGAAAGCACAAACACACTTTTACTGTTCATGGAAATAGTCGCATGCAGAACACTTCAACCGACAGTACAACCACTCTTAGGTTATTCACTCTGTTCTGATCTGTCCATTAGATGACCCGCAAGAACACCGTTTTTTCTCAATAAAATTATCTCGGCTTCGTAAATCACCAAATCGCATTCCCGCAATGAGAGTGCAGACATAAATAAAAGTCAACTTGTTAGTTTCAAGTGCATATGTACACAGTTTCAGAACGAGCTTGTTTATTTACCCGTGACTTGCCCTGGAAAAACACGACCCACTTGTATAATTTTTTTTTTCAATTTCCATTAAAGTCAAACTGTTTACACAGTGTGTGCTTCATGTGCCAAACATGACCCAGTTGTGAAATTTATTTTCATTTAAAAATCAAATATTTAGAGCTAAACATACCGGTATCTGTGGCAGAATAAATCCCCCCCGCCCTCCGGCAATTTATTTGGTGAGGGAAGAGTTCTTGGAGTCGTCAGTGGCTTTGAAGTCACTAGGTTCAGAAATGCAGTGGCATACGTGACAAAATCAATGTATTAAAAAAATGGGCAAAACTATTTTAATGGTAACTCGTCGTTAAAAAGGTGAGAGAAAATAATATTATTGGGCCCAGGGGGGAGAAAACAGCATCCACATGTATTTCTTTTCCTTTGATGGGAACTCACTTAGGTAGAGGAATAAATCAGTGGATAATGTCTTTGTGTTCTGGCTGGCTTTGACCCCAAGTCTGTAGGGAGTAGCCATGGGTGGCTGGCAACTTTCAGAAGAAGAGTGGCTCAAAGTCTTGAAAGATTTCTCAATTAAAGGGAGGGTTGTCAAGTCACTGTAAATCTGTCTCTTGCCAATGTAATTGTAGTTTGGGCCCGAGCTATCGCGCTGAGCAAATAAGTGAAAGGTAATGCTTTCAGGAACAAACTTGCTTCAAAAAGTTACAAAATCCATTAATTTAATAGATTCTGAAGAGAATACAAACCTACCGGTACTTTTTTGTTTCCTTCCTGATTAACACCAACTCCCCAGTGTATTTTACTTAGTATGCCAAAATCCTTCACTAACCCTGCTTGCTTTAGGACTTCATCCGCTGAAATCCACCACAAGACCACCACTACTATAGGTGGATTTTGAGGGACTTGGTACTCACGGCTTGTCTACCAAAATCCCCAAAATGGGAGGATGGATTTTGATGGAGTGTGGGAAGGAATAGGGTTAAAGCCAGTGCGAGAATGCTTTTACTTATGTACAATGTAGATGCATTTGTACTTCTTCTTTTAAAGTTAGGTGTACCGTACTCTGAAAGCAAAGATACATCCGGCTATTTATAGCTAGAATTCACTCTTAAATCCACGAGGTTGTTGTCACACAGGAAATCTCCGATTACCCTATACGCATTGTCTTACATCACAGAGGGTGTTAAATCAAAGAATTAATTTACTGGAGGAAATTGGATCAGGAGGATTTTCAGATTTGCAAGTTGTTGATGACCACATTGTCATGACAGAAATGTCCTGTCCCCTCCCCTTTAATCCTCTTTAATCCTACAACAATTAAAAGCTGTCCTCCGTCTTTGTCACTTTGAACCACCTGCAGGGAGTCCACCACGCGAGGGCGCCACAGACATCCTCATCACCGTCGCAGATGACAACGACAATCCACCTCAGTTTGCATACCCCCTCTACATTACGACCTTACAGGAGGAAATCGGTCCCAACAGTCCGGTCCTCCGAGTCACTGCTAACGATGCTGACTCCACTGCTGACTTGAGGTATGGTCGTCATTTCTTGCTGTTGGGACCTGGAGAGGAAGACAGGTGTTTAAGTCCTCCATCTGACAATCTGTTTTCAAGTTTACGTCACTGGGTTTTTGTAACATGGCCGGCCAGGATTTTAAAGTCTTTCACTTCAGAACAAGTCAAAAGTAATATTTTTGAACACTGTTATGTTTGTATGGTAATATCAAACATGAAATATTAATAAAATGTGTTATTTAAATGAATAGAAAATGACAGTACTCTACTATATCAAAAGACATCTTTTATAATGGGATCAATAAAAAAAAATATGACGGGAATCATAATAAAGCTGAACCGTTTTCAGTATTGCCAGATAAAACAAAATATACAAACTTGATACCATTGTTGTCTATCGGTTGAAATAGAAAAGAAGTGAAAAACAGAGAATTAAAAGTGAGAACTCAAAATATTCCACATTTCATTTGTACCTTTTTGTTAAATAGGTATTTTGAGAATGACGGCTTGTGTTTAAAAAAAAAAAGGAAATCAAGTTTTTTGGGGATGACAATTTTTAGATGAACTTGTGGGGAAACTTTCGAAAATTTTGACCAAACATTAAAGTTTAATAATTTCACAATTTGAAACGTTTTCGTTTTATCCATTCTTGTACATATAGATACAGACTGGATACAGCCATCGGGAACAAGTTCACAATTAATCCAATCACGGGCCAGATCCTGACCACGTCCGGCCGATTGGACAGAGAAGACCAAGCCAGCTATGACATCATCGTCACCGTGGAGGACGGCACCACGTGGACCAGCCAAACCACCGTCAGAGTCAATCTGCTGGATATCAACGACAATGCTCCACAGTTTGCTGTGCAGAGCTATCAAGCCCTTATACCTGCTACAACATCAACAGGTTGGTGTTTCCAATGAATTACAATATCCACTTTGGGATTGAGCTGTTCCTCCTCAAGCCTGTCAGTTAACACTCGATACTTAACCCTAACGCCCTAGCGTCTTTTACTAGGAACTGGACCAAGTCCATCAAAATCCATCAGTCACTATGCTTCCAATACAAAACTGTACATGACATAATGGAATCCACCACTGACACAATGGTTGACATTCATGGACTTGCTAAACATGGCTTTTATGGCAATAAGAGTACAGGAAGCTAGGCAAAATGCCCTTGCACTGCTTCAGGCCATTAGGCCCAAGTCTGTCATACTCCATCAATATTTAGTCACGCCAGGCCTCCTGGACCCCAAAATCCACCAAAATGGGGAGATGGATTTTGATGGAGTTGGGGTTGTTAGGGTTAAGATGTCGCAGATATAGCGTAGTAGCAGTCTTAAAGCCTTCAATGAAAGTCTTGTTTTATGGACTCTTTGCACAAGTACTCCTAAATGGTGAAAACGATCGACCCAAAATGCAGCTATCGCTACCACTCGTCACATCCGGAAACACTGCAGGTTTTTGCTCATTATCGCACCCCTAGGCTTTTGGCTGATTGTCGCACTCCATTTGCAGCACAAACCTTTGCACAATTACAATATGACTTTATCTGAGACTTTCACTCTGCACCATCTACAGTTTATACAAGTTAGAACGCATCACCACAGCTTTCTATGTGTTTAATTTGAACAGGTTTGTTTTGATAGTGTTTTTGCATGTCCAAGAAATCTCCCAGACGACTGCATGAATGAGTTATGTTTTATCCTTTTCTTTTCTTTTCAGGTACCATTGTACTGGGCGTCCAAGCTCAGGATGCTGATATCGGAGACAACGCCAGGCTGACGTACTCCATCACTAATGGCGACGTAACCAAATTCACTATTGATGCCGATACCGGCGTCATCACCACAGCACAGCCCCTGACGTCACAAAGTTCAGCCTATACTCTGGAAGTGTCTGCAAGAGACAGCGATCCAGCACACGCTCCAGCCACAGCCACAGTACAGGTCACATTTGATGCCTCAGGTCAGTTCCCGTCATTCCAGAGTCCATCCAACGGTGCTGTGTACACATTTGACGAGGACGTGGCTACCGACACCGAGGTTGTGACCTTTCAAGCATCCAGTCCCAAGACCGGGCAGGAGGGAACCGTGACCTATCATATAATGGGAGGGAACGTCGATGACAGATTTGACGTAGATTCTCAAAGCGGAAGGCTGACCATTGCTCAGAGTTTGAATTACGAGGACAACCAGAGGTTTTTACTTCTGATCGAAGCACGCGACGGCAGCACTCCACCTTTGACCAGTTTACTACAGATTGAGGTGAACGTGAATGACGTCAATGACAATTATCCGGTCTTTGATCAGGCAACATACAGTGGCAGAGTAACAGAAGAATTACCAGCCGGAGTTGATGTAGTACAAGTCCACGCTACTGATGCAGACAGCGGGCTTTTCGGTAACATCCTATACACACTGCTTAACGGCAACACTAATAACAACTTCAGAATTGATCGCAATTCTGGATTGCTGGAAACTAACAAAGTCCTAGATCGGGAGACAATTGCTGACTACACGTTGACAGTACAGGCTGAGGATCAGGGTAGCCCTGCTAAAACTGCAGCAGTAACAGTGCACGTAACTGTTGATGATATCAACGACAATCCCCTCAGCTTTACCAACTTGTTCAGCGCTACGGTACCTGAAAATGCACCCGTTGACACCGATGTCATAACAATTACAACAACCGACCCTGACTCTGTGAAAAATGTCCAGTATTCTATAATAAGCGGTGGAGACGGTGCATTCGCCATCGATCCGGTTACAGGACAGATGCGAGTAAATGGAACCTTAGACAGAGAGGTCAAAGGTCAGTACCAGGTGGGTGTCTCGGCAGACGATGGGTCATACAGGAAAGATACCACCGTCACCATCACCATATCGGACATCAATGACAATGCACCGGCATTTATCGAGCCATCCTACAGTGTCAGCCTTCCGGAGGGCTTGCCCTCAGGGTCTGCCGCTCTGCAAGTCAGCGCCCAAGATGAGGACCTTGGAGCTAACCAGGATGTCTACTACACCATGAAAACCATGTCTGACCATTTCATCATCAACGAAGACACGGGCTACATCACTGTCAGTAATCCGGTGAACTTCATCCATTCAGGTGGCTCACCCGATCCCAACGTCTATCATCTTCAGGTCCTTGCAAGAGACCGTGGCATACCTGCCTTGTACTCCGAGGTCCAGGTCACTGTGACCATCTACGATGCCAATGAGTATCCTCCAGTCTTTGAAGAGACGCAATACTTCTCTCCCGTACCATTCAGTGCCGCTGTGGCTACCCCAATCCTGCAGGTTGTTGCCACCGAGACCATAGATCAAGGCCAGAATGCACAAGTCCGGTATGCCATTATTGGAGGTAACGGATCCACACGCTTTGATGTCGATCAGGATTCTGGCTGGATCAAAGTCAAGTTGAATCTCCAAGCTGACGTCGGAAGCTATTATGACATCATCGTTGAGGCGGAGGACCAGGGAAGACCTTCACCTCTAAGTGTGCAAGTCAATGTACAGCTTCTGGTCACCGGCGACAATGACAATACACCATCATTTGATCAGTCGACTTACTTGGTTTCTGTGTATGAAGACTTGTCGGTTGGGTCGGAAGTCACTGTGATAACAGCATCGGATGCAGATGCTGGCATGAATGGAAAACTTGTATATTCTATCGTGAGTGGTAACGAAGCAGGTCTGTTTGCAATAGAAGAGGAAACAGGATCAGTGACTGTGGCTAAGGCTCTTGATTACGAGGATTTGACATCCCACACCATGCAGATCAAAGCCAAGGACCGGGGATGGCAGAGCAGGGAGAGCAGCACCATCCTAACGGTCAACCTACTTGACGCCGACGATAATCCTCCCATCTTCAATCCCAATCAGTACAACCCTCAAGTAGCAGAGAACTCTCCAAGCGCAACGTACGTCACAACAGTCACGGCCACTGACGCAGACACTGGCGTGAACGCCGAGTTCACTTATGACATCATCGGGGGCGACGGCAAAGACTACTTCACCATCAATCGTGATACTGGAGTGATCCGAACCCAAGGAAACTTGGATTATGAGGCAAGCTTGAATGTCTTCCAGCTGTCGGTGGAGGCTGCCAATGAGGACACATCCATGTTTGGTATCGCTCACGTCACAGTACAGCTCACGGGAGTGAATGAGTACTATCCACACTTCGTCCAGCCTTCCTACCAGTTCTCGGTCAGCGAAGCTGCTCCAGATAGGCAAGTTGTTGGGATGGTGTATGCCAGTGACGCAGATCACGGACCAGATGGGGAAGTCCAGTACCTCCTAGTTGGCTCCAGCAACCACCAAGGCTTTGCCATTGATTCCTTTAGTGGGGAGATTACAGTGTCCTATGCAAACGGACAGCTGGACAGGGAAACTGAGGACACCATTGTCTTGTCGGTTCTTGCCAAGAACAGTGAACCCATCACGGGAGACAATGTGGATGAAGTCCAGGTCACTATCACTATACTTGATGCCAATGACCCGCCGCAGTTCCTGGATAATCTCTACCAAGCCAGCGTTAGCGAGGTTGATGGTACTGGAACATATGTCACCACAGTCACTGCCGTTGAATATGACCAGAACAATGACTTCCGGCAGTTCTCGTATGAAATTGTTGACGGAAATCTCCTCAACGCCTTTGAGATTGATGCCGATTCTGGGAGTATCACTGTTGCTTCAGCACTCGATCGGGAGACCGTAGCAACATACCGACTACGGATCGGTGCAATTGACACAGGCGAGCCACCCCAAACAGGCTATACAGAAGTTGTAGTGAACATAGACGATGTGAATGATAATGGCCCCATATTTCTACCGGGAAACGATGTCGGTTATGTCTCTGAAAATGAAGCCATCAACACCATTGTCATGACGTTGAATGCCACCGATCCAGATCTCAACTCAAACCCAGATTTGTTCAGATTTTTCTTGGTACCCAATGCCGACAGTCCATCTTTCACGTTGGAATCGACCACTGGTATCCTGCGTACTACTCGCACACTGGATCGAGAGGTCAAGAGCGACTATTATCTCTCCATCGAAAGCCGAGATGGTGCCACGCCAGAGATGACGGCTGTATCAACTATCCATATCATTGTGCAGGACCAAAACGATAATCCCTCGTCTGAACGTGATGCACGCATTGAGGTCAAAGCTTATCAGTCTGTATTCCCAGGTGGTTCAATAGGAGTTGTCCGACCCATAGATCTTGATACCGGTGACGTCTTTGTTTGTCAGATTGTCAGCGGAGATTTGAATGTCTTCTCTTTGCAGCCGGGATGCGTTCTGAACTCCAGGATGCATTCAACTGAATCTGACTACACACTAGAAATCTCTGGAGACGACGGCCAGCATTCAAGCGTCAACTCCAATTTTGATGTCTCCTTCAGAGCTTTCAACAACGCCTCACTCGCCAACAGCATCACCCTCCGGATTTCCGGTGTTGTGTCGGAGACATTCCTGTCCAACCACTACGATCGCTTCTCTGCCTCAGTGTCTGCATTCCTGAGTAATCGAGAGTCACTACTTATTTTGAGTCTGAACAATGTTCAAGATGACAGCAATAAGATGGACTTAATCCTAGCCGTGAAAAGAGATTCTGGGTACTTGCTGCGTGAAGATGTAACCAAGCTGATCAACGACAACAAAGCCACTATTACGAGTCAATCGGGAGTTACCATCGACGAAGTCGACTATTCCCCTTGCTCAATCAACCCTTGCATGAACTCGGGAACCTGCGATGATCGCATGCAACTGATTCATACCACCGTCATCATCGACAGTCCCTCAATCATCTTTGTCACCCCGTCGATACATCGCGTCTTCCACTGCGCTTGCCATGGTGAGTTCTTCGGAGAGTTTTGCCAGGACCAAATCAACCAGTGCGACCCAGATCCGTGCCAGAATGAAGGTGTATGCACAGACTTGATTGGTGACTACAGTTGCTCCTGCCCACCGGGATTCACCGGCAAACAATGTGGCACCAACATAGATGATTGCGCGGACAGACCCTGTATGAACGGCGGTGATTGCGAGGACTTAGTGAATGGGTACTCATGCCACTGCACTGAAGGCTACAACGGCAACAACTGCCAGAATGGTCCCTGTGCCTTGCAGCCGTGTCTGAACGGAGGTACCTGTATCGAGGACGGTAGTAGTTACAGATGCGAGTGTCGGTACGGTGAATCGGGCGATATCTGTGAGATCATGAGCGTTGGATTCCAACAGGGCTCCTACATGGAGTTCCTTGCCCTCTCTCCCGACCTGAACATCATCACCCTGCATTTCACCACGGTCTCACCGAACTCGCTTCTCATGTACAACCACGACGGGACGTCCACTGCCAATGCGGAATTCCTGACTCTGGAGATTGTGGCAGGCAAGATGCAGTTTTCTTACAATCTTGGAGACGGCATCACGATGATTACAACTGACAAGATGGTATCTGATGGACAATGGCACAAAGTGGAAGCTAGACGCAATGGCAAGGTGAGTTTATCGAGTATTGTTATTTCTTACTCTAGGAACAAAAATTCAAGTTATTTATGTCTTTAACCAGTTCACGCCGGATGACATGTATACCCGCAAAGGTTTTGCGGTGTTCGGAACAGATGACAGATAAACACGCAGGAAGCGAAGCTGGAAATATCTGTCAGCGACCCGCTCACAGCGAGTGAGGCCGAAAATATGAGTGTGCTGCCCGAGGGTGATGGCTTCAACCCGCCTGGCATGAGGTTGATTGTAATGTAATCCTGCGCCTTGTTCCGTTCTTGTCAAAAAAATATCCCGGCGCGAACTGGTTAAACGGATAATCTTTTTGTTTTTCCTGATGGATCCTGCCTCAGCCAAATTGCAGTGCACATCAGGAAGGAACTGATATTCTGATACCATAAAGAAAAAGTTATCAAGAAAAGAAAATGTTTGTCCTGTACTGACATTTTGTAATCTCTTTTTAAAAAAAAATGTCTCACAGCCATCTGTAACAAAAAAAAAATTCAGGCTGCTCAGCTGGAGAGCAAAACAATGCCTTTTGCATTTGACTAGATGCAGTATTATTCTATTAAGTCGTTACCGTTACAGATTTAGTTGACGCCAGTTTCAGGAAATTTAGGATACGAAGTACAGGCCTTGAGTAGGCCAATGTTAATTAGATCAACCTTAATTCAATAAATAATAATTCAGTTTATTTATAGCAGGAGAGTCCGGACAGAAGATGATAAAAAAACATGATTTGCAGCGCTTGATGCAAGAATTTCCAAATATTGGGTTTATATTTTTAGTCCATAAATACACATTTTGGTAACTAATACGCCACTAAACTCCTCATAATTTCACTAATTTACACCCGTTTAGTAAAACTCCACCGAGGCATCAAATGTTGTGACACGGTTATGCTCAGCCACTCCCCCAACACCTTGGAGTTCAAGTCCAAGCGATAAAAAATACCTGGTGTCTGTTTCAAAAACAAGCGCCCCACGTTAGGGTCCCTGTGTTTAAAAAAACCCTGACCTAGGGCTGTTAAACCTGACAGAGTATGAAGACATGAAACTGGCAGGTGACGCGTAATTACCGGTTCTTGATAGATTTATCACGCGTTGCTAATGGTGTCCTGGGCTTTCAAAACCGCCCATTTCGTTTGGTATCGATGACCAGTGAGTCGGGATTTTTTTTTGTCAAACTGTACTCGGATTGGCGGTCTCATATAAACTTCTTTGTAATAACAAAAAAGTGCAGTATCACGCATAAATGTTTAGCCGTCTTCAAAATTATGGGTTTCGTTTGACTCTTTCTGATGGGAATGCCCCTATGGGGTGAATAGCTTTCTGAGAAGGAAAAAAAGTAAGACCTGAAAATTGTCTAAATAATGAAACTGGGTAAAAGGATTAATGGAAAACGAGGCATGCAAGGAATGATGCCTTTTGACAAGTCGATGAATTTTCCAGATGAAATAAATGTCTCAATGCGTCTCTGTCTTGGGAGACTCTTAAATGAGGCACCAAATCAAGTCATCCTTGCAATAAGATTAAAGAACAGAAAAATGTAAATACTTGAAATACGCAATCAAAATTTCTCAACCGTTATTTTGTTAAGCCAGGTTCATACTTCATGCGAATGCAAATGCGGAGCGAATTTGACGTCATGAAACGTTCGCTGCAAAATTCCCCGAAGTTGAAATATGTTCAACTTTTGTGAATTTGCAGCGCGAAGACTTGCCATGACTTCATAAATTCGTGTTCGCTTTTGTACTGAGTAAGAACCGGCGTTTACACCATTCTAAACAAATTGACTTTATGAAAGGATTGTACCTGTATCTGTATGGGTACATTGCAGAAATCTTTTTATGTGTATACATGTAAATATGAAATCCACACAATAAGTGATGTCAATGAAGAGCAGCAACGCTTGTCAGTTAAAAGTTGAAATGTATCGTCTGATAAATGAACGGAAACAGGCACATCAACAGGAGGTTTTTGCACAACCAACACCCAGCGCATGACTCACGTCAGTCTAAATCCCTTTAAATTAGTAGAATTGAAATCCAAGAAGCGAGTATTACAGCTGGCTGGCCTCCCTCGGGCCTCATAAATCAGCCTCACTGAGGGCATGTAAGTCAGGCCAATCAGGGTTCAAATTCGTCAAAACCAAACCGGTGTGTCTTATTGCAAAAACTGAACCAGCACGTAACTGGTACTATGTAGCAGTTCACCAAAACCAGGTCTGATCAGATGGGCAATCGTGGCATGTGAATAAGCATACAATTCATACTTTGTGAAATCACCGGGGGCAAGACAAGTGGACGTGATTATTCTTGCATCATAACAATTTCAATCCTGTCTTTTTGTATTGGATCAAGAGCAAGTTTTTGCCCTTTACCTACCAGTACATGTATTTGGATTGTCCTGAATTCCAAATTTTTTTATTCGTCCCGAATTTATTCGTTTGTTGAATCACTTGGACAACCCAAACAAGTGCACAATATCCAGATGGATACCATGAAAATGAATGCTTTGTAAAACTTGGCATCGCACATTCACATTGATGTAGCAGAATGCTGACCGACCTTGACTGGGTTGAACTTGCCTGCAGAAGTACAAGTCATTGTTTCCTGATTACTTCCTAAACGACAGATAATGTCAAAAACACAAACGTCAATTATGTAATTCTATTCTATTCTTTTTAAAATAAATTACAATGAAAACTTTTATGTTTAATCACAACTGCACAGTTATTTTTTATTAAAAGATCTTCAGTAAGATGGAATTTGCATCAGGATGATGAAATTTCAATATCGGGTTTTGCTGTTCATATTTTTATTTTCAATTTTTTTTTTTTTTTTTGGACGTATCTTTTTTTAGTTTGTGAATTTTTTTCTCACAATCACTTGGGACAACTCTGAGTATACAGTGTTTATAAAAATACGTCGGTAAGGGCAAAATGTTATATTGAATATCTTCAATAGTTCATGCAGATTTTAAATTGCAAATTTGTTGGAAATCATCCTGTATATTGGTTTTGATTAGTGAGAATGCTACTTGGTTACTTGTCCATTGAAAGAAGTATTATTTTGTTCACCACCAAATTTACGGAAACATGAATAAGTATAACTTTAAAAGTCACCTACTTAAAACTGTCACTGCGCCCAAAATGAATCCTAAATCTTGATGTACATGGATTTCTTTATTGGTCTTTGGAGACTTCTTTTTTCGCTCTCCTTCAAATAAACTGTGATATCTGTCTGTTGACGGAAAAATCCCAGTGAGTTGCACTTCGCCTTGGCAAGTTCAGTGAGATAGCCCCCCTTCTCCCCCCCCTACATTCACCAACATACACAAGCAGCTGGGTTATTTATGGAGTTCACTTGCTGGTCAAGTCTATGAATGGTGGTATGCGCTTCTGTAGAGGTAGCTGGAGAAAGTTAAAGGGATGAACAAAACTCTCTCTAAAAAAAATGGCCCTGCTTGAGGAGATGTAGTTAAATGTTTGGTTGCTGTTTGAGCTTTACGTATATTTAATGAATTACATACAATAATGATCGGTCATCTAAAACCTAAGTGATGTAATAAAATTATGAAAAAGGAATTTCACCTTGTTCATAATTTCAATAAACTTGAAATTGCCTCCAAATTCAACTGACTATAGGGAGAAGCAAATTGGAATGAGCTGTCATTGCCAGTTCTGTTGTAGATCATTCTACATGCAGGGCAGGCTTTGCTTGTTCAACAAGATTTTTGTTTCATGGCTCCCAGAAGGGTTTACCCTCCTATTACCAAACAAAATATCTGTAAAAGATACGACTTGCCGATTGGCGGCGGGATTGATGATCACAAATCAAGCATTTTTCCGCATTGTGTAACAAGAGACGCTAATCTACACCGGCTTTGCAACAGGAGAAATTGGTGTTAATGGGTCTTAGTGTGAGGAAATCCCACGAGATGGGAGCCGGCACAGGCCGCACGTAGACCACTACATCAGGCTCACCTGTTGCAACAAATCATGGTTGTGTCAACTTCTTGCTACCCTGGTGCAGAAACATGAGAAAACATACATGTCATGTGAGGGAACCCTAAGGAGAGAGGACATTCTTATCTGGGGAAGAACAGAAGCACACGAGCAGTTCCAGCATTATGAAATGAAATATATAATGCCCATGACAGAGCCAATTAACCATGATTTCTAATTAATGATTTAGAGATATGATCCAAAACTCCTAGTCTGTAATCTCCTTGATTGTTACTACATAATGGATGCATATAAGATTTGAAAAATCCATTTTCAGGTTTAATCACTGAGCTCTGAAAAAGTCTGTCATGGACAATACATAACACTAATTTATCTACATGCTATGAAATTTCTGGCATTCGACTGAACCAGTTGGAAAATTTAAAGAATGACTGTCAAAGTAATGAAGAAAAGAAATGACGTTAAAAAACCCTAAATCTATCCTGTACATAGTAACATATCAAAAGGAAATGATTAAAAACTAGAAGTGTGTTTGTCACGTGGACAAACACAGCTGCTTTGGCTGTTTCATTTTTTTGAACATGTACAAATTCTATGGAGAGTGTTTGAAAAAAAAGAAAAGAAAAAAAAAAAAAAATCTGAACAAAAACAAGAGTTGTTTAGGCAAAAAGTTGCATCTTTCAAATAGTCTGTATACAATCTGTGTACATTCTACAAGTATGGTAGGCTCATTATACCATTTTTGTTTAATGCTAAATACATAAAAGGGGTTTTCATCACTTTGGTCACGGCTTGTCGGCTACCTCCAGTATGGGACGTAGTCTAGACACTCCGGTTCCTATGCCTGCTACTGAATTGAACCTGCGGCCGTGTTCCGTACAGCATCTCACTATATCCATCCTTCGTCGCGTCAATTCATCCGTGCTAGCCCCCAGCTTCGCGTTTGACACAGGCTTGGGGAAAAAAGGGCACGAACACCAGTCACAAGACGCAGAAACGGGTTGTTTGTTTTAGGACTCTTTGGGGTTTTGAGTCCGATAACAAATGTAGCGTTGCACTTTTTTTCCCCTTTGATTTTTAAGTGATTTGTTTGTTGGTAGGAAGGAATAGTCCCTTCGGATTTAGAGAAGGAGGTTTTTACTTTGAAGCAATCAAAGGGTGATTCTTATGACAAAACTTGTACTTGTACTGAATTTTGTTAATAAATCGCGTTTAAAATTTTTGTTGAACAATGAAATATCACAGATATTTTAAAGACTGACACAAGCTGATTTGTGGGTCGAAGAGCATTAAACATTAATTTTGATATCGTTGTTTGAACCTTCCTTTGCAGAATGGAGAGTTGATCGTGGATGACTGTCCCCTTTCCCTGCCAACCGGTACCTGTAGAGCTACTGGTGCAACAGGAAGCCAAACGTAAGTAGCTTAACACTGGCAATAGAAAAAAATCCACCCATTTTTTTTCCATAGGACATGGTGTTTATGCAACTTGAAGAAATGAGTAATTGTTGCAGTCCCACATGTGTTGTTAATCAAGGGGTGCCTGTGGCTCTGACTGTCCTCCTGAACTTATTTCAATTTTTTTATGTGTTTTAGAAATTGTTGTGTTGCACTCGTAGGTAATTCATTGCCGGAGAAACACTTGTTATAAGTTCAGTCTTAAGAGTCCAGAGCTTGGTTGAATTCTTCTCTTTCCAGCTAGGGATATGAGTTGTAATCATGTCATTCACAAGTCATCTCATCTCAAGTCAAGTCACAGAGGTCCTTGGTGCTCTGTCCTTGTTCAGAGCCTGTTACTTGTGAACTGCCTTGTCATACGACTTGTGAGTGGACTTGTGATTGACTGTTGGTTGACTCAATTACGTCCTGCGTCAGAGATCTAATTACACCCTTGCCATTGGCCATTAGAGCAAGTGGTACTTGCAGGATGCTCGTCTATCAATACTTAATTATCATCCTTCCGGGCATGTTGCTCAAACAGGAAAGTTACTCAATCCTTATTGATGTGCCGGTGTAACTCCCCTTTAGTGTTGAAGGTCTCGAGACCTGGTTTCGGTCTTGACGCCGTCTCGAGACCTTTGTTGTGGTCTCAAGAACTTTTCTTGCGGTCTCTGTCTCGTCCTATCAAGGTCTCGGTCTCGTCCTATCAAAGTCCCGGTCTTGGGAGGGCTGGTCTCGGTCTCGAAAGCTCTGGTCTCGGTCTCGGATGCCAAGGTCTCGGGTTTTACCCTCCAGACCCGTCGAGACCACAACAAAGTGCACCAGCTACGAATGGCTTTATTCATTTTGCAAGCTGAATGACGTACGAGTCTAGTCTTTCTTCCAAACATAAACGAAATTGTTAAGTTTTCATGCTGAACAATGAGATTGAAGCTGGAATGAAGACCAGTCAATGCAGCTTGTTGATGCGGTACCCGCCCACAGTTACGTTACCCATATCGTACGGTCCTCGACCAGCACGTGCAAACGTTGCACGTTCTTGCTTCATGCTTTACGCATGCTTTAAACAATTCTTTTGACCTCTGCAAATAAATAAGAAGTGCTGCTGTTTCGTTGGGGGACCAGGTTCCAGTGCACAGCCCCACAGTTTTCCTATACATGAAGGAAATTAATCACAATTTATTATACAGTAAAAGTTAAAGCTATGATCATTCGTTAATCGATATTGGTATTTTTTCCTCTTCAGCAATCTCGACGTGAACAACGTAGCTCTGAGTCTGGGAGGCACCATGTCCATCGACACCATCCTACCCCGCGCCTGGCAGGTCTCCTCCGCCGATTTCCTGGGCTGCATGCGGGAGATCTCCATCAACGGCGAAACGCTGGACCTCTCCTCACCGCTGGCCCAGCGGGGGACCAGTGAAGGCTGCGACCGAGACACGGAGACGTGCAGCAACAACCCTTGCAGCGGGAACAGTGTCTGTGTGGATGAGTGGTGGAACCGCTGGTGCCAATGCGAGGCGGGTTTCACCGGAGACAACTGTGATAAAGGTACGATACAGTTAGTGTAATAATTCAATTTTCAGCTGCATGAGAGGCCAAGTTCGCGCAAGGACTACAGTTGACCAATGGTTAACTAACGTTTGCCCGAACTCTGTCTAGTCGACGATGGTTGACTACGTTAGTCGACTATTTGGAACCAGCCTACTGGGGTTGGTTGCTTCGCTGGTAACCAATAGCCGCGCGCATTCATAACGCTAGCAGAGAGCCAGGATCCAGAAGTTTTGCGATGACATTTTGACCAGCGTTTGACTAGAGACGTTCGCACGTTGCTACCAGTGCGCAGGCGTAAGGTACGTCACAAATCAACCACTAGGCGACTAATGGTCCTTGCCCGAAATTGGCCTAAGATGAGATTTGAAGGTTTGCATGGTGGAAAGATACTAAGACAAGATAAGTTTGCGGTAGCACCATGTGAGTAAATCTCTTTTGTGAGCATGTGTGGTTCTGAAAAGAACCGGAGGGATTCAACGTTTTGAATAGTATGCTCTGCCCATCGTCAGGAGAATGAGATTTATTCACATGCTGCTACCGCAAACTTATCTTGTCTCAGCTACATGTAGATAGCTGGTATAAGATTTTAGGCTTTGCATGGAGGAGTATCACTATCGTTTCGGTTGTGGTAACACCATGTAGCAATAACTACTGTCGCTGCAGTCCCCTGACGATGACTAGAGCAGGCTAGTCGAAACTTTGAGACCAAAGACAAGTTCTTTTAGAACTTAATGCAGGACTGTTCTTATCAGAACTAAAACCACGTAGCGAAAGTTGATAATAAGCAGGACAAGTTCTTTTCAGAACGAAATATCTACTGAGCGACAGTAGTTATTACCACATGGTGTTACCGCAAACCAAAACGGTACCGGTAGATGACTGGTATTGCTTATCCAGTTTATTTAAATCCTGCCTGCGCAGCAAAGGTGAAAAGGGTGTGGAAAAACAAAATTGGTAAGATTTCTGGAAAGACCCTCATTTTTTCATCAATTGTTCTATTCACTTTTTCTGCTACTTGAATTCAATTTCCCAAATGTACTCTTTGTTTTATCCACCCTGGTTGCCCGAAAATCCCTCATACATGTAAAAATGTTACGATATCTGATTTTCCTTTTTTTTAAATGCTTACTTTCAAGAATAAGTAACTTTTCGAGAAAAAAAATCCCTCCAATTTTTTCAGTCCAGTTTTGGGATATAATTGTTGTTGATCTTTATTTGTTGAAATCTTATTGTCACTGCCATATGCAAAAAATTGTAGCCAATGTCTCACACATTTGAATTGGATATTTTCTCAACCCAGAATTTGTCAAAAAAGGTAGTTACTTGACTTGATACTTACCCAAGCATTCTTGTTTGGTCTTATCTCCTGCAGTACCTACACCGTTTTCTTTCGGAGGAGGGAGCTATGTTGAGTACGTAGTCAAGGAGAGTTTCCAACGACAGCAGCTCCTGGATGCCGCCAAGGCTAATTCCAGAAGGAGGAGGAGGCGGGATACCACGCCGGGTTCACAGACTATCTCTATGTCCTTCAGGACTGGGTCGCTAGCAGGCCTGCTGTTGCTTGTTGAGTCGGGTGATGACTTCACATCACTCCAAGTAAGTCATCTGTTCATATCACTCCCACTTGATAGCAACTGATACCCAAGAGTGTACTTAAAATTGTCACGATGACTTTCATATTTGTAGTCTGGATATTTTTATTTATTCATCATATCATCCAAAACGGGAAAATGACTTCACTTGTTTTTAGAGTGATGGTGCACAAAGGAGTTTGCTCATGTCACTTTGTTAACTTAATATCAGGCCTCACAGCGAAACCTATAAAAACATAGTTCCACTTGGAGCCTATTTTATTTATAATGTCACCAATATAACCTAAACAAAGCTACATTGTATTCTGCCATGTACATTTTAAAACATTTCTAAGGAAAATTAGAAAATTAATTTGACCCACAGTTTAGTGATCATAATGCCAACATAACCACTTTGCCACTACACCTCTCTAAGATCTTTTTTGCAAGTGTTTCCAAATTGGGCAATTTGCATGAGATAAGCAATTCCTTGTATTTTTGCTACCTCATGCTGAAAAACTGTGACGGTTTTGAATCCTAAACCCTTTAAATGCCTATATTTTGGCACTTAAATTTTTTTTTAAAAACCTGTAGTGATATGATTTTGTATAATTCACAGCGGTGCTTGATTGCTAATTTGTTCCCCTTTTTATTTCATCATCTTTCAGATCGTCAACAGGACAATCTGCTATCACTTTGGCTCGTCCAGCCAGACCAGGGGTACCGTCAGTCTGACCACGAACGTTGCCGACTGGAAGTGGCATAACCTCAAGCTGTACAGGGAGGGCGCTACGATCACCTTAGAGTCCGGAGACGAGACTGAATCCAAAAGATTTGATCAGGTCCCTCACGACTTCACAGGACTGGAAGTCACTGGGATGTCCCTGGGTGGGACCAAGACTCCCTTGATCATTGACGGCAAGAATATCACCGGTAGGTTCTGCTTTCTAAGTCATTGTTTTCAAATTTTAAGCATTTGGTTTGGTCTTTTGGAATTTTAAGTATTCGGTTTGGTTTGGTTATAATACTTCTGGAAATTGTACTAATTATCAAGTTTTGAAAGTTGAGACGTAGAACTTAATATAAAGGCATTTACTACAAGCTATAGAAAAAGTTAACATCTTTTGGATGAGTCTTGTCAATTCGTACCTACAGTGAAATCTCGATACGTCAAACCTCAAGGGAACAGGTTCAAAAATTTGACTTAAGCAGAGTTTTGAGTTAAGCAGGGTTGTATATCATTGTTATACTACTGAAGGGAATGGATTCTTTGTTTGACTAAACCGTTGTTTTGAGTTATCAAAGTTTGACTTATCGCGATTTCACTGTATATAAAACTTAAAGATTATGAAAAAAGGTCATTGTCAATAGCTGGTATGTTTTTTTATTTTGGAATAATGCACGTCAAGATGACAAGAAATCACAGAAGCAAATCGTTTCTCTTACATTCTCACATTCACAGATGATGTTATTTTAGTTCGTCATTTTTAAGTGTTGTCATGTTTTGAAATAAGACAATAGATGTACAGTGTGTGCAGTACTTATGTCTGTTTTCGGTTAATTGATGCCTTGGATATTTTGAGACTTGTAGTTACAAAGTCACTCATAGATATTATTTTCTCGTCAAATTTCAGCCTTCTCTGGATGCCTTGAGGACTTCCAAATCAACGGTGCAGCTCTACCGCTGGACGGCGCCAATGAGATGTTTGACGCGGTACCCTCTGACAACACGGGGGAGGGTTGCGACGCAGTCAACGTCTGCACCCCTAACCAGTGCCCCAAGGACCAGATCTGCACCCCGGATGGCGACGGATTCACCTGTCAGTGCAAGGAAGGATTCTCAGGAAATGATTGCACAATTCCAGCCACTGGTGCTCCTCCTGACAACACTCTGGTGGTCGTCCTCGCCAGCGTGTTTTCAGTCGTGCTGATTGTGATCATCGCGGGTTGTCTGCTTCTCCTGTGTCGGTATCGCAACAAGGCACGGAAAGCCAAGGAAAGCGCCGTCGGCAATTCCAAGAACAACTTCTCCATGGATTCGCTTGACAATGCCGGTTTCAGCGCCGACACCTTTGATAACCCGACCATGATCGGGTCTCAGCACAACAAGACGGGGAATGGGATGGAGCTCATCAGACAGCAGCCGGATATCATTGAGCAGAATGCGTTTGCCGGCATGCCGGAGGAGTCGTTCATCGTGGACACCGATGATGTTGTCATCGGCGAAGAAGCATCCGGCCGCACTCATGAAGCCCTGGAACACTACGACTTGGAAAACGCCAGTAGTATTGCCCCATCAGATATTGAGCCAGCCTATCACTACAGGTATTATCACGACGGGCGGGAGCGTAAGCAAAAGCGTCAGGGGTACAGATACTCTCCCAACCCCATGCTTGCTCGAATCGGCACCCCACCATGCGAGAGCCCTGTCAGCCAAGTCTCTTCCAACCATCTCAGCATCACTCATAATCCCAATCCCAGCTCACTGCACGTGCGCAGCAGCCCAAGTAATGTACAACACAGCACCCCAATGGAGAACACAAGAGCCAGTCCAGCTAGTGGCATCGCTAGACAGAGCCCAGGGCTTCAGGCGATGCGACAGAGCCCATCCCTGCAACTCCTCAAGAGGGAGTCTGCCCGGTCCGCGACACCCCTAAGGCTCAGCCGGGCTAACACACCAGTGAGAAATATGGCAAGCCCCGTCAGCTCAGACCATAGCTATAACCAAAGTGAACTCCGAAGCCAGGGACACCGTAGTGACACCAGTAGTCACCTCAGTGGTCACGGTGATAAATCTCGTATCAGCCCCATGCTGGCCGGGGCACACAGACCTCCGCGTCCCCCAAGTAGATTAAAAGACACCTCTCCCTCAGACTCTAACAGGCCGCTGGGGTTGACTGTTGAGGAAGTCAAGAGACTCAACACAGCCCGGCCCGACTTAATGACTGGTAGCCACGCCAGCACAATAGACAATCTCTCCTCAGTGAGCAGCAGTAAGCGGCGGCAGCAGCAGCATCATCATCACAACCTCCCGCCCTTACCCTCAGATCTCGAACCTTCGCCTCTGCTTGAGCCTCCCGATTCAACATCCTCAGATGAGACGGCTGGCTCATTCACATGTTCCGAGATCGACTCGGACACTGAGAAACTGAAATCACGGAGCCTGGATCCAGGGATGCTCCTCCTGTCGCGTCTGTCGCAGATGGACGACGGAGACGAAGATGAGGATGAACCTGAGACTTACGAGCAATTCAGCGCACCTTTCCAAAAGAAGGAAGGACTAGACTCAGTAGGAGGTTCTCTCAGTACCCTCTTTGCATCAGAGGATGAACACTTGGATCCTAAGAAGACAAACGGACAATTCAGCTGGGACCAATTCCTGAACTGGGGTCCAAGATTCGAAACTCTTGAAGGTGTCTTTGTCGATATCGCGCAGCTCCAGGACAAAGTCCCTGCTCCCGCTGTGAAGAAAGTTTATCTCGAACAAACGGCTGAAGAATTTGTATGAATGATAAGTACTGTGGATAATTTATTTTTATGAATAGATTTTGTATCAAAGGGAAAATCTTTGCATATTTATGAGCAATGCTTCCTTTTGAAATTTACATAATGTTTTGGGAGTTACATCTCAATTCCATTTATATAATATGCTTGGTAAACAGAAAACTAAGAATAACTGTGATTTCCTTTTGCTATTGCATACAGTTTGCCGACATTCCATAGTTTCATTAGTTAATAACAGAACAAGCGCTTGACATTTTGAAAACCTATTTTTAAAACCTTTTTTACAAATAATGTTTGGTCAAAAAAACAACAACATTTTTTAACTAAAACAGAATAGCAGATTCAATATGGACCAAATTGCCGCTAAATTCAAAGTGTTATGAAATGATATAATGTTTGTTGAGTCACATATGTGAATGATATTATTTGGCCATGTTTTGAAATATTTTAAGGAAATGTTACTTGCATTTCATCCTCTGCCATTCCTGCCTTGCTCATGCAGGATCGCTTTCAACAGCATTACCTATGTAAATATTTTTTTTTAATAGAAATGTTCCTGTTTTAATCAACATAATTGGTAATCTATGTATAATATGCCAATACTTTCAAATATGCAGGGTTATTACTTTGATTCATTCAATTCATATTTTTCTATCCATGTCATGTGGAACTATTTTTTAAAAACAGACTGTTTTTTGACAGAGGACTAAAGCTGTTTTCTTTGTACACTAAACTGATCATGTGCCAGAAAAAATTCACTTCACCTATTTAGAAAGAAACAGTACCTGTTGCATCCAATAAGCCTTTTCGGAGTTCCAACTGCGCGCATTCGTAACCTGTGACAACGCACATTGTTTGTCTCAAATGCCCTTTGACAGTACCCACAATGCACAAACAGCCTTTTTGTAAAGTCAGTGGCGCGATGTTGTCAAAGGCCATTTGAGACAAACAATGCGCGTTGTCACAGGTTATGAATGCGCAGTTGGAACTCTGAAAAGGCTTATTAGAAAGTGCTTCTGTTCGGTGTAAAAATGCCTGGTGTAAATCCAGTGTAGCTGTACCGTGGGCTTTTTGTATAGACTAATTCAGCGAGAGTCATTTTCTGCTGTGGCACCGGGCTCACGCGAGTCGCGCTCAGGTATTAAATACGTACGCATTACGCATGCACTCCAGGCTCCTTCAACCAATAGGGTCACCAAAATGCGCACGTGCACCGTGTCTTCAAGAACGCGTGCAGCATGCGTGTGAGCGTGGCACCACTGTAGTAGCACCTTCTAATTCTGGTCGCCGGATTCCGCTATACCTGTAAATTGTATGCAACAGAAATACCATGTACGTAACAGTTGACGAACCAACTGATTCACCATAACAGTTTTGGTTTCTTTGCTATTAAATGCACATGGTGTCCATGTTCTGATGCCTTGAACACTGAGAATGGTGCATGGCCATCTATACTCAGTTAAAGTTCTTTTAATTTATACAGTTTGTGTTGATATTAAAATCGAGGATGTGTTTGGGACTATTTTTGTTAGTGGTCCATGCAGACATTTTGGTAGGGTTATAATAATAATAAAACAATTTGTAATATAAAACAATTGTGATGGCTTGTCTTTATTGTGTTGCTTTTCACATGATTAAGGGAACAGCTTAACAAGTTTGGTTTTTCTTGGGGGGGGGTAACATTTGAATGAAATGTTGAGTTCTCCAGTCGACATCGGTTTGAGTTTAAAAGAACTTTTTTTTAACCTTTTTAACCAAATTTTAAATACAAATCAATTTGTTCTAATTAAATCATGCTGAATTTTCGGAATAAAAATCTTTATTAAAAAAAAATAAACAAATTGAACATTTCCCTCTATTTTCAAGGCATTCAAGTTTTTGTAAACTAGATCATGAAAGAAAGTGTTTTCCTGAATGTGCACATGACAGACATGACTTCCTGAATGTGTCTTCTAATTCAATTTACACAAACACAAAACTTCCCTTTGGAGGAAATATTATTGCGTGCCGTCTTTGACATCTGTTTTATCGTTTAATTACGTTCACTATACACTAATACAATGTCAAGAGTTTCTTATGAAAAGCCCATCATGAAAAACGGGCCTTTCCCTTACTGACTTGGTTAGACAATATTTGGATGTTGTTTCATTTCTATAAATCTGTATAAAATAGGTCAAAATTGGACCATGGCCAAATTGAATACATCTGTGAAACGTTTATTTTGGACACTTCAATTGACCAGTATGTGAAATTAGTAAAAAAAAAAATGTTTTAAATCAGGTCATGCTTGGTATTAATTAAGCCGAGTTTCCACAACTTATAACCAATGCATTATAAATCAACACATTTTAGATTTAAAACTTAATTGGTGCAGACAAGCATTCTGTTCCAACCAAAAAACATTCCCGAACCGGAAAGAATATTGCATCCTGACGCCACTTTTTTTCATCATAATCTCAATGAAGGTCAGTCATTGCTAAAATGTTGAAAAGTCATGAATTTGGGACTGAGAAACATTTCAAATTTTATTTTAGGAAATACTTCGAAAATGTTCTTGACTTTCCATAGACTTTGTACACAACCGCTGAAGTGGCATCTGGATACTACATTTATATTCCTCTGCTTCTGTGGACTGTCACTACCCCCCCCCAAAAAAAAGACTTAATGAAGTTGGAATCCTAACCTTACAGTTGTTTGTAAAGGGGGGATGGGTTACAATTGAGTCTTGTATCTGACTGAATAGTGCAGTGGGGTTTTCTTGAGGGAGGGGGCCGGGTGCAGTGGTTAAACTTTAGTCAACATCAAAATATCAAAAAAATTTCATCCATTGCCTCAAAAATGGTCATCCATTGCCTCAAAAATGGTGATTCATTCCGAAAAAGGGGAGAAAAACAAATCTTGGACATAAATGTTTCCCCAAAGCCCCCCCCCCCGCAACATTTTGGAGAGAATTTAGTATCCAGACGCCACTTCAGTGGTTGTGTACAAAGTCTATATGGATAGTCAAGAACATTTTTGAGGCACCATCTTTGGAAATTTATACGAAAATACAACTTTACTTGAAAATGGCTGCACATCAGGTGTCACAATTTTACAAAACGCTTTAGACTGTCATTTGCCAACATCCTAGTAAGGTATTTCATAAAAATTTGGAAGTTTTGTTTTTCGATGTTTGCAAATGTGGTATATTCCCTTTAAAAGCAACAGGAACTCAAGTAATAATAAGAGCAGCCTTGGAAATTTGTGAAGTAAACTAAGAAAATGAGAGTCAAGAAGATAACAAAAATGGAAATGTTTCTCAGTCCCAGATTCATGCCTTTTCAATATTTTTGCAATGACTGGCCTTTATTGAGATGATGAAGAAAAAAGTGGTGTCAGGTTGAAACATTCTTCCTGTTATTTTTTTTTGAAAATGAGATCACCGGCACCTTACAACTGCTACCGCTTGGCCTCCGTAAAATCAAAAAGCGGGGAGGGGGCCCATCTGTCGATGGGGGCGCTATTCAAAACCGACAGTTATGCACACAAAGGGCCAATATATGGTGCTTTTCAGGGCGATACATGTGCGAAATTCTGAAAAAGGCACCCAAAACGGCAGATGACACAAAAAAGGGCACCAGTTCTTTTTTGAAAAGGGTACTTGTTCAGAAAAAAGGTCACTTCGTAAAAAAGGGCACTCTTTACAAATTATTAGGGGGGGGGGGGTAAGGCCGTTGAAAAAAGGGCATTTGAATGGAAAAAGGCAGTCTTTACAAAATATTGGGGGGGGGGGGGTTAAATACCCCCTTCCCCTCCCCCCGCCCCCGCTGGCTACGCCTATGATTTAGTTGCCTTTCAGGAAAGCTTACGGATCCCTAAGTATAGACTATTCACCCCCGTTAAGCGCCATACATGTGATGTAGCCCCACAAATGTGGCCAAAGTACTGGACTACCTCCGTTCATAAAGGCCACACTTGGAACATGTACCCAAATATGTAGAACTAGTTTTGTGTTTAGTTTTTATTTTCACACGTTAGACTTTGTAGTTTATTTACGCTTTGGAAGCACACTGACCCTCTTTAAAAGCGATAGAAAATTAGTCCCCCCCCCCTTTTCAGACATCTAATGATCTATATTCCGTGTAATTTCCAGGTTTGTTTGCATACGTTTGCATCTATTAATTCCAACACGAAACTACACGAAAAGTATATGTCTGAAAAGGGGGACTAATTTTCTGTCGCTACAGTAAAGAGAGTGAGTATGCTACTAATAAAGCAAATAAAGTATAAATGTGAAAATCCAAATTTGACAAAGTTCTACATTTTCGGGTACATGATGTTCCAACTGAGGCCTTTATTTACGGAGGTAGTCCAGTAATTTGGCCACACTAGCGCCATGATGATAGTTTCGCACGTGTAGCAGTTTCAAGTTTGAAATTCAACGGGCGGAGGCCGCGCCTAGCACATGGGCCATAATGTGCATTTTAATATAGTCGTGTTCCCTAACGTGGCGCACTTCGAAGCCTACCCGACTTTCCTCGTGTAGTGTTGCCAAACCTCTTTGTTGACAAACCTCAAATTCATGCAGTAAAACACTAGTACTTTTACCTTATTTCAGTTTCATAAAATTTAATCCGAAATTCAAAAACGGTGGCGTCCGGAAATTGGGCACAAATTGGCGGCGTGTTCCCTAACGTGGCGCACTTGAATACATCTCGGAAAATTCCAATTTAACATTTAAGAATTTCTGTAAACTTGATAAATTCTGATAAACAATTATTATCTCTACTTACATGCCCAGCAAGATGTTTGTCAGAAAATCATTTTCTTATTATTCGGGGCATTTTTAAAGGGTTCACTTTGCACTTGAAAATAAAATCGGAAAATCACGCCAAAATAAATTTTTCTTCTAACTTTGTTACGGGTAAATAAACTCGCGATTTATGAAGAGGAGTGTTTAGAACTTGATGAAATTTCACTTTCTTGGAAATTTCAGTTAAAACTTTTGCTCTAGGTAGGCGCTACAGGCGAAAAATCAAAGTGCGCCACGTTAGGGGCCGCGCCACGTTAGGGTACATCAACAATACAAACAAAATCCGCCTTCCCGTCATGTGCACCAACGCCTGCATACTTTCAACGGCTAGAATTTACCGTACCATACCCTACTAAGAGACAAACAACAAATGTTTAAGTGCTGTTTACAGATAACCGAATAAAAAAGATGAAAATTCAAACTTACCGCCTTTCGCTTTCACGGGAAAAGATGGCGATGCAACCTGTTGGACTGGTACCCGTTTGGGCACTCTGTACATATATCACGTAAGTACACCAGTTGGAATATCGCCCGCTAAAAATACACGTTTTAGCGGTGCGCGCGCATCACACATGTGCAGATGAAAGCGCCGTTGTAAAATATTATATTTGCAACAGAATATTGGGGTAAAGGCCGTGTCACATTTATTTTCTTTCAAAATGTGGTGGCTGAATATGGAAATCAAGACAACAAACGAGCTTTTAATTTATGGCAAACATGTATATGATGTTATTGCAGGAAAGGAAAATTGTGATTTTTGGGGTCAAGTAATAGGAAAACTATTAAGACTGAGTGGCAAGTCCAACTTGATCCGTTTCTTCGCTCAAAAATATTTTGCTAAATGTTCAAAAAAGAAACTGCTACGAATATGAAATAGCCCACTTGACAGTAAGTAAATAATAGGATCCTGTGAAATCTTTGCGCCTTGGCTGTCATTTTCTAAACAGTAGAAATTATCATTTCCTCGCGATGTTGGACCTAGCCATTGCACTGTCAAAAGAAACCTATGCAGAAGATGCATTTTCGAAAAAAAAATTTTTACATTTTTTTTTAAAGGTAATATTCAGTATTATCCACTGACTGAAACTTCAAAAAGTTAGGTTTTTAACAGTCTTCTTTTGATTTCGAATGTTGTTATTATTGGAAACGAAAATAATACATGAAAGGCAAATGATCTTTATGCCTATTATTGGCTTCCGTCTACATTAAGTTTTTTTTTTTTATCTATACATGTAGTATCCGTCTGCCTCTGAAACAAACTCATGATGAGAACAGAAAATGACCATTTTGCGTTTTGTTTGCAACTATAGAGATCACACAAGGGAAGACTACAAGACTTCGGAGAGGTTTCTTTTTATAAGGAGAAATTCTCTTGAGAAATGCCTCGGTATCCTTCAAATAGGCCAGTTTGGCTTATCTTAACTTTCAACTTAACTTTGTCACTTTTTTTCAATTGTCATGACTCCTGCCTTTCACGACGCTCCTTATTTGGGCAAATTTTGACAATAGAAATGATTCATCACATTAATTTTCAAAAGAGGAAGTTTATTCAAGATGTCACAATTTTTCCTCAAGGTTTAGACAAACATCACATTTCAAAAACAGGGGAAAACACCGCCAATTGTCCCTTAGAAAATGAACAGTGGGGTGTAATGCCCGACCTTTTTTTGCGTTGTCTAGCGGCCTTAACGCCCGATTACCCTGAACACCTTGAAGGTTGCGAACCATTGTGGATAACTCGGCCTCACAAAATAAAATCAACATGATGAATCATGTGCATTGTTAGAGAACACAGTCTGATGTTGCCATTATTGATTGCGCTGGTGCAGATGACGTCGTTTTGAACGACCGTGGCACGGCCCTGGTGGGACCTATAAATAGAGAGAGCAACGAAGGACCGTCCAGTATTCTGGATAGTTGATACCAATTGGTACCAGACTGCAGTGTTTATACGAGCCCCCAACAATTATACCAAACAAAATTCAAATTGGATAAGTTTACCATGGATTCAGGACACAAAATGTGGATTCCATTCACAATAATTGTTTTTGCCAATTGTTTTGTGGGAACTTCTGGCACAGGTAGGCCTAACAATTCTTCTTTGTTGTATTAAAACATTTAATTTTTTTTTTATAAATGTTACGGAAAAGGGAAAAGTGATTTTTAGTTAATTTACATGTCTATTGTTAAATTTGTTGTGATATACTACATAAACATTATGGCTGTCTTTAAAATAACTTCATATTAATTAGCGCATTGAGTACTTAATTGTTGGTAGATACGTGCGCTTTACAAGACTCCGATATTAATTATTATTATTCTTATTCCAATACGTGTAAAGGTACCACTATTAAGGCGACACGTTATCGTAATTTCTTCGCACGATGGGAGACATCGGTCATTAGGGAGACATTTTCATGTCTCCCTAATGTCACAGCCCCCCTTTAGAGGCACAATTTTACCGTCGCAATTAGGTTATATTTGTTGCTTGTGGTCTAATTAGTAAACATACCGAAATTCGTGGAAAAAGGCCAAGGGAATATTGGGATAGAGCACATTTAAGTTTGCAAAATTTTGTGCACAAGTCTATGGGGATGTCTCCCAAATGTCCAATGCAGGGTAATAATAATAATAATTATTATTATTATTAATGTACTAATTGCAAATATTTTATATATTGCCTTCAAAATCTATTAATTAATTTTTCATTCTCTTTTACTCCCTAATTTAGAGTGTGTTGTGAACAGATGCCCTGGTGATGAAACCTGTTTCCAGAGAAACGTGCCTGGCCAGCCAGACTACGTTTGTGAATGCACAAGGCCTTATTTCCACGGATACGATTGCACTGAAACATTTAGTGAGTTTACCCTTCCAAGCTTTCTTATTTTTTCTACTTCTCCTATCTGTCATTTTTCCTTTTTGATTCCATGCTTAATTACCATGCATGTGAAGTAACAATCTTCCGAAAATTAGTAAACAAATTTAGGGGGGATGTTGAAATACTTTTGAAATGTATATCTTTTGGCAAGTCGTAGGCCTAATCATCGAACTTTCAACTTGACAACAAAAATTTTCGAAAAGTTCAAGGCTGAAGCTTTAAATACAAATTCAGTTACTAAAACTGAACCCTTTTTTTGTATGCTGTACAACAATGCTAAAGCGCAATATTAAAGTTGTGTTTATGCGGGGTCTACCTGATGTTCCCCAATAATTATGTTCCCCAATACAGATGTTCCCCAAAATCCTTAGGGTTAGGGATAGGGTTGGGGAACATCGGTATTGGGGAACATAGGTATGCACCCGTTTATGCTGCTAGAATAGTATTCCCCAAATCTTTGCAGACAACAGGGTGCTCCAGACTTGCTACGGCGAGGCCTGCGCGACCGGTTCCTACACCACCCCCAACTACGAGACCACAGGCTACGAGAACCGGGAAAAAATCCTGGTGCTTCTCTACATCCCAAGAGCAACAGAGATCCGCTTCAGCTTCGACCCGGGCTTCCAGATCGAGAGAAACGCTGATGAACTATTTGTTGGCAGAGGGTTGACTGTCCCTTACAACGACTTTGCAGAAGGCACTCATTCTGCTCTTATTCCTAATCTGTACTTCTTTGATGGGGTCGGTGCTCCCCAGCCGTTCAGCGTCTACAACGACACCGCTTTCATCTTTTTTGAGAGTGACAGGCAAAGCACGTATGCAGGATTCAGGATATTTTGGAACGCCACTGTAGCGGGTAAATAAGTCACAAACATCATAGTTTTCTGCAAAAACAATACCAATTCAGTTGAAGGAAAGAGATAAAACAACAAACTTGTTTTAGTTATTTCATGAGCTTTAACCCTTTTTTACGGCCGAATGTAACAAGAACACAATTATATTTCTCTTTGTCTAATTCACTATCTCTTATTCATTGAACGGTCTCAGTTCTTTATGAAAGTCTGTGGCTTTTGACATCACAAGCTTTAACAAAATACTTGCCCAGTAAAAACACTGCATGTCATGTACCTCCCAAGCTCTACAAATATGATCAAATGAAATTTTAAAAAATGGATTTTTCAAAATTAAAAAAAATGGCAACGGACTTCAGATTCTTAGAGGCTCAGGTTTTTTTTAACACACATTACATGCCATACAACCCTCCTTTGCAAACATACATTCTGTGCAAAGTTGTCCTTTCAGTCAAAATCAATCAAGTGACTATTTTTAACAGTTAAGAGCTCCCAGCCTACATAAAGCAGGATTGACTGGCTGTGACTGTTTAAGTAACTTAATACAGCCATGCTTTGACTGTAGGTGATTGATAAGCCAGCTGTGCCCACCACTTGCCTGCATTTGTCTGTTGATTGAATTTGACTAGTCACAGTGCTTGCTTGAAATATGATCCGACTGCTGGTGACCAGCCTGTGTATGAGGCATTGCAGGGGAAGAGAATTTGATTTTTTGACTGTCTGTGACTGTTCAAACAGCAGGAGGGTTTAGTCATATTTTTCTTCTATATGTATGTTATACACGTAATTTATTCCGACTTTATCTGCAATTTAACAAAAACCTCAGCTGAAATACCTGTTATATTCTCTCTTCCTCCTCCCTTTGACCACAGACCCACCTCAAACAACTGAAGCGCCACCAACTGAAGCGCCACCAACTGAAGCGCCACCAACTGCAGAAGATATGGGAACTACAGAGTCAGCAGCCAGTGCGATCGTTTTGCAAACAGGGCTGCTAACGACACTTCTCATCAATATTGCTGTTGCCACTTTAGTTCACATGTGATGAATTGAAAACTCCAAAGTTGTATGATGTCACATGTTAATGCATAAATGACTAAATAATCTTTATACAAGTACTTAATTTAAACATTACAAAATAAATACAAGTACCCAGGTTCGTTTCATTTACCAGATTCAGTTTCTAGAATTTAGTAAATTTTTTGACTGAAAAATGATGTCAACCCATTGTGCAATGGAATTTCTTGTCAACTAAACCGTAGCTGGGCTTCAGTTTACAAAAACATTTAAAAAAAATAAATCGCTGTGCGAAAAATTTGTTTTTCTTTATTTTCTGTAGGTACGTGGACATGTTTGAGATTTTCAGTTCAGTTTTACAAACAACATATTGCCAAACTTAATATTTTAACAGGTTTTTTAGTTTACTACTTTCAAAAAGTAGGAATAACCATGCTTCATATCTTTTATTCACTTTAGCCTTGTGCAATGTGCTGCACATAACAAAATACTGATATTGAATTTTGTAAATACAATGTAGAAACAGGGCAAACTTAAAACAGAAAAGGCAAAAAGAAAAAAGAGAGAAAAATTCCCAGAATAAAGATGGCAAAAGAAATTTCTGAATGGGTAATGATTTTTTCTAAAATAAACTTGCAAGCTTAAGAAACAAAGTAGGATAGGTAGAGAAAGAGAATGAAACAACAGGCAACTAAAACTTCAGTAACCCCCAAAATAAAATATATATAAAACTAGGCTTTCGGTATTTTCTTACTAACATTTAAATTAGACTTTCTCTTGATTCTGAAACATCTTTGTTAAAATAGTTATAAAAGTATCGATAGTTACATGTAACTTATTCTTTACAATTTGAACAGTAATTCTACCTAAATTTAATTAGATTAAATAAAGATTAAATAGTAATTGATTACTTTTTTTCCGTTTTGATGGTTAAACTGAAAAAATAAATATATGTTTTAATGTTTCAGCTGTACAACAGCCTGTATAGTGAATACCCAAAAGACTTGATTTTGACCCAAAGCCTTTGTGTACAATTGTGTGCAATTGTGTGTAAACAAATGATAGGTGTGTAATAGGCATAGATTACTACCAAGGGCGGATCCGGGGAGGGGGGGGGGGGGGTAATGGGGGTCATGGCCCCCCCCCAAAAAAAAACGAACCCATTTTTTTTTTTTTTGAGTGATGTCGCAATAAAGGTAGGCACTGTGTACACAACAACCATTTCCTTAAAAAAAATGGTTATAGTGGACAGAAATTGCCTCAGATCACACCACAGAGCATCTAGAATCCAAAAATTTTGAACCCCCCCCCCAAAAAAATTGTGTTCTGGATCCGCCCTTGACTACCACACTGTATTTATCATGCAAATCCTGGGCCAATTTTATGAGGCTGCTGAAGCTCTGAAAACTGCTGAGTGCAGAAAGGTTTTGTAAAACCATTACAGCTTGATAACTGAACTGTTATGTGATGAATATTTATGGGGGATTTGTTCGTAGCTGACAGAAGATGACGCTTTTTAACCCTAACTTCCTTGCAGTAGCTTCTGCTTAACGGTTGAAATTTGGCCAATGTTGTCATAGGTGGCTTTAAAAAGTTATGACCAAAAACCCAACATATCTAAGAACTCCTCGTCACTCATTCCGGCCAGCGCTGTACTTCTCTCCCCCCCCCCCCCCCCCCGGACTTTTGTGACCTCAATTCCAATCAGGCCATCCAAGGACTGGATTTTTTCAGTCCCTGCCTGATTCCCTGGAATACCATTCTGGACAAAACTGACCATTTCTTCATTGTCTTCTCTTTTTAAATTTCCAAAGGCTTCCAAGCTAAAATGCAGTTGCACATTCAAGGAACCTTTCTTTTCATTACCAATTCTTATCTCTGTGAAACTTTGAGAATAAACACTGAAAACAAAACAACAAAAATAAATTCTATTCTTATCAGTTTGGACATTTAGGGAAGGCCCTAAGCTTACTTGATGAAACTGTAGGGGTTGAGTGATCCATCTGATCTGTTTCATGATGTTTCGGTCGTCGCATCTCTTTTCCTCTCTATGGCGACCATCTGCAGTACAGGCAGTACCAGCTGAAATGCGTCTTGAATGTAGGATGTGCTGTTTGAGGCCTGGTTGGGGTAAAACAAATTAAGAACAAGGATTATTAACGATAATTGTATTTATTTATCCTATTGGTTACTGTATCACCCTGCTAACTGCCCTACCTTATCCCCGAAGCGTCCAAAACCGCGCAAGCTCTCTATGGTTTTATGGAGTCATCAGTGAATGAACACAATGTAATACAATGTAATAGGTTAAAGCACATCAAAAATCATCAGGCAAAGATCATAAAACAACGATGCTCATGCAAAGTGTTATACAGACAGAATCCATAAAATTAAGGAAAAAGTAAAACTGCTGTTACAACAAGAAGTGACAAGTTTCACAAGATGTTTTTTTTTTACACATGTATTAATTAACCCTAACCCTGCAGGGTATTTTGTCTAGAAACGTTGCCCAGCGCAACAACATGTGACACTTGTCAAAGTGAGAAGCCTGCCCAGTGTGACAAGATCCACCAGGCCAGACATACCAAGGCAGAACTGCCTCAGAGTCTGTGGTTTGCCAACTGCAGCAGGATACAACAGTAACGTAGGACTATCTCTCATTGTCTCAGAATTGGCAATTTTGTGTGTGTTGATGGCCCAATGCAGCAATGTCCCACAGACTTTTTACACAGGTTGCACTATTTTCCAACATGCAGGATTAGGGGTTATGGTTTATGGTTTATCCTAACCCTGCCAGATGTAACACAGTGCATCAGGTGGAAAAGTCTGGTGCACTTTGATGCAGTCAGCTACCAACACCAGTGCATAAACGGCCGCTTCTGAAACAATGAGAGCTAGTCCCATAGAACAATGCCACAGTTGTATCCTGCTGCATTCGGTGACCACAGACTCTGAGGCAGTGTGGCCTTGAGACTATTGGCCCGATGGATCTTGCTGCACTGTGCATGCTTGTCATTTAGACAAGTGTTGCAGCAAAAAATGGATCTTGCTACACTGGGCAGGCTTGTCACTTAGACAAGTGTTGCATGTTGCTGCGTTTAGAAGGGTTTCTAGCCAAACTATACCCTGGAGAGTTAGGGTTAAGCAAGGCTCGGAACCTCGCCAAATTACAATCACAAAAAAAGAGCAAACAAAAGTTGACCTCTAAGTAGATGTTGGTGATGAGGGGGTTGACGTCGGCCGTCTCCGCCCCTTCTTCCTGATTGGCTGCCTCACGGTTCAGGCAGTCGGCAAACTTGGAGGCTTGGTTGCTGACCTCTGTGGCCAGGACACTTGTCAGTCTAAGTAAGAAAAAGAAGAAAAGAAAGAAGAAGAAGTGAACCAAAAGTTTTCAAATAAGGGAAATTCTTGGCATCGGCAGAATCATGCAGGAAGTGGCTAAGTCAGTGGCGCACTCTGTATTTGTGGTTAGTAGGGGCTGACCAACTGATTGGCGTTGCAAATTCAGAAGGGGGGCCTGGACCTGGATCTCATTGAACACTAGGGGGCGCTCTGTTTTTGCCTTTTTACTTTTCCTTCTTTCTATTAACATTTCATGAATCCGTTGTTTTTAAGGGGATAAGTAGAAATAATAACAATGAGCACTACAAAGCGCTTCACAATATTACCCCTGTTCATCAGGCCATGAGACCATTTTTTTTTCTGCAGTAGCTGGAGATCAGCGCAATCTGGTCTCTACCTTCACAGGTACCCATTTATACTCCTGAATGAAGAGAGGCAATCGCAGTAAAGTGTCTTGCCCAAGAACACAAGCACCATTATTCCCGTCAGGGTTCGAACCAGCGTACCACAGCACGAGTCAAACACCTTAACAAGTGGACCACAGCACTCCACCACTGCACTGATGTAACGTTGTCTTCACTTCCTCCATGGTCTTAATTATATTTTTTTAAACCAACTTTTTGAGGGCCCTGTTGGCCACACCCCCCCCCCCCAACCTGATCCACCAATGTGAAGACTACAACTGCTCTGATGTAACGTTGTCTTCACTTCCTTTGTGGTATTAATTATTATTTTTAAACTAACTTTTTGGGGGCCCTGTTGGCCACACCCCCCCAACCTGATCCACCATATGTGAAGACAACACACTTACTTGGAGAGGCTGGTAGCTCGCTGCACAGCATTCTTGGTGTGTTCTCTGTCCTGTGGCAGGAGCATCAACTCACAAGCCTTGTGGAACTGCTCTATCACTCTCGAGGAGAACTCGGCAAGGGTCTCGATGGCCTTGATGTGCAGCTCCTGGGAAAATTTACAAGTGCAAGTCATTTTCAAAATATTAAGACAAAAAACGGACACTCCACATCTGTTGAAGACTTACGTTAAACAGCATAATCATTCCAGGATAGTTCCAAATAAATGCTGTGTTTTGTAAGTTGAGTCCATCACAAGTCCTCTCACAAGCAAGGGCGGATCCGGGGGCCAACGGGGGCCATGGCCACCCCCCCCCCTCCCCCCCCCCCAATTTTTTTGTTTTTTTAAGTGACGTCACAATAAAGGCAGCCACTGCGTACACCGCCATCTTTTCCTTAAAAAAAGATTCAAGTGGTTAGATATTGCCTCAGATCGCACCACAGAGCATCTAGAAGCCAACACTATTTCGGGCCTTTAAGCGGGCCCCGAACCCAACGCCGTAACTTTTTAGACCCACTTTTTGGGGACCAAACTGCTTTTTTTCCCCCCCACACCAAAAATTGTGTTCTGGATTCGCCCTTGCTCACAGGTAAATCACAATTCAGCTCATAAGTCCAGTGACAAGTTGGAGGAGATGAACAATAACAAAGGAATGCCTTTGTCACAGTTCTTGTGACTTGACTTGGCACTGGATGACTTGTGATTGACCTGTAGTAGGCTTGCAAGGATTTGTGATGGACATATGCTATAGTCACAGGGGCCCTCAACTTAAAACTAACCTTGGTGTCTTGTTTCTGCGCGGCTTCTTGCTGTGATTTGCACTCAGCCAACCATTCATGAACACTCCTTTGAACCTGACCAACCAAAAACAAAAAATCATTGAAAATGTAACAGCACTTGGGAATTTATGGTTGTGTGCAATTTTAACCCTTATCATCTGAGATTGTTTCAAATCCACCATGAAGTTATGGTTAGGATTTGGCTGAACTGAGAAAGGTCGAGTTTAGCTTTATTCCTTTCATGGGGCTTTATGCCCCACAGTACAAGAATGAACCATTTGTTTCTACAGAGTGGAGGTATTGGGAAGATTCCTTCAAGAAATGCCTCTGGAGTCATGGCTTATGTTCTAAGAAGTTGACTGCAGATACAGCAGAGGTGAGTTTGCGGTAAAAACGAAATCCACAAAATAATTGGGAGGCGGTTAGAGGGCCCCAGAGAGCCCAAGAGCAACGTAGGGTATGTTTGTATTTGCCAAAGGCCCCCCTTAAAATACTCGGTTGCCAAAACACCTTTATGGTAAAACCTCAGGAATTCCAGATTTCAAAAGAGTTTCTTCAAAAATTATGAAATCGGAAAAAAAATCCTGACAACAAAATCCTGCAGTAAAGACAAATCCTGACAAATCTTATCCCTGATACAAAGTTATTCTGTGAAAAGACTGTGATTTAGGTAAATTTACAGATAAATGTGAAGTGTGAAACATAGTGTGTTGAGTGTGGTGGGACACACTCTTTCCTTTAAAGTAATGTTGTGCACTGGGTAAGGTTGACCACGCCAAACCGACCCGAAATATTATAGATATAAACCAAATTCAAACTCCCCAAATCCGACCCGACCTGACAAAAATTCCAGGGAAACTTACCTGAACCGACCCAAAACCGAACTGACCCCCCCCCCCCTCCCCCCTCCCCCCCGAATATCGGACTTGGGCCTGTGTTCACTTTTTGTGCCTGAACAAAGTCGCGCTGGGGGTTGACATTGGTCGTACCGGGCACAGTGACTCTGCAGTAATATTGCAATAATATCTGCAGTAATTTTCTAATAGTTTCGTTTTTCCCGGTTTATTTCGGGTTTTTCACAAGATGGCTTAACTGACCCAACCCGACAATCGCAGAGGCAAAACTGAAACCTACCCGACCCAACTGAAATGATGGAAAACCAACCCAATCTGACCCAAAGTCGGTTTTGGGTCAGGTCAGTTTCAGGTCGGGTTTGCATAACATTACTTCAAAGACGTAATAACTCTCACCCTTTGCAGTTTATCAGGAGTTGAAGCTACGCTCACGCCAAACAGATGCTCCGTGATCGCATTCACAAAATCCTGCTCGCTTCCTTCTGTTAAAGATAAAGTTAAAACAACTCTCTATGTAGATAAGGAATGTATATTTGCAAATGGATATTAGAATGCTCTCTATCAATTAAGCATATCTTTCAATTAGATGTTTGATTCATAGGACTGATCCCATTTTTCCTTTTCAATCTGCAAAACATTTCTGCAAGCTTGGACAACAAGGAATTGCTTACACATCCTTAGCTGGATCCAAGTTTTATTTTCTTAAAACTTATTTATGAATGGTTGAACACGGCAACCAATGAACACTTTGTGCGATGAATAAATACATGTACTTTCATCATGTGTGATGCTATCAAGCTAAATGAGTCGTTTGTCTGTAACTTTCATTTTGAGATTCAGGTCAAAATAGAGCCACTTCATCAGATCACTTCATCATGTCTCTTGACGTTCCGACCTCCATAATGTTTGAACTAAAGATGGTATCAACATGCGGTTTTCACAGCAGTTATGCTGAGATTGTACTCTTTTCAAATCTGTAATAAAAAAAATTTGATCAGAGTCGACAAACGACTCATTTAGCTTGATCGCATCAAATTGATGTAACCATGCCACATACCTGTTGAATTTCTGTAGAATTTCACATTTTTTTACACTTCAGAACTTTACAACCAATTAAAATAGCTGACTTTTATACATTTATTATGAAACTCACCAGGTTGCTCTTCTGATTCCAAATCCTCCAGCTGAAATGCATCCCTGATTTCAATCAGCTCCGTCTTGAGACTCTGAAGGTCCTCCCCACTGAGCGTGCTCAGTGACCCCTGAACTTTGCTCTCGCTCTGGTTGCTGATCATTTCCAGGGCTTCTAGGTGTGCAAGACCTGCATATTGGTATAAAAAGGATAAAGATGACGGGACGGAACATTTCAAGACAAAGACAATGGAGTACTGAAGTGTGACGTCATTTAGAACCAGAAAGTGTAGTGCAAACGAATGGAGTACGCGCGCGTGTTGGTTCTCTGGCTGAATCACGTGCTAATGTCTTTTACACACTTTTTGTGGGCATGACGTATTCACTTCGGTACTCCATAACAAAACGTACTTGTGAGTTTGATTTGGAGGTTTGATTAAGCCTAACCTTCCCAAATCCTCCAAAATCCTCTTTGCAAATTGGAGGATTTTGCAGGATTGAGGCTATATGGCAAAAGTGTGTGGCTGATTTTGGAGGATGCACTGTGTCAAGGTCTTGGGCCGGACCTTGTGTTGTTTATGCTCAGGCGTCCATAAATTTAGGCCTTTGCAGGATTAATATTGTATGCAATTTTTACATGGAGGCAGTTGGAGGATTTTGCAGATTGAGTTTGCATCCTAGCAAAAATGCCTGAGTTAGGATTAAATATTTGTTTTCGTTTATCGAAATTTGTCTGGTCTTACCCTGGTACTTATCAAACAGGATCCCGAAGTGCGCCCTCTGTCTTTCCCTTTCCTCCTCCTCCAACACGGCAGCAGTCTCCGCCTCCTCCTTGGCATCCCTCAACATCTGAAGATGATGAAATCGTACAAATCAGTCCCAATGTGAAGAACTACAACTCCACAAATGAATGCCAGACTTTGACATACAAACAGTCTTTCTGAAGTGGTGCATTTCTTTTCACAAATTGTACAGTCATGCAATAATCAACTGATTCCAGTATAGTTCCCTACTTAACCAGTTCAAGTCAGATGACGTGTATACATGCGAAGGTTTTGCGTTATTCGGAACGGATGACGGATAAACACGCAACAAGCGAGGCCGGAAATATCTGTCAGTGACCTGCTCCCATCGAGCGAGGGCATAAATATCAGGGTATGCTACCCACAGACGACGGCCTGAACCCGTCTGGCATCGAGGTTTGTGGAAACAACTCCACGCCTTGGTCCGGCCATGTCAAAATAATCCCGGCACGAACTGGTAAATTGTTTACAGATAAAGTCTTGAAAAGAGAAAACGCTGTAACTTATTGACCCAAAAATAAGCAAGAACTCATATAGAAAGTATACAGAGACAACATTTTCTTATGTTCAATGTTCTGAGTCAGGGCATCTATGTATGCTTCACATAAATGTAGTTAAAGTTGTTGGTCTTATTCTCACATCTACTTAAAACAGATCTACTTTGCCAAACACAGAGTAACCATTACAATTTATAGGAAAGATACAGATGCGCTCAATTACAGAAGCATTGATCTATAAAACCTTGTAAGGGTTAAGAAACAAACCTCAGACAGGTTTCCCTTCTGCCCACTCCGCCTGCCCTCCAGTCTGTGTTCTCCCTCCTGTAAGACATCCATCGTCTTACGTCCGATGGTCTCCAGGGCATCCAGGCCTCCAGTGACCGTCTTGCCAACAACGCTGGTGATGGCCGAGGCTCCGAGGGACAGGAATCCCTTCATGCTGGACGGGACCGAGGGTTGGTCCTCTGGGGTGGATTGATCTGTAAGGAATGCAGATATTAATGTTCTGGTTTTTTTTTTTATTCAACACATGAACGAAGTTGAAGTAGTTGCCACTGAATTGGGGAAGTTGGCCGGGGAAATGATAGGAATCATATAACCACACTCATAATTAACAGGGTTTTCCCAACAATTTTTGAATATAACCCTAACAGACTGTTGAATTGTTAGTGCCCAATGTAATTTTAAACTTTACTCTGCGGGCACGAATGGCCATCAATATAAATCTCAAAATATCTGGCCACTACAACGATAAATATGAACACAAGTAAAATGTCTCAGTTCTGATAAGAACATTGTGCAGTATGTTAGCCTAAGGATGTTGCAATGAGTCTTGCACAAGACTGCCAATGAACAATCAAGACACACACATACTTTAAGATCCAGCAGTGTTTATAAGAATTACAATATTCTTTTTTTAATTCATAAAGAAGGAGTCCAATCTAATCTATGTTTCAGATTAATTTGGTTTAGCTTGATTTTGGGATGCCAGTCTTGAACAGGTGTTAGCAACTTGAAAAGGGATATCCACAATCTTCTCCTAAGAGACGTTCTTACCTTGTTTCTCATCGCCTTCCTCTTCACCCTCTTTGCCTCCATCCCTCTCCATCTCTTCTCCCTCCCCTGGATCCTTTGTCTCCTCATCCTTGTCCTCATCTTTGTCTCCATCCTCTTCCTTGCCCTCCTTCCCTTCTCCTCGCTCATCCAGGGTTACGATGAATTCCTGCTGCCTCTTTTCTTGCTCCGTGAGCTCCTCTGGTTTTGGCAGCCCCAGGGAGGTTTCGACATTCTCGATGACTGAGCTCAAACCATGACCTGCAGAGAAACACATTCCTTAATCTTAAATTGCTGTGTGATAAATTGAGAGTAGTGTCATCAAATTTGGACTGTGAATATGTATTTTGTTTTGACAGCCAATTCAGGCATGCTTACAATGTAAACGAGGGCAAGTTCATTACATGTATTGTCTTAAAGTACAAGCACCGCAACCTCATTTGTGATGACTACTCTGTGATGTAGGCAGCAACCTTTTCAGAGGATCTTATTTTCTCATGGTTGAGAGAGAGCACTTGGGGATGACTTATTAACAAATCTGAAAGATTGTCATGTGAGTAGCTTCAGGTACAAAGGTAAACTTTGGTGCAATTTCACGGCTTTGTTTACCATCAATGAATCTTTAGGGGCCTACTGAATAAAAACACTGTGCTCAAGGTTTCAGGGTAAATATATTCGACAGCAATTTTTGGTGTGAACGTGTATGTGTGCACCTGTAGATCCCTTCACTGATGAAGCTGTGCTTAAGCCATTACAGGATTCGAGCAGTATTTCTGTGTTAGCATTTCAAGCATAAATTGGCGATAACTAGTGCACCATTGCCTGGTTAGCAGAGTGAATGAAACTGAGTTTCGTCCTAACATGCCTAACCCGAGCGGTAACCTACCTACTGCAGACACTGATGAGACCAGTGAGGCACCCCATCCTCCCCACCCCCAGCCGCCCCCGCTGGCTTTCTTCTCTGCAGGTTTCTCCCCCGTCAGTTTGCTAAGGGCTCCCATGATACTCCTCCCTCCTCCTGCCTCAGCATCTTCAGCAGCATCAGTCTGTTTGGACGAGGCGGATGCACTCTCACCTGTCCTTTCATCTGTTTCCAACGTCTTGTTCTCATCATCATCTTGACTTGGTTCTGGAGATGCACCCTGAGCATCCCGGTTTATCTCGCTTCCCGTTTCTAACAATTGTTCAGCATCTTCCTTGACGTGTGGCTTTTGTTCCTCCTCTTCAGGGACCTGAGAGTCTGTTTTTGCTTTTGCATCTCCACCTTCTTCTGCGAGTTCACTCTCAGGTTGACTGTCTTCCTTTTTCGGAGATGAGTCATCTTGCTCTTTTAAGTTTTCTTTCTTAGAACTTTCTGGTGGTGTGTCTTCAACAGCAGAGGTTCGTTCTTCTTTCTTATCAGACTTAAGTTCACTCTTGACGCCTTCCGCAGTTTCAACATCTGCATCGGGTTGATTTTGCTCTTCCAACTGTGTTTCGGAATGTGGCTGCTGCTTGGTGTCTTGTTGATCTGTCTCTGAGGAAACTGCGGCATCTTTCTCAGACATTGTGGCTTCTCCTTTCATCTCTTCAGAGTTGTCTCCTTTGTCATTCATTGATGCTTTCTTTTTCTTTCCCTTCTTCCCTTTGGCTTTCTTCGAATTTGGTTTCCCTACATTTTGGACCTCTTTCTTGCCAGATGCACCACCTGAGGAAGTCGATGATGGTTGTCCTGATTTGGATGGTTTTTCTTCAGATTTCTGTGATGGGGGAGTGACTTCTTCTTCTCCCGCACTGTGAAAAGCTTCTTCATCTTCACTGTCTGCCATGATGGGTATGGTTTTTATAGACAGTTGTTTCAATCTGTGGACGAACAAATTTGAGTGAGCTGTCATGGCTGTATACTAGAGCTACATGTAAATCCTGACTAATCAGATTTGGAAACATAATTTTGGCAAATCACGCACATGTAAACTGTGGTCTTCGTGTGGAGAAATTAAAATTTTGAAATTAGTAATGATAAATTATTGTTAAGTGTCAATACTGTCATTGTCAAAAGTAAATTCAAAAATATTGCTATTGCCTGGAGATTTGTGAAAAATAGTAACCCCATAAATGTGGCCAATTTACTGGAGTCCAGTAAATTGGCCACATTTATGGGGCTAAAAAAAATTGAGTTCTCATAATATCAACTTCAGTTTTCAAAATAAGCGCAGCCACCAGTGGCAAGAAAATCAGCAGATGTTGAAAGTTTATATTATTTTTTGTATGGAAAATTCATTGAAATTTATACAGTTTCGTTGTTACCTCTGTTTAAAAGGAGCTTCATACTCACCTCCCTCTCAAACGAGTGTTAAAACTTCGGAAAGACGTTCACAAACGAGGGATATTTGGCCACGTCAACACGAAACACGTTCCAGTGTCTGAACTAGTCCGAGTAACTTGGACCCAACTTATCGCCTTTTTAAAAATTTGGACATGGTCTGGCGATAGTAGGGTCCAAGCCCATTCCTCGACCTAGACAACACAGTCACTGACAGTCCCAAAAACCAACATTTTCCAACAAAAAACATCAGATTTCACCTTCAAAACGGCCTCCAAATTACTAGATATGTCACCTGAGGTACAAGTAGACATAGATGATTAAGATGGTTGTACTTAAGTTTACTTACGATCCGGAAAAAAAGTGAAATTTTCCGTTCAATTCTGGAGACCCCCTCTGCCTAGGTTGTCGTTGTTGTGCTCACGTTCAAAACTGCATGATAATGGCGTCTGACCTCGACCTCATGCAAATGTGGTGCGGCGCGCTTGCGCATAATGCACATAATGCAGCATACACGGCAGATTCCCCTGCGCCGCGCCGACGACTGTTTCCTGATGTAGAGCGCTGTGTAAGTTCGCGGTACGCCTGGCTAGCCAGCGCGACTCCCAGGCGTACCGCGAACTTACACAGCGCTCTACATCAGGAAACAGTCGTCGGCGCGGCGCAGGGGAATCTGCCGTGTATGCATGCAGTGCATTATGCGCAAGCGCACCGCACACATTTGCATGAGGTCGAGGTCAGACGCCATTATCATGCAGTTTTGAACGTGAGCACAACAACGACAACCTAGGCAGAGGGGGTCTCCAGAATTGAACGGAAAATTTCACTTTTTTTCCGGATCGTAAGTAAACTTAAGTACAACCATCTTAATCATCTATGTCTACTTGTACCTCAGGTGACATATCTAGTAATTTGGAGGCCGTTTTGAAGGTGAAATCTGATGTTTTTTGTTGGAAAATGTTGGTTTTTGGGACTGTCAGTGACTGTGTTGTCTAGGTCGAGGAATGGGCTTGGACCCTACTATCGCCAGACCATGTCCAAATTTTTAAAAAGGCGATAAGTTGGGTCCAAGTTACTCGGACTATGTCTGAACACATGTAAGTGTTGTGCCCATTCTTGAAAATCACGCATTCTCGAGAATGGGCATGCACATTCTCGAGAATGGGCGCGCATTCTTAAGAATGAGCGCCCATTCTTAAGAACGAGCACGCGTTTTTAGAATGAGCGCTCATTCTTAAGATTGGGTGGGAATATCACGTGCACAATTTATGAATTTTGCCCAATCTTAACAAACATTGCACGACATAATTATGTTAAATGAATTGTATAGCGGTTAAAAGGGAAACAATTCATATAAAGAGGAAAGAAAATGTGCTATGCTTCTGTACTCGTATAACTACGATAATTTGAATCAAATTAAACCTGTTATTATTGCTTTTTTCTGCCCACTATGGGAAGTTTTGTAATAACGGAGGACTGGGAACTAGTCTGGGAAGTGCTTTGTTTAGGCTAGACAAGTTACAAGTCCCTGCATGTATCATATGCGTGCCACGAAAAAAAACGATGTCCAGAAGCTGCCAAAATTGCTCTTTTGACTAGATAGAATCCAGCTCTGCGACGTTATGGTGGGATGTGAACAATAAATTGGTGGCAATTTAAATGGGAAATAGCATTAGCACTATGGGATGTCGCAGTATTCATTCTCATTCTTCACATTCTTCATTCTTACGTCCCCCCCCCCCGCTTTTATTATCCCAAAAATCAGAATTCTTTGCACTAGTATTATTATGTCTCTTATATTTTCCCGGTCCCCCCCCCCATATTAATACGCCTTTACTTATCATATCCACTCTACTTTTCAGCGCCTTGCGTTGCAACAGTATAATTATTGAGAATCAGTGAACGAGGATTCAGCTAGACTTGCCAAGCGCAGCCGGTGCTCGGCATCGACAAGACCGTTATCTTGTCGCGCATTCTCGAGAATGTGCGCTCAATCTGGAAGAGTTATTTTTTGCCAAGATTGAGCAAGGATCCAGTTGCACATTCTCAAGAATGTGCACGCCCATTCTCGAGAATGCGTGATTTTCAAGAATGGGCACAACATAAACATCACTGCGTTGATTTGCCAGGTATAATTTTTCTACGTGTACTTCGTGTTAATGACAGCAATAGCGCCCTCTATAGTCAATTTGGCACGTTTTGGTAGTTTCTTTTTTTGAACGTTTTATTTGCTATGCAATGCATCAACATTTTCACAAAAAAATCAGCAAGTAATTTTTCTTGAGGGGAATATGGTGGACAATAGATGGAATTTATTACATTTTTGCACGTTTGTGAACACAACACAAACTAACAAGAAAATTATGTCCTTCAGTTGTAGTAATTTATCCTTTTCCATTTTTCCGATAAAAACATTTTTGTTTTGAAATTTTGTATTCAGCTATTTAAAATGGTCGGGTACTTATCAAAGCCACACATATAAGCAAACAATTAACTGTGGCAATTGTTTTTGTTGATCGAGTTCCGTACCAAATTCAAATTGATGAGATTTTCAAGTTTGTATTTCAAACACACACAAGAGACAAACACCGAGAATGACGATGAAATGACAAAACTGAAAACAAGAATATTTTCAAAATAATTTATTCAAATAAAACCCACAGAGGCATACTTCACAATATGCACAAATTAAAAATTCTGCAATAAAAAAAGAAGGAAATAGATGTACATATGGCACAAGGGTATAATTAAACCAATGTTTAAAAGTGATGAATATTACTACGTAAATAAAAATGAAGATAAGATGCCACAATTTGGTGACTGGAGTTTATCAGTTTTACTAATTAAAAAGTTTCAGAATTTACATTCTTCTGAAACATCGAGGATAAACTTTTTGGAAATAAGAGTGTCTCAACTTATGGGCGTGAATTTAAAACAAATAAAACGAAGATAAAAATAACTGTATTTCATTGCCAGTCATCCAACAGAATTCCAGAGCATTAAGTTGGAATGCAGTAATGCCAGTCACAATAGTTTATAAAATATAGCGATAAAAATGACATATCTTCAGATTAACAGAATTTTCCCCCATCCAAATTATAATTTGATAATTCCAAACCCTGAGAATTGTTTTGGTCTATGGGTAGGATGGGAAAAGATCTCAAGGCAATAGGCTCCGTGCACAAGTACCGCCTCAACGGTAAGAAAGGGAGGGTTGGGGAGACCACTGGGAGAGACATTTAAACGCATTGTTGATGACGCTCATGGAAGTACATCATGGGTTTGGGAACATTCAGAATAAATTAAGCTGTGCGCGCGTACTTCGCGCTATATGCGCGTGAACCAGTACGTGCATGCAGTGTGTTCTGTTCACTGGGCCCTTGAAAATGGTAAAAAAGCGCCCTCTCTTTTTCGCGCACGAAGCCAATGGATGGCATACAAAAAATGGAACCTATTAAACTGAAAGGGAGGGGTAGTGATTGAGACCCTGGGAGGGTCCAAGTTGGCCTTAGAACAATGGCGTGTTGTGGAATGACGTTTTGGAGATAAGGTGGAGGAGTATGGGATATTGCAAGTACTAGCATCACGTCCCTGTTGCGTAGACCGTTGAGTAGCGACTTCTCTCGGACGTGTTCTGCTCCTTCAGCCTGCTGTACCATCTGGGTGGATCCTTTGAGGTCTGATGGAGAAAAGAGTACAGAAATTTGAAGAAAATCATCACTAGAGGTTCTTCTGAAACAACTAAGGACACAGGAGCATCAGCCGTTATTAAGCTTAATCGTTTTCGTGAGTCCTACAAGGAATTCTTACAAAAATCACATTGAACATTTTTGGTACATTTCTTCTCAAACACTCAAAAAGAGTAATTCTGGATTAACGAGTAACAAAACGGAATGATGCTGTACTTGATACACACAGGGAAACTTTAGGCGTTAGGATTGTTGCTGTTAAAGCCATCAGCAGTTAGCATTACAGTAAAAAGCAAAGAAACCCAGAAGGCTTGGAGCACTCAGAACTCAGAACTTTCCAACTAACCCTGTGCGACAGGGAAAACACAATGTATAAACACTGGTATATTAAGGAGCATTTTTCAGGCTTAGAACGGGATTGATTACAAAGGCAGCGTTCCCAGCACTTTATGAAAACAAATTTTCCTGACTTTTTCGCTGATATTTCCCTGCAAAAATTAAAAAATTCCACGAGAATTATTGTTTCACTTTTTGGTTGCTGGCAAGTAAAGAGGTGGTCGCAGCAAAGCAACTAAGATACTGATAATACACAGGCAACTTGTTGACAAGCGAGGGCCTCCCTTCTCCCCTTACAGCCATCCTTTCCTCACCACATGCAACAGAGATGCACATACGTCAACCTGACAAAAACCTTTCCCTTCTGGGCCACTGTCACATTCCCTGAGTTTTCCCCTGATTTTTCCCCCCAAATTCCCTGAGTTTTTCCTGACTGGAATAATGGAAACACATTTTCAAGGCTTCCCCCAATTTTCAGAGTGGCTGGAGCCCTGAATGGGATGTTAACATATCAGAACACACCATGTCGCCAACTGCACGGTCACCAAATAGTCAGCAGTTTCAGAAGCTTGCATATATACAGGAGGTTTCTTGGGGGATCATGCAACTTACAAAGATAGTTGGAGCTGGTTTGTAAGAGTCTGAACTATGATGTTTTGTTGGGCTTGATGCTGCCCGCTTGCTGGTTGATGTATGCGTCTTGGCTGGGCTGGGCACTTTCTCAATGTGCACTGGGCCAGGATGTGAACCAGAGACCCTGGGTTGGTAGCGCTGGCTCATGTTTAATACAACCTGCTTCATGACTGCCATTTCCTGCAAAAACAAACATCAGTATGGGTTATAATACAAGGAACATCAATGCAAAAAAAGCAATGCAATTAATTTCTGACTTAATAAATTAATTAATTTCTTAATATCGTTGACATAATAGGGGGCTGTATATTAATAATGTGGTGCTTATATAGCGCTTTATACCATTGAAAGTCTCAATGCGCTTCACAATTATTACCCCTGTTCATCAGGCCATGAGATCAATTTTTCTGCAGCAGCTCAAGATCAGCACAATGTGGTCTCTATCCTCCCAGGTACCCATTTATACTCCTGGGTGGAGAGAGGCAATTGTAGTTAAGTGTTGTGGCAAAGAACACAAGCACCATGTTCCGCATCAGGGTTCGAACCCATGTACCACGGCAAACACCGTAACCATTGGACCACGGGATGGAGAGCCAAATTAGAAAAGTTCTGGAACGGTATTCAGGAGGTGACAGGTTCAAACCCAAACAAGTCAGACAAGAATTTCCTCTATTATACCTCTCTTTGATTCAGGAGTCTTTCCAGATCAGCAGACATCTGATTTCTGGCTTGGATCAACTCCTCTCGTTCCTGCTTCAACCGTCTGCAAATATTGACAAGACAAAATGACACAAAAAAATAGACAAAAGAGAATCTACATGTGCACAGACTAATAAGAAAGTAAATTTTGAGTATCAATCTTGAATATGATACTGCACATTTTCTCATGTCATCATGATCATCAAAAGGAAGATGAAAAAAAAACCAAGCTCATCAAACTTTTCTGAAGAATTTTACAAATTTATCCTCAACTTGCCCAATATCCTTTTCGAGTGTAGAGATGTGGTCCTTGTGTTTGCTGATCTGGCCGTCCCTGCCGCGTATGCTCTCAATCAGATAGTTGTACGGTTGCTGGGCCTGATCTAGGAGTGATGTGGCACTGGAAAGCTGCGCAGAAAAAGAAGACGCATAGCGACTATGCCAATAATCTAAGAAATTTCACAGAAATACTTTGAGATTGAGAAGACCTATCAACCCGTTGAAGGGAATGTACAACATTTGCTTTTGCTGCAATTTTCAGAAATAAATGGATTTGGAGGAATAGTATGTTATAGCAAATATTGTTACACTGCCTTTTGTTCACGCTTTGGGTTCGTAGATGCTGGAAAAACCAAGAAAACCAATCATATTCTTGTTATCTGGTTCCCTGACCCCACTTAAAATGAAACAAAGCAATTTATAGACTTTGGGGAATTGTAAGGTCAGAGAATCTGTCTAGCAGGCTTGTACCTCTTCACAGGAGTGTAATCAACTGCAAAGAAAATGCAGACAAACTAAATATGAAAAATAAGGAGCAATTTTTGAAAAAGAGCCAGTTTTCTCCAACGCTGTTCAGCCGACCAGCATTGAAAAAAATACAATTTTTCTTGAAAATGTCAGCACACCAGGAGCCACGATTTTACAGGATGCTTTAGACTGTCATTCCCTATCAATCTAGTAAGGTATTTCGTGATAATTTGATCATTTCGTTTTTTGATGTTTGCAAATGTTGTATCTTCCCTTTAAGGCAGTGGTGGATGCAGGATTTTCCAAATTGGGTGGCTGGGTTGTTGGGGTGGGGGGGGGGGTGCGTAATTTTTATTCCTAGGAGGGTTAGGGGCAATGTCATGAATAATTCATGTTTATCCATGAGAACGGACAATGACATCAACAGCATTGTTGTTATAGTTACTCAACTAGTTACAATACATTAAAGCATTTTAAAGAACGGTTGTCGTCGAGCTACCACACAGTAGCCTAGTGGATAGCGAGATGAGCTATGGATACAAAGATCCCTGGTTCGAATCCACGTCGTCGCTGCTCATTTTCATCAGCTATTTTTCTTCTCATAATTTATCACCGAGATAATTTTAAATTAAGGGGAAAATAGAACGAGAACCTAAGTCTTGCAATGATTTAAAGGAAAAACTGAATTATTCATGACATTGCCCCTAACCCTCCTAGGAAAAAAAATTACGCGGGGGGGTTAGCTACCCCAACCACCCCCCTTGGAGCCAACCTTGCAAGGTAAGGTAGCTCTAACCTGCATAGTTGTAATTAAGTCACAGGTAAGCCGCAAGTCAAATCACAAGTAATGTGACAGGTATCGGTGGATTAAATGATGACAAAATAAGACCTTTGGCCCAATCATTTCAAAAGCTTCTCAAATGACTTGTGATTGACTTGAAATGCCATTTATGATTGAACCCAAGTAACTTACAGTCCTGAATGACGTGGAAATATCTGAACGCAGCCTCAAGCAATATTCGGACCCCCCCCCCCCTCACCAATTTGAGTGATTTGGAATAATCAGGCTAACCTCTTCCCCGAGTTGATGCATCTGTGTTTTGTTGTTGTCAAGCTCCTTCTTCATCGACGTGTTGATCCTCTCCAGTTGCAGAACGCGTCTTGCCAGATGGACACTGTTGAATGACACAAATTAAAGACAAAATTACATAAAAATTGTTCTAGAATAAAGACAACTGTAACTGAGCAACTGAAACTCACCCTCCATGGTCAAAACATAATTCTTAAAATGAGGGACTTTTCAGATTGAAAGTGGAAGTTTTTCATTTGAGCTTACCTATGCTGCAGTCTTCGTTTTGCCGTTGACGGAACGTTAGCACCGTACCCGTATGAGAACAACACTCTTTCTGCTGTCTCATCATTGTCATCTGAAATTGAATGACACAAGAAAGGAACATGAGCCATAACCATTCGAAATGCTGCAACCCTCCCAGTTACTTTACACTGAAGTTGATGTCCCTTGAAAAGTACAAAGAATGTGTTGTTTGATTCCCACACAGTGTGGGATTTTTTAGGATTCACTTAGGCCGCCCTCAGGTCGACCTCGTGACGACCAGAACAGTCAGCGACTGACTTTTCAGGATCGAACTGCGCCTGAGCTATGACCATCAGGAACACATCAGTCACAGATTTTTTGTGACCCGAGTGTAAATTTGACATTAAGACGATCAGCATCAGTCATTGCTCAAAAAAATTTCAACTTCTGTGACGTGTTACTGACAGGCAGGAATCATTCGCTGTCGACCTGTATAAGTTACGACGTCGTGAGCACATCCAGATTATCCTACTTCATTGTGTAGCCAATCAGTCTGCAGCAAAAATGGTCGAATGAACAGAGGTGGCTGTGGAAGATCGTTTGATTGTTTTCAACACGCGAACCGCCATTTTGAAGATGTCATATGATCACGTCTATGCTGAGGAAGTGTTGTGGCGTCGTGGGTGACTTACGCACAGTTGCGATTATTTTGTGGTGAGGCACCGCTTGTTTAAGGAGCAGTCTAGTGGTGGAGCACAGGATTCGTGATCGAGAGGTTGTGGGTTCGAGCCCCACCGTGGTCATGCGTGTTGTGCCCTTGAGTAAGGCACTTTACCTCAACTACTCCTCTCAACCCAGGTGTTAAATGGGTACCGGCATTATTCAATGCTGGGAAGGTAACAGACTCGCTGTGGAGGAGGTGTGGCGATCCTCCCACAGCAGCATACGAGTCTGGCCCAATCGCTAATGAAAGAGAGATGGGCACTCCGTTCCTGTGAATACAGGTTCGTCCCCTTTACTTTTTACTATTAGAGAAGGACATTGTGGCAATGACTGACTAAACCAGTTGTTGAATGGCTACAACTTTATTTCTTTCTTTTGCTAGTTTTGTGCTAAAAGTGGATAGCCCTAGCCATTGACTTACTCTCTGCAGCTTGCATGACCACATCATCCAGTTCCTTCTCCAGTTTCTCATAGATGTCCAGCTTGGCACGCAGCTCAGAAATCTGAGCTTCAAGCTCCGTTGCTTTACGGTCCGACGACGTTTGCATACTGTAGTATTCCTTAGTTAAAACCTGTACAAATAGAGGACAATTAGCATAAAAATACTGAAGTACTGAATTCTGTTCTTATACAACATGAGCTCTGTGCACCAGTTCCCTCTCAACAGCAAGAAAGGACAAGTTGGGGGAGACCACTGGGAGGAAAATTTGAATGCTTTGCCGACAACGCCTGACGCTCAAGCGAAGACGCTAGGGCTTGTGAACATTCAGAATATAATTAGTGGTGTATACTCCTTGCTTTACGCGTGCAAACCAGTGCACACACAGTGTGTCCTGTCCAGTGGGCTTTTTAAAGCATTCAAAAGTGGCCTCACTAGTTCGCGCAGAGAGCCGATAGATGGTCTTGGAGGTAACAACCTAGGGTTCGAACCTTCAAAACCCAAGTTTTCCTTAGGCCTTGTATATCTAAATTTGTACTTGAAACAATTTCTGTTGATGTGCACTCCAAAAAAATTTGCCTACTATTAAAAGCATCAAGATGAATCTAGTTTGAGAAATTTTGGCACCTAGACTCCAGAAATTCCGAGCAAACCTCAGGCCTGCTATATTCAGGCTAATGTGATGGCTATGTTTAAAATTTCGCAGGTGCAAGTACAATGTACTTGAATTCCCCGACTGGATATGATTCATCTTATTGATAGTGGTCTCTACCGCTGTGGCGACTTGGCTGCAGGGAGGGACTGGCAGTGTTAAGGGAAAATAAAAGAATCCAATCACGGGGCCTAGACTAGAGTTACCTGGATCTTCTGGCGGTGTTTGTCCAGCTCCACCTGGGTCTTGTCCAGGTTCCGTAGCGTCTCCTCTTGCAGCATGTGGGCCCTCTCTGCCTCAAACTTGTGCATCCTGACCTCGCCCAGCATCTCTGAGGTCTTGCTGTCTGACGTCATCTGCAACTGCCTCAAACTAAACAGACAAGACGTTATGATTCAAATCGTCATATGTGTCAAAACTAACATATAAGTTTAATACACCATGAAGTGATCGTGCATAGACTTTGTGCACATGATAAGCCGTGTCCGAATTACTTGGCTACAATTGGAAATCACACACACGCCTATGGAAGCGGCTGCAGCCACTTCCCCATAGACCCCTGTATTATTTTCAGCCACAGCCAAGTAATTCAGACGTGGCTCTTTATCATTTCATGGCTTGGCAACTGTACACTATTTCACTTAGACTCGATGACAAGCCGTTATATAGTCGTATTTTTGTCCGTGAACTTCAGTGGAACTCCATCGGCGCGGCTGGTATAAGACTAGTACGTAATCGGCAGGGTTGCGACAAATCTAACGACTTGACGATTATGTTCTTGCACCATTATTCATATATGCAAGCAGCGCAATACATATTGCAGTGAGATCCAATTGCGCAGCGCTATGCAAATGAGGACTCATTCATTCCGTTAAATGAGGAGTTCTTCTCAATACATCAGGGGCATGTTTGCAGATCTGGCGACGTTTTAACGACCAATACACTCAGTTTGGTCAATTGTGTAAAGAAATTAAAATGTATCATTGTGATATCCTCGATTTATTTGAGTTGTGTATGCCCTATAATGAATTTTGTAATGTTACACAACACAAAGTACAAACCCTCAAAGTTATGAGAACAATCTTCCGTGGCGGCCTAGAATATGCTCATGCTCGCATAGAATTCGCGCCATACTCCCATATGTTGTGTACAAAATTGAAAACGTATTCGCCAAGTTGGTAATTTTATCAGAAATAGTCAGCATCATTTGGTCAGGGAACCAGACTACGCGCATTGCAGCAATATTTTACATGCGTGGAGCCAGTAACCGGTACCGTACGCAAAACCATTACCGACTTGGCACCAAGTCTATATTTCCTTTGTTTTATTCATTTCATTTGGCTACAGAATTGAACATCGCACAAATTTCATCTTTGCACCAATATTCACTACAGTTTGTGAATTTTTTTTTTGCAAGCTTTCAAATAAAATCACAGGAGGGAGGAATCCGACTGATCCATTCTAGCTTTATTACTCACTCTGCAAGTAGTTGGTCATATTTGGCACTGCATTCCTTCTCTGCTGCCACTGCTCTGTCCTTCTCTGATAAAGCAGTGTCGCGATTCTCCCTCAGATTCCTAAAGGAAAGACAACAAAATAACATCAACAAATCATTGAGAGATGGCTTGTGAAATACATACGCTTTCTTGGAAACCAAATGTCTTGAGAAAATCCAAGTTGTGATGAAATTTTGGCTGCAGGCACTGAAGCGGCAAGGCCTGGTGAGGTTTCTGGATACTGTGCTACGCTTGGGAGTCAGGTTGGTGTAGCGGTACTTTCCTAGCCTTCCACTGCTGTGACCCTGGTTCGAATCCCGCCTGGGCAATATGTGGATTGGGTTTTCAGTCCCTACCTGATTCCGTGGGTTTCCCCTAGAAAATTCTTCTGGACTTTTCTTCCCACCTCTAAAACTGTAACTTCTTCTCATTGTCTTCTCTCCACAGGTTTCTTCAGGCTTGCGAGCTACAGTGCCTGGGCCGCTTTTGAGGAATACTTGGTTTCATTACCAGAAATGATTAATTATAATAATAACAATAATTGTCTGTCAAACAAGGTCTGTACTTGTGTAAGTAACTCAGCAGTTTCACAGAACTGCTTCAGAAAAAAAAACAAATAAAATGCAACACAACAACTGTCACATGCCATGGAGAAATGTGTACGTGTGAATGGTGCAGTGTCCCATACCTATTCTCACGTTCAAACATCTCTCTAGTCGTGGTCTTGAGCTTGTCCACCTCGGTGTCTGTACGAAGTCTGATGGCCTCCAGTTCCTCACGCAGCCTGCTCTCATACTCAGCTTTGTAACGATCCCTGGAACAAGTAAAAACCATTAACACAAAGAAAAGAGATGAAAGTTTTCTAGTGCTAATATTAACTTTTTCTACCAAAGCTGCAAGACTCAGTACGTCAGCAGAAAAACAGAGCACTATGGTCTAAAAACTCAACAACATAAAAAAAAAAAAAAAATCTTTTGAGGGTGCATTCTTTATAAAACTTCTGACAGAGAGCATTGAGCTGTTCGGCATTTAACAGAAAACTGTAAATAAAATGAAGGAACGTAAGTGAAAGTTCTGCCCTTCAGTGATTTAATTTTATAAGCATTGTGCTTAAAAAATTATATGCGTCAAAGGTACAACCCAATCATCAAATATACATCTCCCAAAGGAAAATCCAGACAAAGTTGTAACAGGAGGTTTGACAATCAGCAGAAGCAACCTGATTCAATGTACACGTCTGGATCTTCTAAGAACAGTACTTGTTTTAGTAAAAATGTTAATGTTGTTAATCAAGACAAGTCTTTTACAATATTGAGATCATTTTGCAACCCCATGACCTAGCGGTTAAGAGCACCGGACTCATGCTCTGGTGTTTCAGAGGAAAACAGTGGCGTGGGTTCGAGCCTGGGCCCGGACACTTGTGCCCTTAAGCAAGGCACTTAACCATTATTGCTTCGTCCTTTGGATGGGACGTAAAGCCGGAGGTCCCGTGTGTTGTGTAATGCAATGCACAGAAAAAAAACCAGTAACACTTATCGCTAAGAGAAGGGGTTTGCCCAGTGTTTCTGGCCTCCTAGTTATACTCCCTTGTGGAAGTCCTGCAGGAGAAGAACCAACCAAGTACCATACCTTGACTCCACATATTTCTCGTACAGTTCTTCTCGCGCCCTCTTGGCATTCTCCAGGTCGGCGGTGGTGTCCCTCAGCCGACTCTCTGAGTGGTCATGCTTGCCAGTCAGGTCATTCAGCTGCCTGTGCAGGTAGTCCTTGTCTTGTCTCAGGAGGGACAGCTCTTGATTCACTGTCGACAACTAGGAATTTATAACAAAAAACATGGAATGAAAATTCTGCCACGTGAGAGTTTTTGCAAGCTCCATGTGGTGGCAGTTTCTCCGACCAAAAATGAGATTCCATTCAAAATTACGGAGCTAATGAGCAAACAAATGTCTGCTGAGCAAAAAAATCTGATTGGCTAAGCTAAAAGAATTAAGCATACCATTTCCAAATTTTTATGGATAAAATTCAAAATGGAAAGATTCCCATATCTGGCCATCACAAACTTTTCCTTCAGTGACCTATATCAGCCATCAGAAAGTGATAATGTGTCCTAAAAAGTCAAATTTAGCAGGGAAAATATTGAATTATTAACTGAGAAAACACATTTTCAAACCAGTCTCATACGGTTTGTGCACAGGGTGACAAGTGATGGCCAGATATGGGAATCTTTCCTTCAAAATTCATTTTGATAGCAGGAACGATGCTTCTGACCTGCTTTGTAATGTCTTCTTTCTCACTCAGAGTGTTCTTGTACATCACGTCCAAATAGGTATGCTGTTTCTTCAGCTCCATGTAGTCATGTTCCAAGTGGTCTCTCTCACTGAAAAAAAAACCCCAAAATTTATTGACCAAGCTTATATTGAACGCTACATAAAATGTGGTCGATACTTTTACACAATAATGTTAAAGCAAAAACGAACGGAGATGCAATCACATGCAATAAACATTGAATGATAATGGTTAGCTGTTTCTGCTCAGCATATATGTTCTGTGCTTAACAATTATCTCTGCAAAACTGCTGCATGAAAGACGCCCTAAATCTGCAGACATATTACATTTAAGACAAAGACTGCTTTATCAAAAAAATACCTATCAAATTTCCAGTTCTATTCAACAACATTTTGAATCTATGCAAATTATTGAAAGACATTCAGGAATTAATAGTCTCAACAAAGCAAAATCCATATTGGTGTTTGAAATAAATACTACCACCTAATAGTAACTTAGTACATTTTAGTAGGTAAACGAGAACTGTCAAGACTGTAGAGCAACTGGAATAATATTTTTGATCCTGTCAGTGTACTGTACCTTTTGACTCTGTCGTAGTTTTCTCTCTTGTAGTCTCCCTGCTGTATGGAGGCCTTGGTGTCTGCTAGCTCTAGGGTCAAGCGCTGACATTTGGTTTCCAACTCAGATCTCGCGTTATGCTCAGTTGTTAGGGTCTGTCAAATCAGAACAAGAAAAGCCACAACAATGACTGTAATACAGAAAATAAGGCATGAATTAAGATGAATTGAAAAAATATAATAAATTGAGGAAAACTGATCAAATTGTAATGAGTCACTGTTTACAAACATGTTCGGTATAGCGATGTTCCACTGTATCTGTAACCTGACTTGACAAGTGCATGATTAGATGGCAAATATGTATTCATGGGTATGTTTGGCTTTTCTGCAACTTTGGCAAGAAAGCCTTTGTTTTTCTTCTGTTTTCTTTCTCTCTTTTCTTCTCCTTCTTCTTCTTTCCAAAATCCCATACACTTTGTGCATGTTTCATCATCTGTGCCATTTTTGACATTAAACTAAAAAAATATCAAAGTGGAAAAGCCATATATGTGATGCAATCAAGCTAAATGAGTCGTTTGTCGGGAATTTTTATTTGGAGATACAGACCAAAATAGGACAACTTCATCACATCACTTCATTGCATCTCTTAGTGTTCCAACTTCCATAATTTTCGAACTAAAGGCGGTATCAGCATGCAGTTTTCACAGCAGTAAGCTGAGATTGTGCTCTTTTCAAATCTGTAATAAAATTTTTTTGACCAGCCGTCGACAAACGACTCATGTAGCTTGATCGCATCACATATGTTCTGTTCTTAGACAGACATAGACCTCTACCGGTAATTGTACATATTTTTTTTATCAAATCTATGTACATTTACACAAAATAAATAATTTCCAAAGAATTCACCAGAGGTAGCTACACAACTGCAACGTACAAATCTGAAACAGACAAATCACCTGTTGCAATCTTGCCAGGTCTTCCTTGTACGTGTTGACCTGCTGCTCAAGGGTGTTGTTCCATCCTCTGAGGTCCGACAATTCTATCTGGAGGGGCCGTACCTTGTCGTACAATTTCAGCTGCACAAAAGGAACAAAACAGAAAAGATGTTGCATGCATTGAGTTAAACAATGCATTTTGAGTAAATACGAAAAGAAAAGTTTCCTTATATGAATAATTTTTACACAGATTCAGACCTGTCAAGAATTCTAATGCATTTGTATGTTAGGTCTGTGCGCAAACATTGAAGCTTGAATGATAAAAAATTGATAAAAAGCTAGGGTAAAATCTAGTCATTTTTTAGGAACCATTTATTTCATTACCAGCAGTATTTCCCCCGGCTAGTGAAATGAGCGAGGGGGTAAAAATTCAAATTGATGATTAAAACAAAATTGACGCAGTTTGCAAACTCAAAAGGATGCTGCCCTTACAAAAATGCGAGATGATTCCATTCATGTATCCAAATTGTGAATTCTTGATACATAGAGGTCAAGGAAAACGCTCATAAATTACACAAAATGAACATTTTTCAATTAGTATTTCCTTTATAGCAAATCTTCACAGCGAGGTGGTGATATTGGCAAAAATTGAGCGAGGTGGTCACTGAAAGTAGTGAGGTGGGCCGCCTCATGTTTGAATGGGCAGGGGAAACACTGATTACCAGATATAATTAAATTTGATACAAAATATACATGTGAGTCAAGAGTAAACACAGCAAAGAAGACAATACATTGGGTATGCAGAACTCCAAATTTTATGATTAGAATACAGTTAGATCATGCAGAAATGAATTAATCAGTTTGATAAACAGGTCTCTAGTGTTTAATAGAACATATTTTGTGATGCCTTGATTGTACTACTAATATTATCCACGTGTATGCATTTACTGTTTTATAAACATATGTCTGCACATACATGTATAAACCTGTTCACAAATGCTTGCAATACCATAAAAAATATCCTACAAACTAGGCTATGAACATATGAATGCACCCACCCATAAATGTGCTATACACATAAGAAGTATCAAAATTGTATGAATTCAACAATTGTTCTACTCACACACAATGGCAACGCAAAGAAACCGCCCTTTCTTTCTGAACTGTAAACCCAAGCCCCTTGACTATCAATAGACACTATTGAATTGAAAGTTCCCGACAGTGAGTGTGGTTTATAATACAGGCCTTGTATGTACGGATGAGTTGGCACAGAAGGAAAAGTAATCTTTGTGGGAAACTGTCTGCTTATGAACTTCCTCTGGTAAAAAAAAATCTTGTTTCTCCGCATTTCCCTGTTCAAGGTTAAACACAAACTTCCTTTTTTTCCCTCTTAGTTTCATGGTCAATTCAGCAATTGACAATTGAAGGCAAATACAATATTGTATTAGAATCTTGCACATGGGTCAGCGAGCTTGATTTTAACTTAATTTCTTTTGTGAGACATGGTATACAACACATAAACAAATCATACCTATGAAATGGTCAACCTTTCGAGGGATTTTTTTTCTTTTTACTGAAGTCGAAGGGCATGCGTCCGGTACTGTGACTTCCTGAGATATTGACTGATGACTGAGTCACTTGTAAGGTGTATAATATGTCCGTTCAGTTGATATTTTGAAATTTTAATAAGCTGCTATCTCACATGTTCATTGATCAACACACCACTGGGCCAGAGCATCAAGAAACAGGATCCCAAATTCCCAATCACCCAAGGTAATTTTTGTTGCAAAAAAGGTGACCTGTAACATTGAAAATTAGAATTCATTTTAATAATATCATGAATTGTATTAATGAAAAGGCAACGTGTATTTGTTACTATGTTAGTGGTTGAATAAATTCTTATTTGCCACAGTTAGACGAAGAAGTAAAATATACAAGGCTCCATGTGGGCCTAGATCAAATCCTCGCAATATCATCACTGAAGATAAAAAATAAATGAGACAAATAAAAGTAGGTTGGCTAAGTCACTTGGAAGTTCTCAGATAAGCAATTAGGTAAGAGTTTAGGCGATCGTGTTTTGGCCCCTGTTTTGTTTCAATCAGATTAGAATCAACAATTTTTTTATTTCTAAAAAATGACATTGTCAACCTAAAGCAGACTTCTCTCAATGCAATGACACCTTTTTGGTAATTTTTGAACAGTTTCTTGGGGTAGAAATTACGATTTTCCTACGCAGCTTACAGGCTGGTTGGTGCCGTGCAGCGCGACTTGCGTGCTCACGCTACACATGATACATCACGCAGTGATCGCCATCTTTATTTTCGTGTTGCGTTTTATCGTTGTCATCGTCATTTTACCCCCAAATTTCCCTCAAAAATTCAATCCCTGCCCTTTATCTATGACATACATGCATGTTCTTAATGTCGCCATCTAGTTTGGTTGGTCAAATAATTTAAAAGTGGATTTTTTTCCCTTATAGGAACCGGACTCATAGATACACGATCGCCGAAGTTGAACTCACAGCAACATAATCTCGCAGCGACAGCTCCTCCTCTGAGTGTGCCCTCAGCTCAACATAGTCAGTCTCAGTCAGCTCCAGGTCTCGCAGGACGCTACGCACGTCGCCGGCCCGGCGCTGCAGCTCAGCGTTGGTCCTCTCCAACTGCTGCTGCCGTTTGACGATGATGTCAAGCTCTGACTGCAGACGCTGCTGTCGCTGTCTGGAGTCCTGCTTATGGATGTTGAGCTGGGCCTCTAACTTGGCCTGATTAATACAAAATGAGCAATTGTACATTTTGAAGCACGAGTTCAACAAAGTTGGTGGTAGGAAACTTTTGTCCCTAATTATAAAACAATTTGCACCAAGCATCTGCTGTTGAAATTAGGTGTAGGCAATGTGTTAATGTTCAAAAGCCTGCTGATTAATCAAAAATTAAAAAGGTCACGTAGATTAAAATCTCTCGTAATATCGTACATATAATTTGCTGATTGCACACTGGTTTGTTATATAAAAAACATAAACAGTTTGAAACTCTATTCAAATGCTGGTTGGATGAGGAATATGTACCAGAAAACTTATGAACATAGGGGGCCTAATTTGTTTTTAAATTTGATGAAATATGATCATCATTGTTCAGATGAGGCTACTTTTATTGAATTTGATATTCAGTTTATATTTATAATATTTGTAAAACAAAAACTTTAAGTATGATTTTAAAGAAAAGTACATGTATTTCAATGCATAAATTTATACTTTATAACCAGAAGACAAAGAGTAATCGAAATAAGTCTATAGGCCCCTAATGTAATTTGAATGATTTACAAATTTATATCAGAAAAATAAAAATTCATTCTGAATTAAGAATTATATTTTGAAGCCTACCTGCAAAATTTGCTTTTGATGTTGCGAGTCGGCAAGTCGTTCTTCCAGCTCCTCCACCTTGCTGACCTGCTCCGCCTTAAGGTTGTCAATGATCAAGGCCTTCTGCGACAGTTCGATCTTCAGCAGCTGCAGGTCGTGAATCATCTGTTTGCGCTCAATCAACTGCTTCGTGATCTTGCTCTGTTTCTGGTGGAAACTTTTCCGGTCTCGCCGCCGGTCCGTTTCCGATTCGTCCTCCGCCGAAATCGACAAATCAGTGGCCAGGGAGGTGCTGATGTCCCCCGTTTCCAGCTCACTCATCGTGCTGGAGATATCTCGGGGTTCCATGGCTCTGTTTTAAGGATTTTTTGTGACAAAAAATCTAACGACCGCAGCTGAAATTTCGTACCCCGCGCGTTCAGTTTATCTACGTATGGTGCCCTGAGGCGAATATCAACTGGGTCGTAGAGTGTGCGGTGTCAGTGGAGAGAATAAATGTTGGTACCAGCCTAACACAGAAAATGCTGCACTTGTCTGTGTCCAGCTGCCTTATTTTTATGCATTGTTGTACAAACACTGAACGACGGATTATTTCGATGCTGTCGACATGGGTCGACCAATCATCTGGTATGGCTGGACAAGGAATCTTTGTAGGAAGATCGCGTGCGCCCGTCATACGGTTCCTTCCAGGAACCATCTTCTGTGTGCATCAGCGGCGCCGGCGACACTACATCGACGCAGTAGCAGGTGCGATCCGATGATGCATAAAAGTTCCCTAGAACACAGTGGAGCCTGAGCATGCTTAAGAGGGTGGGGAGGGGGGGGGGGGGGGGGGGGTTCAATCAGGCCAAAGTTAGAATTACAGATGTGCCCGCCAGAAATATAGCCTAGAAATAATAGACTTCTAATTTTAGAGAAGAAGACTGAAATAATCTGATCCAGCTTGAAGTCAGCTTGAGGTGTAATTATGAATGATGGGGAGGGGTATAACTCGGACTAGTTACCATGGTTACAAAGGATGAAGTGATGGAGGTTTTGATAGTAACAAAAGACATTAAGTTAAAAAGTTATTATTGAGATTTATTTAAGATTTTTTTTTCTCATTTAAAAATTATAACCCAAAGTGATGGTTTTTCCTTGCAGGTGTTTGATTTGTTAAATATATTTGGACATTGCAAGTTCTTCAAGTTCAAATGGAGTTGCCCAGAGGTAACTTCATGCAAGAAAATTTAATCTGGTACCATACCCCATCTTATTCTGACCTTCTTGTCACAACTGTCCAATGGTATTTGTTTCAGCTCTGTTCTCTCCAAGCAAGAGTTGAGCTACTTCCACAATGCTGGACCCACCCCACTGATTGGTAAGACCATTGGACAGATCATGGACGAAACCACAGAGAAATTCCCAGACAGAGATGCACACGTCTTCCTCAGAGACGGAATAAGGAGGACTTTTGCAGAATTCAGAGAGGAGGTATAAATCTTTATCCCATTCCCAACATTTAATACTAAAAAACTTCTTTTTCAGGATACACAGAAAGGAATCTTGGAGGACAGACTTAGGATTTTTAGAGGAAGTTTCAGGATTGTAGAAGGGGGCTTTAGTAAACATTTCAACAAAAATTGACTGAAAGTTATCATCCTTTTCCCAGGGGCTTCCACTAGTGAATAGCCATTTTGAATCATTAATTGAATCTTTGGGACGTCCTGGACCAGCTTTTGTTGTGGGGCCTATATTGCCTAGTTTTAAATTCTTTGCAATTTCTTCCTTTTTTATCCTAAGACTGACAGGGTAGCAACTGGCCTCCTAGCCCTGGGCATCAAGAGGGGCGACCGAGTGGGTATGTGGGGGCCTTCTACCTTAGAATGGGTGCTGACACAGTTTGCTACGTCCCGCATTGGTGCCATCATGGTCAACATCAACCCAGTCTATAGAGTTCATGAGCTGGAGTACGCTCTGAGAACGGTAGTATTCTTGAACAGTTTGTCTTAGAAACCTTCGTGATTGGCTGTTTTGCCGGTCCCAGAGGGCACCCTAGTGTCATCTTTGTATATGCACCTCACTGACTGACTACCACTTTGAGCTGGGCAGTGCTATCATATAGGATTACCTCGTAATACCAATGAATGGGCTTACATCCGGCTTATTGTGTAGACGAGGGGCCGATTTCACAGCGCTGCTTAGCACAAAAATTTGCTTAGCACAAAAAAAAGTCTGGCTTATAAAAGCAGGTTACGAGTCAAAACTCCATGTAATTTTCGTGCTAAGCAAACAACAGCTGAATTAATAATCACGAGCAACACACATCAGAAAGACTTTCACATCAGAAAGACTTTCAGTGAATAGCCATGTTGAATCCACTGATGTGAGTTTCTTCATTTTAGCATTCCCTGGAGTTTTTTTTCACCTTTACTCTTCTAAAATAAATAACAAGTTGAAGACTCATCCTATATTTTGCTGGATTTTTGTTACTTTTCTGTTCAGTTTTTATACTCCTGTCTCTTTTTGTGTTGTGATTTCAGTTGCTGTTCAGTTCCATTTCTTTCTCGTTTTTTTGTTTTGTTTTAGTCAGAATGCAAAGCTGTTGTATGTGCCCGGACGTTTCGCTCATTAGACTACTATGCAATGCTGCGAGAAATCTGTCCTGAGCTTGATACTGATAAACCAGGACAACTCAATTGTGCTAGGTAAGTTGAAAACACTAAATGTAGAACCACTCACAGATATATCTGAAACGATTTCACCTTTACTCATTGTCATCATGCCAATTTTCATTTCATTAAGGCACGTCATCATAAAATGTATTAAAACAGCAGAAATCAACAAAAATGCTAAGTATTTCTCAACATTTTAGGCCGAAAGCTTCATTTAAAGTCAGCAAAAAATCTGTGCTTGTTCAAGCAGGAAAGTTTTGCCCACCCTAAAACATTATTCATTGCATGTGCTAATCAATGCTAGCATTTTCCATGGTGCATCACTATTTCAAAAATGGAACAATTTGTTTGATCTTTGCTGTTCATACTGCTTGCTGTTTCTGCTGAGGAATTTTTTATTTAGAATATTGTGTGTCTGCAATGCTGTGAAATTGGCCCTTTTAGGCCAAAAAAATAAATATTCGGTCTCTGGTCAGACCAAAGTTCCGGAATTGACGCGGCCACGCGGCTTTTTTTTTTTTTGGCTTTTTTTCTTTTTTTCTTCAAGCTTGGATTGTACAGACAAGGTGGGTACTATTTTGCTTTTTTGGTGTCCTCATGTACATTGGTGTCCTCCATAATTTGCCTTGGTGCTTTCGATCATTTGCCTTGGTGCAATTTCCCATTCCTTGGTGCTCTTTGGTAAAAAAAATTGAGGAGGTGCGGAAATAGAGGGCGCTGTTGGAGCTACCGCGGAACATTTTGGAAAATAAAAAGATCGACGCGCATGATTAAAATTGACGCGCGCGCTGACCAGAGACCAACTTATTTTTTTTTTTGGCCTTAAATTACTGATGACACTACCAACAAATGCTGTGACCTGTCTTCTAGGCTTCCTAATCTAAAGACAGTTATCTTCAGAGGTGAGGACAATTTACCGGGGACGTTCAACTTTTCCGACCTCCTCAAGATGGGAGGCAGCAATGAAGAGAAACTGAGGGATGAATATGAGAACAAGATACAGTTTGATGAGCCTGTCAGTGTACTGTTTACATCGGTGAGTGTTAGACTAGATCGTAAATTATTCAAACTTCAGTATTTATTGCATTAATTGAGTGTATCTGATTGAGTGTTCCAGTCGAGTTCATCAAGACAAGAGTCCTCACAAGTCCGATCACAAATCTTCCTGGACTTGTGATGGACTTGTGATGGACTCGACAACACAGATTTGAATTCGATATTAGCTTTTGCCCTTCACCGACATATAAACACTGTATACTCAGTGTGTTACCTCCTGAGAGAAAGTTAGAAAAAAATTACTCAGGTGGGACTCGAACCCACGACTTTCTGCTTTCGAGTGCACACGTCTTACCACTCGACCACCCAGATTGCGGGATTGGTTGGCTGGTTCGAATCTGATATAGCTGCGGGTACCGCAATGAAACTATTCATAAGATATCGTTTTGGTTTGCGGTAACACCATGTGGTAATAACTACTGCTTAGAAGATATTTAGTTCTGAAAAGAACTTGTCCTGCTTATTATCAATTTCGCTAAGTAGTTTTTAGTTCTGATAAGAACAGTCCTGCTTTAAGTTCTAAAAGAACTTGTCTTTGGTCTCAACGTTTCATAAGATGGAATTTGCATCGGAAAATTCAATATTTATGCATCGGTGAAGGGCAAAACCTAATATTTAATTAACATCACACCGACGCAAATTCCATCTTATGAATAACACTGATTTGAATTGGATAGTGGGTTAAGAATTCTACTTACGACGTGTAACTATGGAGAATGTGCATAGAGCAGTTATCACTTTTCCTGTAGTTTACTGGTCTGATGTACTGACGAGTTGGGGTATATTTAGCTGCCTTTACTGTGTTTTGAATAGGATTGAATAAATCAAAACGAATAAAAAGACTGATGATGTTATTTTGTCATCTTATGGGCAGGGTACTACAGGTTTCCCAAAGGGTGCTACCTTAACACATCACAACATAGTCAACAATGCATTTAACGTCGGACATATGGTTGGTTACCATGAAAAGGTAAGTATTGACTTCATTTTACAGACACAAAAAATTAAGAAATACAAATTTGATTGGGAATAATATGCAAAGGTATGTTGGTCCTTTTTTGGTTAAAAATATTTTCTGAGTTATAATACATCTTGGTGACTTTTAATAAAGGATAAAATGTTTGAGGGAATACTTTTTGAACAATGATTTTTGAAGGGAACACATTTTTGCTATGGTTTAAATGAGGTACTAGTATAAATTTGCAGCCCATAGTTGCGAATGTGTTTGTTTTTTGTCTCACTAGCTGCTTTATTTCTGTCTGAAATGTTTTTTTTCTTTTCTTCCATATCTTAATGGGTGGCATGGGTGGCTTGTGCGTAAAGCGCTCACCTCTCACCAAGGTGACCACGGTTCGAATCCTGGCCGTGGATCGCATGTGAGTAGAGTTGTGCGTTGGTTCTCTCTTGTGCCACGAGGGTTTTTCTCCAGGCCCTCCGGTTTTCCTCCCTCCGGAAAAATCAAACACTTTCGATCTCAGGCTGTGCTCCGTAGTCATATATGGGTCGATGTGGCCGGCAGCCAAAGGCGCTTTTACGTGCCAGCGGCCCGACCACGTTGTAGTCAGCATATACCGGCTGCGAGTAAGGATGATTAGCCTCCCAAATTATTATTGTTATTATTATTATTATTATCTTGAAACAGCACCACCGTATTTGTGTACCTGTTCCGTTGTACCACTGTTTTGGCATGGTGATGGCGTCCCTGTGTGGTATGGTGCACGGTGCGACCTGCGTCTTCCCTTCCCCTGGGTTTGAGGCTGAAGCAGCCCTTCAAGCAGTCGCTACAGAGAGGTCAGTCTCAAGAAATTCATCTGTTTTTTTTTTAACCAGTTCATGCCGGGATTATTTTGACGAGAACGGAATGAGGCACGGGATTTATTTTCACTCGGACTCAAGCCAGGCGGGTTGAAGCCATCACCCTCGGGCAGCACACTCATATATTTCCGGCGTCGCTCCCTGCCAGGTTGCTGACAGATATTTCCGACCTTGCGCCCTTTATCTGTCATACGTTCCAAATATTGCATATCTTGTGTGTGTGTACGAGGGCTCCGGCGCAAACTGGTTAAGGGAACTGACATCCGTTACTCAATATTTAACTTACATCTCCTGGATGAAAAATTTCATCATACAATTAATAGTGACGGTAAACTGAGTTTAGGGAGAATCGTATACCTTAACTCTCTAGTTCCTGTCCAATCCATCTGGAGATTTTTGTGGTGATGAACAAAATCCACATATTCCCGATGAAAAGTTGTAGTCTTGTACTCTTGTATATTGAAGAGAAAAAGTACCTTTACTCCCCACAGGTGTACGTCTCTCTACGGCACACCAACAATGTTCATTGACTACTTGCATCACCCAAGGCTGTCTGAGTTTGACGTCTCCAGTCTCTCTACGGGCATCATGGGCGGTTCACCCTGTCCCATCGAAACGATGAAACAGTGCATGACACGTCTCAACATGAAGGATGTTTCTGTAAGCTTGTAATTAGTTCAATGAGCCCAGTTTGCTTGAGCAGACAATACCGCTTAGCAGAATTAGGTGCCGAGCAAATATCAGCTTAAAGATTGCATCTGTTTGAAGATTGCATTTATTGACATGTCAAAAAACTAAAATACTAAGAAAAAGGCCTTTAAAGTTTCGAGTTTAAGATGCCAATTGTTTTTTCCTTAGAAATACTATTATTCCATGATTTTTATACTATTTCTTTGAAAATAAGTGTAGTAGGCATCAAGGATTAAAGATATCAATAAATCTGAAAGTTGGGGGAAAAAAACACCCCACTCGATTTTTTTTTTGCAATTTCTTCACTACAGCCTGTGCCCAGAAGGCGAAGAACAAGCAAGAAGGTGTAACCAGAAAGCATTCTGATTTTACTAGCAAAATCAGAATGCTTGGGGTGCTGTGGTCCAATGGTTACGGTGTTCGACTCGTGTGCCATGGTACATGGGTTCGAATCCTGACCGTGGGAACATGGTGCTTGTGCTCTTGAGCAAGGCACTTTACCATTATTGCTTCATCCTTCAGATGGGACGTAAAGCCGTAGGTCCTGTGTGTTGTGTAATGCACGTTAAAGATCCCAGTATACACTTGTCGCTACGAGAAGGGGTTTGCCACGGTGTTTCTGGCAGTGGCAGCAATATGCGCCGCAGCACCTAGCAAAAAGGTGCTACATAATGGGTCTCATATGTTCGTATACTTCATTTGCCAGTCTTTGGTTGCATTCTCCCCCAGCGCTTTGTATCCTTTGGAAATGGCGCTATATAAATACGGTTATTATTATAAAGTCCTGGTTTCACTAGAATTCTTGTTTTGCAGATTGCCTATGGACTAACGGAGGTGTCCCCCATCATCACCCAGACTTGCCGGGATGACCCGGTCGATAAGAGAGTCTCCACTGTAGGGAAAGCAGCACCCCACACCGAGGTAAGTAAGTAAGGGTAACATTTGAATTACTGAATGCTACGGGGAGGGGGTTATTTAATTTCAATAAGCTTACTTCCTAGTTTCATGTATGATCATACTTCTTTTAAAAATATTTCTTTTAAAAATTGTAATGTCAAGTTCTTTTCATATATCATAAGTTCTTGAAATTTGGTGTGTTGAATAAATAAAAATGGGGATGCAAAAGAAATCTCTTGCCATCAGTTCAGAAAAAAAAAATCAGTAATTATTTTTGACTTAATATCTTCCTGATTTATGTTAGGTACAATACAAAGTTCTGCATCCTTGTCCTAATTCTAGCTGTAAGCTCACTTACAGAAGTTGTTTTTATACTTGCATTTGGAATACTCACCTTTGTAAATAGTTGAAGATCATTGATATTCAAACTGGAGAGATTGTTCTGCGCAACACGTCTGGTGAGCTGTGCAGCCGAGGATACACCACAATGATCGGCTACTGGAATAACCAGAAGAAGACAGATGAAGCTATTGATAAAGCTAGATGGTTCCATACAGGGTTAGTTAGGCCCAAAAAAAAAAGTCTCCGGTTTCTGGTATGCGCGCTCGTCGCCGTAGCCATGCGCGTCAGCAAAATGAAAAAGTTTTTTTTCCAATGAAAGATGATGTCTCAAAACCGCCAAACTCACTGGTTTGACTGGAATCCTGCTGCTGCACAATTTTAACGTGTTTTTAGATGGGGTTACGATCGAGAATAAGCTTTATGTGGCCTCTCTGGACTCCCATATATTTGCACTAAGTTTAGTCGGGCACCATTTGCAGTCATCAGCCGACATTTGAAGCAAAAAAATCAGGTAAAAAAAAAAAAAGCCGCGTCACCACACCACTTTTTTGGGCAAGCTCCATACCAAAAACCGGAGACTTTTTTGTGTGGCCTTAGCAACTTATCTCAAAGTTTTGCCCTGTACAAAATGTCATTTAATAAAGTAATTGTAATGTGCTCTAAGTGGTCATTCAAGATTGGCATAGCCCTTCAAACCATTTTTTAAATATTTACAACTGATTCCCTTTTTTCTCCCTAACTTCAGGGATATCGCGGTGATGAATGACGAGGGCTATGTATCCATTGTGGGACGCAGTAAAGACATGATCATCAGAGGCGGGGAGAACATCTATCCTGTAGAGATTGAGAACTTCCTGTATAAACATCCCCAAATCAACGACGTTCAGGTACCGTGGGCTTGTCCTAATTTTCTAGTTTAAATAATTCCAGTCTTTTTTTTCTTCGAGAATGCTCATGAAGCATCAGACATGTTCCATAATTAAAACAAAAAAATCTGGTGCTAATTTTTGAGAGACGTTCTGGCTTTTCAAATCATTTATATTTACAGTCTTACACAGTAAAATACCCTGCAATGGGCCTTATTCACGAGTCGGCCATATTGAATTGAAAGTTGGGTAAAATCTTAATTCATGGAACTCTTGCGAAGAGAAATGAAAGCAAGTTCATTTATAATAAATTCCAGTCTGCTTCAATAAATAATTTAACATTTGTAATTAAACATTCCCTAATGTTTAAAGCCATATTTAAAAAAAAAATGTCAGTAAAATAATCCTGCATAAATAGTCTGGCGCCATCCCATTCAACAGTTAACAATTAATTAAATACATTCAGGGAACTCTACAAAAATGGCCAACTGGTGAATAAGGCCCATTAAATCAAATAGCCATAGACCTCGTGCGGTAAGGCAGAGCTCAGGGGCAGTGGTTTGGTATCACTTGAATATGCATTCATTGTTACTAAATGGAAATAATAAAGAGCCCCGTCTAAGGGACCTGCAATTCATAAGGTCTATGAGCAGACCCTAGACAGGGGCGTAGCCAGGAATTTTTCAGTGGGGGGGGGGGGGGGGGGGGGGGCGCTGGGGGGGGGTTGGAACACTTCATGGGGGGGGGCGTCATGTAGATCAATGATAAATTTTTTTTTGAAACTCAAAATCTCAGTGGGGGGCGACGGGGGGGGGGGGGGGGGGGGGGCGACAAGGTTTCATGGGGGTGCTGTCGCCCCCCACGCCCCCCCCCCCCCCATGGCTACGCCACTGACCCTAGAATAAAATCTTACCACAAGTCTACTCACGTTAAAATTTTGATATCTTTCAATAAAACTCATTACTTATTTCTGGACGACTGCAGAATTTTTTTTTCTAGTCATCAACAATTTAAACAAAACAGCATTTGATGTGAAATTAATTTTTCTATTGTAATTAGCTTAAATACTTTTGTTTCTTTTGTTTTTTTTTGTATTAAGGTGATAGGTGTTCCAGATGAGCGTCTTGGCGAGATAGTGTGCGCCTGGGTCAAACTAAAAGAAGGACAAACGACAACGGAAGACGACATCAGGGACTTCTGCAAAGGAGAGGTCAGTGTTGATGTTTCTTTTGCCTTATGGCAATCATTTTGATGATTGGTGTGAACTGAACAATCTTCTTTCATTTGACATACTAGTTTTCTGTTCTCTTAAAGTGTGAAACTTTGTCTGAAGCTGCGTAGATTAAAAATTGTATTTGAATTGTTTTGTTAATGCTGAACAAAATGTATGTTTTCAATTTCATTCACTGTCCAGGTGGTGTGTTAGGTTTTTGAATTAAATGTGAATATAATATATCAAATTCCTCAAAAGTAAACTTACGCCTTTATTGTTGACAAAACAGTGAACTAGAATGATCATTTTTTTATGAGGGGTAACATTTCCAAAGTAAAAAGAAAATGGTAAAAAATGTAAAACAAAGCTAATTTATGTTTTGCTACCAAGATCAATTGTTGCAGCTTTGATATGATATGGTTACTGACATAAAAAAAATTACTGAAATAGCAACATACCTGTTCTTGTATTTGTCCTTTCAGATGGCTCACTTCAAGATCCCAAAGATCGTTCACTTCGTCTCCGAGTTCCCAATTACTGTAACAGGCAAAGTGCAGAAGTTCAAGATGCGAGAAGAAATGGCTAGAATTATGGGCATTGAGTGATGTTCAATAATCTTAAATGTAGTTGGAAAGTGAAGTGAAAGGAAAGGGGTAGATGAAGATGGCCCAAAAAGATTCACAGCATTTGGTAAAGATGAAAACTTTTGTATGACAATATTTAGAGCGTTGAGTTGAAAAGTGTAGCTCGTTGTACGCAGGGTTTGTTTTTAACTTTTGATTGGGGCTGATATTTTTCATGTTATACACATTTTGTAAATGTAATTAAAACTAGATAAATTTATAAATGCTAGTCCGGTATGTATAAGGAACGATGACATTGGGGAAACACATTTTTGTGGGTGGGGCCAAGAATAAAGTGTTTGTGGGAGGGCGAATTAAGGTTCAGTGAATTGGCAAAACCTTAAACAGTTGATTAAAAAATGCAACAATGAAATATAATTAAGGTTTTAATGTCTAAATTGTGTGAATAGCGAAAAAGATATTTTGCTTCATTTGGGCAGGTCATTCACAAACAATGGTGCTGTTATTATGTTAAGTTTGATGTAATTTTTCGAATGCAGGTTATATTGTGAACTTGGGCATTAACATTTGTAGTTTTAGCGTAGTTGTATAGTTTTATCATTGTACAATTGTTTCTTTTATAATAAATTGTCTTTTAGTCTTCGTAAAGCGCTTTGAGGCTTTGGCATAAGATGCTATATATAAATGCTTTTATTATTATTAGTGGTAGTATTAGTAAATTCATCTGTTTACAAAAGATTACCATAATCATGTTTTTATGAGCTTGGAACATTATATACAAAGTTGTTCATCAAAATTTATTAACAAAATATAGCTATATTCGCAGGTTCAGATTGTTTTTCTATCATTTTATACAAATTGTATTGCACAGTTTACATTTTTTGTAAAAAGTACTTTGAGTATTGTCTTTAAAAAAAAAATTTCTCAATCAGTATTAAAAATTCTATGCAGAATAAAACTATTATAAACTTTTTGTCTTGGTCTCTGTGTGTTTGTTCAAAGCTTAGCGTTACTCCTTTGCTAGTAATTTTTATGTAAAGCAGAATAGCGTTATTTTTTGGGGGAAAAACTTAATTTGCGGCGTTTTAATAGGTTCATTAAAATGGGGAGACCATTGAATCCATTGCACTGAATCATTTCAAGAATTCCATGAAGAAAAAAAATCAGTATTGCATGGGCCGTTTTGTTCAGCCCTCGGAAAAAAAAAAGTATTTTCTTTACGGACAAGAAAAAATATTTTCTCAAGCGGACAGGCTCGGGCCTGTTTTTGTTGGCAGAAATTTATGCCCCGGCCGACGCCTATATTATAACCGGACCCTCATCAAAAACTAAGTTTAACGCGGCTATAAAACAACAACCACAGAGCGGGAAAATGTCAAGGTCCGGTTCGATGATTCCATGACCACAGTTCAAGGATAAAATGACAACCCGTATTTCCATTTGTATGAACTATGATCCATCATTCCATGGCATGCGGGACTCTAGCCCCACTAGTGTGGCCGTCGGTATGCTGCGCTGAACCTATGCTGCGCTGAACCTAAGGTTCAGCGCAGCATACCGACGGCCACACTAGTGGGGCTAGCGGGACTCGACAACGGGCCATTACACTTTATGACATGTATGAGTGGGCCGGGTTCACGGACATTTTTTTTTAGCTGAGCTGCGTTTCAAACTTTCAGGCAGTGTCGCATAATTTGTACTGCACTGCCATTCTAAAAGTTTGCACCGATAAAATCTCTCCGCTCCAAGCCAGCTGTCGTGCCGATGCGATTACGTAACTAACTTGACACTTTACATCGACAGCTCAGACTGGAATCACGACTACTCCCATTGTAAACACATCCAAGCGCCCAGTGTACAAACATCATCGCGTGTATGCGGTGGCATCTGATCGGCATTTGCAGATTTTAGCGATTCTCTTTCAAAATCGCAAAAAATGGCGTATTTCATGCGAGCGATCGGGAAGACAGGTGTGTCGGGGGTGTGCACTCGAAGTGCTCAAAAAGAGAATGCACTTAAGAACCTGGTTTGTCAACGTGGGAAATTCCAACGGAGACCGATAGTTGCAACTCATCGTAGATATCTGGCCAGCAGGTACGTGTAGTACATTTACACGTGCATGACGTGTACATGTATGTCATTATGTTACTGCACCCATTGCCTTCAGCAGGTGTAATGCCCTATCGCATTAATGCGATAGACATTATGAGCTGGAGTTACTCAAGCTACAATGTACGTCCGTACAATGCTGTTTGTAACACTCTTTTCACAACTTTGCATTGTACACTGCACTGGCATTTTAACAATTCAACAACTTCGCGCCGGTTTGCACCGGTTGTTGGCGCATCATGCCATTCCGTTCTTGGCAATTGATCCTCCTAAATCTGCGCAGATAACGCTTGATATTTATTAATTTCTTATTTTAACTGGGTAGCCCAAATCCACTGGTCTCCCATGAGGCCCAGTAAAGAGAAGACAATATGTGAAGAAATTACAGTTTTAGATGTGGGAGGAAAACCCCAGAAGAATATTCTGAGGAAAACCCATGGAATCGGGTTGGGACTGAAAACCCAATCCACATATATATTGGCCCGCGCTAGGCGGGAATCAAATTGACCTGGTCACATCGGTGGAAGGTGGGGAAAGTACCCTACACCAACCCGACTCCCCAAGCATCACTAACCATTTCCTAGCAGTGCATTTTCCATTTCCTTGTGTATTAATAGTGCACGACAAAAAACATTGCCAAGATGTTCCCATGAAATGTATGTGCAAAATACATTAAATAAATGATGGGAAAAAAGAGTGAATTTGGTAAAAGGGGGAGCGGTCACTCAAAGTTTTAAAATCAGGTTTTTTGAAGATCATTTTCACTTTTGCAATTATGTCAAAACAAAACAATATTAAAGAAACCATAATTGCTGTTGGGTTTTAATGGTACAAATTGCATCCTGCAACATTACTAAATCAGGACGACTTGCTGTTTTTGAAGAAAAGAAGTTTAGATTGGAAAACAAATTATCTGGATTTTGGAGAGACAGATATTCATGTAAACTGACCTGACGCTACTATTTTTTGGAGAAGTAAATTTGCAAAAAAATGAAGTTATAGATTACATTTTTACTAGAGTTTAAAGAAGCAAGAAATTTGAAAATTTATTTGAATGCAACATTTATAACATTTCTCCAACAAAACTTCGGAACAAATTGATGGAGATATTGGGAAGAAAAATTTCACAAGACAATTGTACAACTCTTCATTAGGATACCAAGCATTTATTCATGTGATAAGATGGGTTTTCAATTTAAAAAAAATATATATTTTAAGAACATTATTGCCATTCAAAGAAATACATAAACAATAAATAAATATATTGATTTAACAAGTAAATAAGTGTGAAAATGGTAAAACTGAAATAAAGTCTTCCTTCAAAACTTCATGAAAAGATTTTTTTTTATTTTACCTTTTACAATGTTTCATTGCTGTTCATTTCAGTTCTGTTCTCTCCAAGCAAGAGTTGAGCTACTTCCACAATGCTGGACCCACCCCACTGATTGGTAAGACCATTGGACGGATGATGGACGAAACCACGGAGAAATTCCCCGACAGAGACGCACATGTCTTTGTCAGAGATGGAATACGGAGGACTTTTGAAGAATTTAGAGAGGAGGTAAATGAAAAACAAACAAAAATAACAAAAACACGGATCTACCTTTTTAAGTCTTCAAAGTTTGCACTTTTGGAAAATTAGTAAGAGTTTGGCAGTAGTATATCACTTTTGTTGTGTGGTTCTGAAAAATTCTGGTATCTACATCAACAGCATCATGTTAATCTTGAAGGGATTCTACACTTTTTAAAAAACATATGTCAGTGTTTGCATTTGAAAAAAGTGCACAAAGACCATAGGCAAATCCTAAATTCGGGGCGGGGCCTGATTGGAGGGGAGAGGGGGTTTGACCCGATCTGTTGTTAAATAATTGCAATTGTTGGGCCATTGAGCAGTAAGTTTTTCCTTTTCTTGTCCAGTTTAGTTAAGATATATAATCTACTTTGAGTTGCACAGGGAGTGTATTTTTTGGAATTTTAAACAAATTGATGTTGAGTCATTGTATGCAATTTTATGTTTGTTTTTGTACTCAGCTTGACTATCTTTATCCCATTGTATGTCAGTTCAAAGGTAATTTGTTAAGCTCTTTGTAAATATATATATAAGTCAATGGGATACCATGCGGTATCCTACCATATGGATTATTTTTTCTGGTAGGCCTAATGAAACCAAGGATTCCTCAATAATGCTCCAGGCACTGTAGCTCGCAAGCCTAAGAAACCTGTAGAAAGAAGACAATGAAGAATTAAAATAGGTGGGAGGAAAACCCCAGAAGAATATTCTGGGAAAACCCACGGAATCAGGTAGGGACTGAAAACCCAATCCACGTATCGGTATGCACCAGGGCAGGAATCAAACCCCAGGTCACAGCGGTGGACAGTGAGGCAAGAACCACTGCACCAACCTGACTCCCCCTGCTAGAAATATGGAATATTTTGAAACAAAATTTTTATAAACCATTGCCCTCTGAAAATGTAGTTTTGGGATATTTGGGAATAAAAGAGTATGGGTCAAGTAACTGACAGGTCTTTTTTTGGTTATGCCATGCTGTTAGACGGCGACATTTTATTGACTTAAAACTGATCAAGTAATGAATATATTATTGGAGCTCATGTATATTCATGGTGGCCTCGGTGAATAGATTACATACTTTAATCATCCACAAATCCTCTGTGTGGATGAGAACTGTTCAAGTAAATGAATATATTTCAGGAGCTCATGTATATTCATGGTGGCCTCGGTGAATAGATCACATACTTTAATCATCCACAAATCCTCTGTGTAGATGAGAACTGATCAAGTAATGAATATATTTCAGGAGCTCATGTATATTCATGGTGGCCTCGGTGAATAGATTACATACTTAAATCATCCACAAATCCTCTGTGTGGATGAGAACTGTTCAAGTAAATGAATATATTTCAGGAGCTCATGTATATTCATGGTGGCCTCGGTGAATAGATTACATACTTAAATCATCCACAAATCCTCTGTGTGGATGAGAACTGATCAAGTAATGAATATATTTTTGGAGCTCATGTATATTCATGGTGGCCTCGGTGAATAGATCACATACTTTAATAATCCACAAATCCTCTGTGTAGATGAGAACTGATCAAGTAATGAATATATTTTTGGAGCTCATGTATATTCATGGTGGCCTCGGTGAATAGATCACATACTTTAATCATCCACAAATCCTCTGTGTGGATGAGAACTGTTCAAGTAATGAATATATTTTTGGAGCTCATGTATATTCATGGTGGCCTCGGTGAATAGATCGCATACTTTAATAATCCACAAATCCTCTGTGTAGATGAGAACTGATCAAGTAATGAATATATTTTTGGAGCTCATGTATATTCATGGTGGCCTCGGTGAATAAATCACATACTTTAATCATCCACAAATCCTCTGTGTGGATGAGAACTGTCCAAGTAATGAATATATTTTTGGAGCTCATGTATATTCATGGTGGCCTCGGTGAATAGATCGCATACTTTAATCATCCACAAATCCTCTGTGTCAAGGCCCAGACTTTGGACCTCCAAAGTAAAATGCAGGTGCAAAAACACCTGTTGTTTAACCATAACCTGTCAATTGTTCAGTAAACTGTAATTGACAAAAATGTTGTGCAAAAGCCAAAAAAAAAAAAAAAAAAAAGGAAACCAAAACATACCATATCAAAACAAGTTTTGTCTGTTATGATCTGTGGCATTGTGGCTTTTGTGCACCCTGGAAGGAAAATGGAACCCTTCTATATTATTTTCTCTTCTCTTTCCTCTGTTTCAGACGGAAAAGATAGTGCTCGGACTTCTAGCCCTTGGCATCAAGAGGGGTGACCGAGTGGGTATGTGGGGGCCTACTACCTTAGAATGGGTGCTGACGCAGTTTGCTACGTCACGCATCGGCGCTATCATGGTCAACATCAACCCAGTGTACAGAGTGCATGAGTTGGAATATGCTCTGAAAATGGTACAGTTTCAAATTTATCTTTGGATTTCTTGTAATGATTTGACCTCTTTTTCTGTTGGCTTTGGTGTTTTAGGTGGAAAAGGGATAGCGTAATATGCTTATTAAACATTTAAAAGTCTTCAGACGTTTTGTTGGTATTGATTTAATCTAGCAATAGTATCCGACACCAAACGTTTGTCACTCAAAGTAGTAAAAAGTAAAGTCTGTCACGAGCCAATGTGGCTCATCAGGCCGGCGTTTATCTCCAGTTTCAGTAGCATGAAACGACTGAGAATATTTCTACTCCCCCTGGATGGGATGCTAGTCCATCGCAGGTTACTCCTCAGCTAATGCCGGTACCCATTTATACTCCTTGGTGGAGAGAGGCAAGTGGGGGTGAAGTGGCTTGACCAAGGACACAACATACGGCCAGCAGCTTAAGTTCGAACCCTGGACCCTCTGATCATGAGTCACGAACCCTAACCACTAGACCACACACTCCCCCCACTCAAAGTAGGATAGAGTAAATTTTGGTTCTTTCCAAGCACTTGAGGTTATGAATCTCACAAATAATTTGAATTTTGTCTGTGTTGGTACATTGTAGTACCTTTCATAATCTGTGGGTTGAAATATAACCGCAATTCACACAATGAATTTTGGTGTATGCATGTAATAATATATGCCCCAGCTAAAAAAAATACCTTTTTTAAAAAAAAATTTTCTTCTATATATCCAGTCTGGATGCAAAGCTATTGTCTGCGACAAGACTTTCCGGACGTTAGACTACTATGCAATGCTCCGGGAAGCCTGCCCTGAACTGGACACTGGCAAACCGGGCCAACTCGATTGTGCCAAGTAAGTGGATTTTAATTTTTTAAATCAACTTCCAATTAACTTCTTAGGATTTGTAAGTGAGACCACGTGACTTGTCTATAATAACAGGACAGCTGGTGTGTAATGATTCTCCCTTTCAAGTTTTGAGTTTTTGATAGTACTGTTAACTTAAGCACCTTACGTAAGCCTCCATGCTGCGACTATCATTCGGGAATATTATTATCAATTTTTAGTTAAGTTGAACAAATGAAACTGACTGTAGCAAAACTCGAACCTGCAACCTTCAAAATACCACATCAGACCTCTACCCACTGAGTTAGCTATCCCTGCATTTGCAGTCTCTTAGTTCATCTGAACCAGTTTAAGTGGGTAGTGGGTTTGGATCCCACTCGAGCAAGCTTGCAAATTTCTCCTTATCAATCTCTTGGACAGCACTGCATATACAGTGCTTAGGCCCCCCAAAAACAGTTCTGCTTCCGATTACATGGCGTTTGAAAATACGGTAGGTAGGCAGGGAAAAAATTTGGCAGGTTTTTCTTTATACGATCAAATGGAGGTGTCTGCGTGTAGTCAAAGGTAACAGGTAGTAACTGATGGTTTCTGTTTTTCCCCCTCATCCCCCCCCCCCAAACATAATAAGGGTAGGGGCTGTCGGAATGGGGTGGGTAGGGTAACGGGAGGCAGAACTATTTTTCTTTTGGCCTTGTAAAGTTACATCAGTGCAAGGGTAAAACCAAGTACTCAATGAAGGTACAACCCATCACCTGTATGAGACAAGAGAAAAAGAATCTTGAAAAATGCAGATCAGAATCTGTGGATGTGCCAGTGAACATTATGACATAATCCTTGATTTCGTTACAGTCTCCCGGATTTAGAGATTGCAATCTTCCGAGGCCAGGACAACTTACCAGGCACAATCAACTTTGACGACCTGTACAATATGGGAGGCAGCAATGAAGTGGAGCTGAGGGATGAATTTGAGAAAAAGACACAGTTTGATGAACCCATCAATATACAGTTTACCTCAGTGAGTTTTTTTTTGAGTGAACTTGTCTCAATTAGATTTGAAATTCAATTCATGTGCTTAGCCCGGTAAATATGGCTCTTGCTTGAAGTTATAGTCCATTATTTGTAATTTGTGCATTTTGTTCGTTTGAAGCAACAAAAGTGCTCAAAATCTAAAGAAGGGTACTGAACAACTAACCTGATAAAGTTTCAGCTCAGCTTCAGCTGTATATTTTGAGAAAAACAGCATTTTAGGATCTCAATTTCAAATCAAAAGTTGCTGAATCATGTTTTGAATTGCGCCTAAATTCAGCGTCCCAGACACGTTCTCGCTGAGCCGAATGCAGCTACGCGATGTCGCGCACTGATCTGACGAATTATACGACCGGGGGTGCATGTGTGTCGTGCCAATGCTTGCGCGCGCTTCACCGAATAACAAAACGAACTACTAATTTAAATTTTCCTACGGTGCGTCTTAAGAAGCACCGTTGGAAAGGCCTTCTTTCGTTGATTACTTCAAAATGACAGCTTGCCAGAAAGAATAATTTCACAGGGAGTTTAGTCCCCTTACTATCTTTCAACCAGTATGTTTTTCAACAATAATTACGCCAGTTACTTTTTTGGATAGCTGCAAATGATGGACTCGGGCTTTAACCATTGCAAATTTTTGCTATTATTTCAGTTAGGTGTGTTGTTAGGAGGACTTTCTTTCACTCAACACAATTCAACTCATTTTTTTTTAAATGAGAACCATTTTTTTTTTTCTTGCAGGGTACTACAGGCTTTCCCAAGGGTGCCACGTTGACACATCACAACATAGTCAACAATTCCTTTGATATAGGATGGACCGTAGGCTTCCATGAAAAGGTGCGTCTTGAATTCAAATCAAGCGTTCGCAATTGCAACTTGTACAAATCCAGCAGAGCTGAAACATAGGCTCTAGCTTTGTTTGAGATTTTTAGTATATTTTAATTATATGTTATTTCTCTCTGGTAACGTAACCAAGGATTCCTCAAAAGTGCCCTAGGCACTGTAGCTCGCAAGCCTGAAGAAACCTGTAGAGAGAAGACAATGAGAAAAAATTACAGTTTTAGGGAGTTAACTTCATGAAATTACTTCAAAATTGACCATTAGATATGGTACGGGTACAAAATACACATGCGGCTCGGAGAAACTAGCTGGTTATATCTCCATTGGTGTGGTTATTTCACCTAACCCACAGCTAAACTTTTTAATGTGAAATGCACATTGCCCATAGTGTGCCATTGCCTATAACAATGCAAAATGGTGAACTAACAAGCAACTTTTTCTGAGCCGCATACTGGATCCATAATAGAGTACCGAAGTGTGACGTCATTTTGAACCGGGAAGTGTAGTGCAAAAGAATGGAGTACGCGTGCGTGTCGGTTCACAGGCTAAATCAAGCGCTAATGTATTTTACACACATAATTGTGGGCGTGTTCATCTATTCAAACCATGGATGAAAAATTCCAGAGAACAAAAGAGAACAATATCGTCCACGATTCACGACATACATCCGCAATAGGGGTCGTGTACAAAACATATGGGAGTCTTCCTAAAAAGTACAAACAAGAGGGACAATAGGACGTCCACGATCAACGGTGTGAACACGTTTGCGCGTGTTGGTTAACGGGCTGAATCACGCGCTAATGTATTTTACACATATAATTGTGCGCGTGATGTATTCACTTCGGAACTCTAAAGCTTTTGCCTGGAACCACGAAGAAGGCCCCGACATTTTATGACCCACCTTACTTTTCAAGAGTGGCAGTTTATTTATTTATTGATTTGTTTGTGAATTTGGTTCTTCCAGCCCCACCGTATCTGTGTTCCTGTGCCACTGTACCATTGCTTCGGTATGGTCGGGGGTACCCTGTGTGGTATGGTGCACGGTGCCACCTGCGTCTTCCCTGCCCCTGGGTTTGAGGCTGAGGCAGCCCTCCAGGCAGTTGCCCAAGAGAGGTCAGTCCCAAAGATATAAGATTGTCAATTTGAATTTTAAGAACATCGTTGTATTTGCGTTCCTGTTCCGTTGTACTGCTGCTTCGGTATGGCCGGGGGTATGTTGTGTGGGATGGTGCATGGTGCCATCTGCATGTTCCCTGAGTTTGAGGCTGAGGCGGCCCTTGAGGCCGTGGCTGCGGAGAGGTCAGTCTTGAGCAAGTTCGAGCAATGAACAAAATTTGACTAATGGTTAATTTGCGACATAACTTACACTTGCGCAGTAACAGCAATGCGTGAACGCCCTTTATCAAACACTCTTCAAAGCGTTATCCTAAAACTTCTTGATCCTCGGACCCTGCTATGCATTACGATGCGTGTGACTATCGGTAACCAGCTATGAAACTGTGTCCCGGGTTCCAGTTCCACATACATGTAGTCGACTAGAGTAATCTAACCATCCTTCGTTTGAGTGAATTAAAGTTTTAGTCAAACCATAGTTAACCATAGTACTTACTCGAACTTGCTTTGTGGGTGATTGAACAACTGAATGTAGTGCAAAAGTCCTGCATGCTGCATGGGTAGGACATGGTTGGTTTGAACTGTGTGGTAATAAAAAAACACTTGTGGTGTTTTGCACAAGCGCAGTGGGCGGGGCTTAATGTATAGGTCTATTGGTGAGAAAGGTGGCATAGAGTACAAATGGCCTATTTTTAACTGCAGGGGAATGCTGTACCTCAGCATGGTCGCAAGGTAACAATAGTGCTCATGTGCTTTCAATCTCTCTCTTTGTATTCACCAATCAGGAGTCCTATTGGTTATCAAAGGTTTACTTCAGTAAAACTACCGACATCTGTCATGGGTGACTTTTAAGTACACCATGGAAATCTCTGTGGCCCATAGAGAAGGTCTAGAAACAGAACATTTTAGGAAAATCTTAGGCTGCTGTCAAATTACTTGCCTATGGCCAGCAGCAATATACGTGTCTATAGATCTCTCTCATAGGATGCCATCTTTGTAGGAAAATTACAACTGTGTATTCAGTGTCATCAGGTGCGTCATCACAGTGTGCAAAACACATGTTGCTCAAAATTTCTTCGAAATACAGCGCAGCCAATGCGCGTCACGAAATTTGACGCCAAAAATGCTGATGCATGTGACAATCTGTAGGAAGTGACGTCATTTGAGAGAGACCTATTGGAAGTGGTTTCAGACACCAATGACACATTTGCCATTGCAAGATATAACCAAGTAGTTATATGGCCTAAACTTTCTTTCTCCTAAAAAAAATTTGATAGTAGCTCTTCAAAGGAAAAAAGGTCAAAATATTATTTGTCATATTTCTTTTTCCTATTCACTTCTCACTTTGCAAAGATGCACTGCTCTCTACGGCACACCGACCATGTTCATCGATATGCTGCATCACCCGAGGCTGTCTGAGTTTGACGTCTCAAGCTTGTCTACCGGTGTCATGGCTGGGTCGCCATGCCCTATTGAGACAATGAAGCAGTGTATCTCACAGCTAAACATGAAGGATGTCAGCGTAAGAACGACAATCAATTTAGAAGTGTTTTTTGGAGTAGTTTGTCATGGTTTGGGGAAGGGCTAGAACGGTAATACTTTTTAGCTGCGGGTAGCAGCTCAACAAATCATCTTGTCTCTCCGTTTGTTTGTTAGTTAGTTAGTTAGTAACAAACGTTGACATTGTCTATTGCTCCAATATACTTGGACCGATTTCAACCAAACTTTGTTAAGAGTATCAGAAGCCCAGCCCCAACATGTCACATGACCAAACTAGGGTCAAATGTCATCATGGGGTCACTGGGGTCAAAATGCTGATTTTTTTACTCAGAAAACTACTCCTTTCAGAAATTACATGGCACAATCACGTGACGCTTGTTTTGGTTATTTGGGTAGCAAACAAAACATTCATGATTGATAGCCAGGTTCCTTTCTGTCTTTCTCCTGCTTGTTGAAATTAATTTCAAGGCAGTTACAAGTGGCAAGTTCATGAAAAGTAAAGAAAAGTTGAGAAGCTTTTGTTATACTTGTAATATATTACTGTGCAAGGATACAAACATTTCTCAGATTTAGAAGATCTGATGTAAGACACAAGTTTGAAATTTCTCATGGCTGGCTGCTCTGTGGTGTTTTAATGTCCCTCAGAATTTTTGCACTTTCCTGTTTCTGTTAAATTACCTCATAAAAATTCTAGTTTAAAGTGACTTCACAAGGGAAACGGCAAACGTCACATGGAAACTTCAGTTGCTGACGTTATGAAATTGGCTTAGATATTGCTTTCGTGTGCAGTGTGAACTGGCATTTAAAGTATATCTAGAATCCTTGGTTATGGAGCAAAATTCCCCCCCCCCCCTTCATTGCAGATTTGCTACGGACTGACAGAAGTGTCTCCTGTCATCTTCCAAACTCGTCGAGATGATCCCATTGAGAAGAGGGTGTCGACTGTGGGCAAGGCAACGGCCCACAATGAAGTAAGTTGTGTTGTAACGAAATATGAGTTCCATATGGATGTTACAGTAACATGCGCTCATGTTGGCTGACCATCGTTGGAAGTTGATACAAACTTCCTCTTTTCTTGAAAATGACAGCACACCAGGTGCCATGATTTCACAGGATGATTGAGACTATTATTCACTTACAGTCGAGTAAGGTATTTCATAATACTTTGGTATTTTGTTTTTTGATGTTTGCAAATGTTGTATACATGTATTACCTTTATGCATGCATACTTCTTTAGCTGAGAGTTAAGATGAAAAAGCCCTAGCTCGGCACCCGATTTCATCAAACTCTTCGTAACTTACGATGCATCGCAGCGCTGCGACGCGTCATATCCCTACGATGCGTCGCAGCTGCGACGTGTCCTGCGATCCATTTCACAAAACACGTCTTAAGTGCGACGCGTCGAATGTTTATTTATAGCACAACTCGGTGACTGTTTTATGTATTTAGTCAGCGTACAGTAAACAGTCGTCGGATCTCAGCTCAAATTTGTTAAAACATAAAACAAAATGGCGGTCGTGCGATGCAATTTTGAAGAAAAACAAGCTCTCAGTGGACTGTTTAGCTACTTTGAAATTTCAACTGCAATATTCCAGTCTAAATCATAATTATTCAATGAATTTTTTATTTACAACTTTACACACATTGCCTCGGTATTATAATCTCGTTTATGTAATGTTTATGGCATTAAACTGGCTAAGAAAGGGACTCTTCTTATTTTGCGATGACCACTAGAAACGTCGTAACTTGCGACGTGTTTTAAGCCGTTGTCAAGGAACTTACGACGCGTTCAACACATCGCAACTTCCGTGAAATGGATGATACGACGCGTGGCGAGTTGCGACGTGTTACACGTCGTAACTTGAGTTGCGACGCGTCGCAGCGCTTCGTGAAATCGGGTGCTGGAAGTATACATGCTGATCTGGAAGGCAAAATTCTTAACTTCTGAGAATAGACGGGGGTCAAATTCCTTTGCTGAATGTGTTTCATAAACAGCTAAGCATCAGAATTCCTATTGTCCATCTGTATGCTCACCAAATCACCAAATGAAAACTGTCACTCGATTTAGGTGAAGATCATTGATATTCAAACTGGAGAGATCGTTCCACGCAACACGTCTGGTGAGCTGTGCAGCCGAGGATACACCACCATGATCGGCTACTGGAATAACCAGAAGAAGACGGATGAAGCTATTGATAAGGCTAGATGGTTCCATACAGGGTGAGTAAAAGATTGGGTGGTCATTGCTAGTCATGCTTTCTGTATGTCTGTTGCTTATTCTTCCTTATTTAAGAATGTTCAGAATTTAAGTCAAATGAACTTACCAGCTTGGTTTCCCCTTATTTTGTGTTTTTCAAAATTGCAGTTGCTCAGTTGGGATGCCAAAAGTCGTTTAAGTTGATCCTCAAAACTTATTGTACCAAATTTGAAGGTATTTGAATGAAAATTGTAGCAATAATGCCAAAAATTCAGTTTTGACAAAAAAACTGGTAACAATTCAGTTAAGCGCCCTCTTATGGTCACTGCTGTGCAACGGGCCAACCAAAGTTTCTGCCAAATTTGAGGAAAATTGGCCATCGCATACAGAAATTAGGATGTCAGATGTTTTGGCCCCCCCCCCCCCCCCCAAATGTTCTCCCCCCCCCCCAAATTGTGTTCTGGATCCACCCTTGCCAAAATACCCCAGTCCTGAAAGGGTTAAGACACAAAGAAGATAATGGGACTCAATTAGTCTTGGCACTCAAAGAGTAAGACCTTTTACAACCGTGTAAACTAATGTGTTTGTGATCAATTTTTTCTGCAGAGATATGGCCGTGATGAATGACGAGGGTTATGTATCCATTGTGGGACGCAATAAAGACATGATCATCAGAGGCGGGGAGAACATCTATCCGGTAGAGATTGAGAACTTCATGTATAAACATCCCAAAATTGCCGACGTCCAGGTATTATCTAGTTGTCTCAAGTAACATAAACTTTCTTTACTTTTCTATGAACTTAACCTTGTTCATCAGTGCCGGTACATTTTCCTTTTTTTGGGGTGGGGGAGTGATTCAGTTTTGACCAAGAACTTGGCGTTTAATATATCTGGGTGAGTGTGGGTTAAACTAGGGATAGAAGATTTGATGGGTCGGCGCAGTCTCTTAAAGCACAAGCAAAATCAGCATCTTCAAATTTCTACCAACTCGGAAATTCTAAGCCCAGAAAATGACCAATTTAACACACATTATATGAGCTTTGCATGTTCAGGCCAAGTCAGGCTTAAATGTATCAATTAATCTCAGTTTTTAAAGCATTCGTTTCACAATGCTTGCATCTATAAGTATTTTGTTTTGATATTTTTTTTTAATGGCTTACCTCGTTTTATTCAGGTGATAGGTGTTCCAGATGAGCGTCTTGGCGAGATAGTGTGCGCCTGGGTCAAACTAAAGGAAGGACAAACGGCAACGGAAGACGACATCAGGGACTTCTGCAAAGGAGAGGTCAGAGTTGAATTTGCTTACATGTTGTTGATTGGAGATTTTAGACGATAATGATTTGAGAAAAATCGTCCATTTGACTCGCTTTGACTTCTCTCTCTGGTGCGGACTACTATGAACACAGAGTTGGGATAAAATGAATCAATCAAAGTTAATCACAAGTCAAATCGTAATTCAGGTCACGAGTGATAGGGATAGACAATGACAAAAGGACGCCCATGATACGTGTATAGTTCATTGGAATACCTTACCACGTCATTTACTTGTCATTGACTTGTCATCGACTTGTGAGCGACTTGTGATGACTTGTGACCAACTTGTGATGACTTGCGATTGACTGGCAACTGACCTGTTGACTCGATTTAACTGGTTAGGAACATACTCACCTTACTTTCATTGCTAGTAGCTGTTAATTGGCAGGGTGAAGTCTTGGACCAGTATTCTCTGGTCTACTGCCTGCACTCCCCATAGTCTCCAGTTATCTGACGTGAAGTTTTTTTGCTTATGTCCTTGCAGATGGCTCACTTCAAGATCCCAAAGATCGTTCACTTCACGCCCGAGTTCCCGTTGACTGTAACAGGCAAAGTGCAGAAGTTCAAGATGCGAGAAGAGATGACTAGAATTATGGGTCTCAATTAATGCACAACGAAGTCATGCATGATCAGTGAGCAGTATTCGGTCGGAACTTTGGGTTTTGGAATGTTGTTAAGCAGCTGAAACTTGTTTTTACTGAACTTTCTTACTCATCTTAAGACAATTCTATCTGTGGCAGGCAAGGTGAGCCCAGGAGCACAAGTGTAATGCAAGATGGAGATTTTTTAGCCTCTAAATGTAACAATTCATGTTGCACAGGTTTCCAGGACAAAGAGGACGACACAACTCTTAGCCTGGCTGCAGTTTTCATGCATAATTATGTTGGACAGGCAACATGTGGTTGCTTCTGCTGTGGAAAAACATCAAATATATGTTTAACAGTTACCTCTTAAACCTACAGCAGGATTTGAGAAACATTTTGCTTGATATTAGAGCTCGAACATGTGAATTACATTACAACATTAAATGAATTCTCCTGTTGAGTTTAATTTCCTGTACATGCCTACTTCTCATGCACCCTCATGCTTAATGCAACACCCTTTTGTTATGCATGTAGATATTGAAATTAGGTTGACCCCTACATCATAGGTCGTTCTGACAATCTATGCACTGGCCAGTATCGGACTTTAAATGGCCCACCAAATGGCCGGCCATTTTGAGTCCGGGTTCAGACCAAGTCATAAATGGCGTCTCATCGTGGTTGCCATATTCGTTTGTACGATGCCCCAAAAGTCGGTTTTTTTTTTAAAAATTACTGAGCTGAGCCATGGACCAAATATAAGTTCAGTTCTGAGCGCTCAATCGTGGCAGAAAACAACAATTTGGACTTTGTGTCGACTGAGCTCCTTACATGTTCCAGCTTTAGTTATAAAATTCCTTTTAAGACAAATTTTTTTTTTCATTGATTCTTCACATTGAAAACAGAAAAATGTTGCCTTTGTTCTGCTTGTGGTGTTTGCTATAACTACACCTTATTTATATCTATTTTGGATAAAAGATAATTGTGTACTTTTTCATAATCAGTGTGTTCAAATTCAGATATGGTGAAGATTAGTATTATTCTGATGTATTGATTCCCTACGTCGCACAATGTGTAAGAATAAATTTTATTAAAAAAATATGTTTTCTGTCTTTACTTTGAAAGCCATGGGATATTTAGAGAAATTAAGAGAAATTTCTATTTTTTAAATGATGTTAACTCCCAGGCATTTTCTGGGCATTCAAAATGAGCATTAATTAAATTGTTTTTGTACATAATCCTTTGAATTTTTAAAAATCCATTTTTAAAAAACAGAATCTTAGTTCCAAATATTTTAAAGTGTCAAGTGCCTTCACACCTCTCCACACCTCCCCCCCCCAAAAAAAAAGAAATGTGGATATATGCACATTTTTTTTGTCTTTTCATTTTTATGTATGAAGAGTTTATATCAAAAAAACGTGATTTAGATATTTTGTTCCCTTTTAGAATCTTGCCATCATCTGGCTTCCCAAAAAGTAATTTTGACAGCGGGTTCATTCTTAACTTAGAAAAAGCTGTTGTACTCATTCTCCCTAGGGGGAGTGTAAAATCGTATTAAAATTGGAGGATTCAGGACTGTTATGGTTAAACTTCATAACAGTGCAAAATGTTCACCTTTTTCAAATGGATATGTCGCGTTTTGGACATAAACTCTTGATAAGCATCTGCTTTTAGAGCACTGTTAAACATGGTCAAATTGGTAGGTAATTTAGTTATCTGGAGTTGTATTAATTAAATATTTAGAACAAAATTAAGGAACGAAATACTCGCAAAATGTGAAATCAATGCAGATTAAAAAGTATTAATTCTTTCTTAAAATGTACATAATGTGACTATTCAGGATGCAGCCTTAAGAATAAAAATCGATTTATATTTTTAGTTATCAATTATAACTTTGTAATAATTTTTTGGACTTAGTGTCAATATCTTTATTCAAGGTAGAATAAATTGGCAAGAATATGCTGGACATTTGATCAATTGTCTTTTTGTTAATGCACATGTTCTTATTTAGTCGTTATAACTATAAAAAGTAAGGTGTGCTTTGTATACTAGACTTTTTCCATTAACCCTCCTGTTGTCTGATCAGTCACAGACATTCAAAACTTTCCTCCACTTCCCCTGCCATCAATTTTGTCGGTCACACCATGAAGTGACGTCGTGTGTGCACAAAGTCAGGTTGGCGTAGCGGTACTTTCCTCGCCTTCCACCGCTGTGACCCGGATTCGAATCCCGCCTGGGTCAATATGTGGATTGGGTTTTCAGTCCCTACCTGATTTCGTGGGTTTTTCCCAGAATATCTTCTGGGCATATCCTCCCACCTCCAAAACTGTAATTTCTTCTCATTGTCTTCTCTCTAAGTTGGTGTGATGGTTCCCCTGGGATGCTTTACCGACTATAATGATACAGAAACAGATACAAAGTCCTTAGAATGTATACAGGCTAGTAAAATACAGTCAAAATGCAATCGTGCAACACTGTTACTCGCTAAATTTCATCAACAGATAAAAGAGGTAACTGGTGTGTACAGCTGGCATATCAGTCACCTCCAGTCAAAGCATGGCTCTTTCAAACTAACAAGGGAATTATTAACTGTTGAAAACAGTTAATTAACACTAACTCCCCAGCATAATTTACTAGGAACCATACCCATTCAGGCAAATTCCAACACCCACATGGGAAATTGTACACACACACTGTTGGACTTAGTTTCTGGGGGTATGCCAACCCCAGTGTAAAAGACCATCAGTTTAGGGGTACTGTACCTATCCCAACAGATTTAAACAAAACCTGCTGCTGTTGAACTTTGATGGGTTGAGTTCGGTTAGAGTTAATTGATTAATTTTGACTGCTGTGATGGCGTAGCTGATTTTGTCAGCCAGAAAGAAAGGGAGGGTTTATAAAAAGAGTCAATTACATTTTGAAGCAGCATACAAAAATACAATGTTAACTACAAAATTTTAAGTATCACTTGACCTCATCCACACACCAAAATGGTATTTTAAATCGTATAACAAATTATACAATTTAAAAAGTGATGAGTTTTTCTCTTAAAACGTCAAAGTCAGTCTATAGATGTATTGCATACATCTTCCAAAGTCAAGCTATTTGTCAAGATGCTGACAAAAACATCCAACGAGACAAACAATATGGGTTCCTTATGGATGACAAGTAACTGATCCGGTTCAAATAATCTTAAAAGGTTAAGGTTAATGGTTGTTCAGAAAATACCCACTCACACAAATAGTGTGTGTTTGTGCTTGTGGGGGGAAAATACGCCTTCACAAAAATGCAAGCACACACGGAAATAACAAGAATTTTCAAAACATAGCTTTCAGTATTTTATTTTGGTACAAAAATTAGGACCACATTTTTTGTTCTATCATTTTAATATCGAGAAGAAGACAATAAAAGGAAAATAAATAAAATTACATGTATTTCATTATCATTTTGATCCTTAGGATAAATTTTTCTGTATCAATGGAAAAAAAAAAATCGCACACATAACTTTGTATCATTTACTATTAAACATTTACTTAGATTTCTTGACGTAATGTACAGCAACATAAAAGCTGGTGGCTACATGTCGTCATCCGCGTAACATAATATTTACAACTAACTGAATCGTACAATGGAAACAATCTTGTTCCTTTTCTTACATTAAGTCAATTAGTTGGATATATAATTAAAACAATGAAGCTCATATCTATTCCAATAAAAGAAAAGAAAAGACCAACTGCGGGCTTAATGGACAAATACACATCAAGACTACAGACAATCAAACGGGTCGTACATCAAAACATTCCAAATCTTTTTTAAGACCATGCTCAACCAAAAATAGACCCAAAATATTGATGAGTTTTTTTTCCTTCAAATTAAAGGTCATTATATTTTTTTCATCTCATATTTTGATATTTTTTAGATGAACAATCTCAATGAAAACAATCCGTGGACATTTCAATCTCTGATCCATTCTGCTATTCAAGGGAAACGTTACAGTGAAGATCCAACCGTACATTTTGTTGGCGAGAGCAATTTGTGGAGTTGTCAAGCATTTAATGAGGACAATGCTGATTCTTTCACAAAACAATTTTAAAAAAAATAGCCAGACCGACAAACAGACAAACTTCAAAATAAAAACAAACAAACAAACTGATAGGTCATCGGTGTGTTTTCATTTTACACATGATACGACAAATCACAAACTAAAAACCAAATTCGACTTGGGACTTATTTTTTTCCCCATTTAATTCTAAGGTAAATTACTTTTTTCAATGTGGCCGTTTGTGGGCAAAAACTGAGTTGATAAGTACTTAAGTACGTTGTGTAAGAAAAGTAATTTGTTGATTTTGGTTACACGGGATCTAAAGCCAAATTCCCATCTGTGAAAGTTCATTTTTTTGAAGTGCACTTTCCACAAATTGTCTTATTTCCACTCAACCAAGTGACAAATCATCCAGCCAAATTTATAAATATCGAAAGTTACACCCTGAAATGAATCCTGGGCCCACCAATATTAAAATGGTTCATCAATGAATGACATTCATAGGTTACAATTATTGATACAGTTTTGCCCGCGCTTTGTTTTCCCCGTAGCTGTATGTGAAACTTCAAATGCTGATCAGGATAAAACACAAAACAAGTAACACTCCAAACCTATGGAGTATTTGCCAACTGGAACGAGCCATCTAACAAGGAAACAAAATGATTACCGTTCTGGTTGAATAAAATATCAAACAAATAAATGAATAAAGAAATATACTTTTTGTCTTCCTCATCTTTAACTGAAATGTCCTTGTGGAGTGATGGCGATTTTCATGTTGCAATGTCACGGCATTATAGTGTGGAGAGTTGTGACAAAAAGGCCCCACGATGATAATGGAAAATAGGCAAGCCGAAGCTGAATGCTCCACTGCACACTGAAGAGCTTGTTAACAACTCGTCCCCAAATATGTAGTTATGACAACTCTCTACAGATTTAGCAATGCTTCGAAACATGCACCAACAGGAATTAAGGAAATTCGTTGCGGACATTCTAAAAAAGTCGACTCGCATCATCAAAACCAAAGTTACAAAATCCAGTCCAACCAAACCTATTTTCTAAAAAAAAAAAAGAGTAAAAAGTAAAAAATCCAACCAGGAAAATAACTCGTCAATCGACCAGGAAAAGAATTGTTTCCAAAAAAGAACCATGATTTGTCCACCAAGGGTATTTTTCCTGCTGAAGTTGACTTTTGTCCTTCACTAAAAATGAAGGCAGTAAAAGCAGGAAGTTAAATTGCTCTGCCTTGTCGAGAACAGGGAAACAACTGGGCCCACGACATGGGCGGGACTTTTTCAGGTTTTTTTTTATTTGTAATTTTTTTACTTTTGTTACACACAGTGATTGGTTGAGCAGGAACTATAAACAGAAACTATGATACAACCAGGTGGTGGGCAGGCACCGACTTTTTGGGGAAGTACCGGGGAAAAAAAATTGTCCGTCCATGACGTCTACCCACTATGTTTTCCTTTCTCTCATGACTGAGCTCTGATTATGTCAACCAAACATGGAAACAGCGTTCAGTATTCATACCCTGTTGATGATTTGGTTGTTTTGGGTTATTATTTTTTTTGGGGGGGGGGTGGGACTTTTCGAAACAAATATGTTTCAATTGTGTCAAAGTCAAAAGAACGAGCTCCAAATATGAGAAATTTTGGGGACAAACAGACACTGCTACTTTCATTTTTGAGATGCCCATCCACAGAAATTGTGTTTTTTTAAATATATATTATGTTCCATTTCAAAATTTTGACCAAAAGCAAAAAGTCGGCCTTGTAAAATATGAACTTCTAAATGAAGGTCACCATTATCTTTAATGGAATTTGGAGGTATTTCCCCCTCCAATTTTGGTTTCAGAACACTATGCAATTTTTCATGCCACTGTTAAAGAAAACTTCCAATGTTTCCTGGTTTTCTCCAGAAACTGTTAATACTCTTCTCCTGAAGTGAATAGACAATAAGTGGTTCAAAACCTAGAATAAATTGAAACAATAAAAATTACATTTTGTCATATACAGAACTCGAATTATAACACTCTATGATTCATTTAACCATGCATCAAATCAGATTGAACCCTTTAGTTAAAAAAATACAAATTTACAATCCCTTCATAAAATAGGCTTTTGCTGGTTTTAAAACATGCAAATAAAAACCAACAGAACCAACCAAATGTTTTAAATATTTTGTCACTTTTCTCATTCATAAAAAAAAAATCTGCCTTAACAGATGACCCCCTGGTAAGGCAAACTCTTTAAAAATTCATTTTTGAAAAGAAAAGGTTTGGAACCCCCAAAAACCAAGTTTTTAAAGCACACAAACACACTATGCCCCCTGACACTGAAATTAAAAATGTTAACGCAGCCATATATAAACCGGAGTTGTTGTGGAGCCTGTCAAAAGACAATCACAAGTCATGTTACAATTAAAGGTACACCATTTTGCAGCTATCCAAAAAGCAACCGCCAAATTATTGTCAAAAAGCTTACATGGTTTAAAGACAGTAATAACACTGTCATTTCCAAAGAGGTGTCAAGTGACACATTTTTGGAAATTTCCGTTTGTGTAGTTGGTTTGTAATTGGGCGAATCCGTGAATAAGTGCAAGCGTTGACACGACGCACGCGCACGCTACCATTATTCCTCAGTTCAGTGCTACAATCGGCTGAATGAGAATCATGTCTCGAATGCCGATTTTGGGATTGTGTCACAAGAGCGCACAATTCAAAATATGACTCGGCAACTTTTGAACTAAAATCGAGATCCAGAATATTGGGGTTTCTCCAAAAATACAGCATTCACAGAGCTAAAACTTCATCAGGTTAGTTGTCAAGCGTCCGCGAGCGATCTTTAGATTTTGAGCACTTTTGTTGCTTCAAACAAACAAAAATGCAGAAATGACAAATGGTCCATTCTACTTTTACGATGATAAACGACGACACTTATTTTTCAGAATTTTGCTTGAATACCTCGAGACTTGAAATTGGATGACTTGTGATGGACTTATGACTACAATATATGCACTGAGCCATTTGGTGAAATTGAAGTATAGGTCTTCTTTTTGAGTCTCGCTCACCATGCAACTATTCAAGGTCAACTGGTAGTCTGCTGCAGCCCGGTTCCCCGCCAACGATCGCCACCGACAAATCTTGCCTATCTCTGCTGTAAAACCATACGCCGGTCATAAAACTCAACAGGAGTATAGACAATGACAGCAGCATCTTTCATGCACATGGACACTTAAAAAACTACCATGCAATTTTTCCACATCTATAAAATACTTTAACTCTACAAAAAAAAAGAGAGTAAAAATTACATGTACATCTTATAAACATAAAGTTATCATTTATATAGCTACACGTAAATACTATCTTATCAACATTAAATCATCTCAGAAAAAAAAAGGTTTTCCAAAAATGTACATTTACAGTTTTATATTTTACCGACTACACAAAAAACAAAAACCATAACATTTATGTACACTATGATGGATGACAGATGACTTTCAAAAGACTCCATATAAATTTGAGAAATGATCTATTTATACTATACAAATACTTTCTTTGATAAAAATTGTATTAAACAGCCAAAAAGTCTCCTTTTTTTCCTTCTTCAGAGAATGACGTTATCATTTTGTACAAAATAGTTTTTCAAAAGCACTGACTCTCTTTTTCTCCTTGAACACAAAATTTTGTTTTTAACACGGTTTTGAAAAGTCTTCCGTGGAATAAAAATTAAAAACAAAGTCGTTTAAAAACGTTAAAAAAATGGGAAATTTGTGACTTTTAGACAGAAATTGAGCAAACTCTCTCTGTATCTTTTGAGTCTAGTAAAATATTGGCATGAAATTGATAGACTTTCGAGTCAATAATGATTGATTCACTTCTAATTTTTTTTTTCTAGAAGATATTATTGCCATGAATACTTTTTTTTAAATTTGGAATTACACACTTATACTTCAGCCTTGTAAAAATACTATTTTGCGCTTCTCCATGGAGCAAATGATTATCCAGAATTTTTTTAGGGGGGGGGGGTGGAGATTCGGAGAGAAAAAAAGTGTTAGGTGGTCTTTATTAGCTACCGGTAGTTGTAAATTTTGAATTTGTTTACCTTATTGAAATTCTTATAATGATCCTATGATATTTGCAGTTCATGTGCAATTCATCAAATAAAAAATGAAAAATTAAATCATCGTATTTCTGACAGATTATGTTAGTTACTCTTTTTGTCAACCAAGAAGTCTACATAAAGACCACCCAACACTAAAATCATATTGCTTTTCATCCAATAAAATGAAAAGTCATTTCATTTTTTAAATTTTTTTTTGGGTTACCAGGCTAGATTTGTTACAGTGGTGAACATAACGTTGATAATTCCATGCAAATTCAAATGTCATGCGACACGGTTAATTTCCCTTTTCATTCAAAATTGGATTTCCTGTCTAAATCACTATTAAAAACGACGTCTGAGTGGAGCCACACAATACAGGATTGGCACTTCCGGCAATTTGGACCAGTTCAAGCCGGCCCATTCAGCACAATGCAAGGGGGTAATAACAATGAGCGACGAGACACCGTATCTAATAATGCTGTATGTAGTTACTTGAGAACAATACAAAACCATGCTTCAAAGCATTGGGGTAACACACATGCACAATGGATCAATGCATAACGGTACCGGATAACTCATACATTTAACACACACCAGAAGTCACAACGTTTTGTTGTAAACAACATTTTGTCAATTTTGTTCATGTACATGTCACAGAGAGATCTTAACTCTTTCACAATGAGAGGAATTTTCACAAACTTGTCGTGGTGACTGACTTTAAACGTACATGTACATGTTTTTAGCATGAAGCAATTTCCCTTCCTCAATGACGTACAGTGACGTGTGGATGGGTTTCATAAACGTGTGCACCTGTGTTTGATACATGTACAGCATAGCACAGATGATCCACAGTATTTCATTCACAGCCAAAGTGCACGATTTCAATGTCTTGGTTAAATGGTTCCGAGTTTTCCTGCAGTGACACAAGCTTAAAACCCAGCAAATTTGTTACGGATCCGTATTCCTGAATCCCACATGCACATGTACACATGCACGCAGTTTCTTTGATGTTAAAAAAAAAACTGCCATGCAACAATTAACTGTTCATGTGTGTCCAGACAAAAAGGCGTAGTTCGATCAAGATAAACTTGGCCAGAATTTCAAAAACAAAATCATCGCAAGCACTGTTAACAAATTCATACAACGGAATTTCACAACCCATGATACACAGATAGGCGATTCACTTTACATACATGTACAGTGCCACAGACACAATTTTTAACAATGGGGATGTTTTTGTTGTTGTCAATGCAAAGCAATGAATGACAGCAGAAGCATTTGTAGTGAAGACAGAAATCTGGGTGTCACCATAGTACAGTATGAATGCCTTGAAACAAATGTCTGCCTTTGATAAATTATAACACACTAAGCAGAGCATAAATTTAAGTACGTAGCTAACCAGGTTGTTCTCATAGCTATTACAAGGTCTGCACAATGCCCTAACTATGCAAAGTACATGAAAATGTATACTGCATGGCTTTAGGCTATCTATGGATAACCAATGCATGTATTACATGTATGTAGTAAGCTATCAATCACACTGACTCAATCATTATGAACAAAATGATGAGTCTCTGATCAAAGACTCCAAACCTTTTTTAGTTGAGGTAGATGGTGAAGACGATTTGTGTGTGTGGTTTTTTTTTTTTATAAAGCATGTTGCAAACTGTAAAAAAAAAAATGTGTAAAATGCGAGGGGCACTGATATGAATCATTCTTTTGTTTTGAGGATATTTTCCAGGAGGTCCAAATCAAAGTCAACATTGCTCATGGTGTTGTTGCCTAAGTTCACGTTAGTGTCCAACAGGTCCATGGGTACCGGCAAGTGGCTCGAGTTGGCTGAAAAAGACCCCTGATGGGTGGTCGGCGTGGCAACCGAAGACATGGCGGTTACTATGGAAGGCTCAGTGTGATTGGTCGGCTGCATGACCGCGGAGGTCACGACGCTTGGCTGGTTGGCGTAACTCTGCTGTTGGAGCATGGCCTGCGTTGTCATGCTGGTGTGCAGGTTCATGTTCTGCCCCGGCATATTCTGCATGAAGGTCCGCACGTTGGTGCTGGTGCTGACAAGGTTGTTGGGAAATCGCACCACCGTGGAGACCTGATGGGCCTGTGCCACAGGGTTACCGCCCGCCATGGCACTGGTCCCCTGGGGATTGTGTGTGGACATTTGTCCTGGGGTCTGACCCCTCATCTGCTGCTTCATGTACACCGCAGCTGCTCCTAAACCTGTCACGGTGTTTGGTCCCTGTACCCTACTCCTACCAAGCTGATTCAGCATTGTTCCTGCCGGTTGGGCCGCCTGGTTGGCCATTTGCATATTATTCACTGCCCCACTCTGGAGCAGCTGCTGCTGTCTACTACGGATATACTGGGCTTGAGCCTGATTGGGGTACATGCCCTGGGTGAGCTGGGTACCCGTGGTCCCAATCTGTCCAGCCGGGATCATAGTCTGATTGGTTCTCATAGTCTGATGATGCAAGTTGCCTTGCTGCAGAGTTTGCTGCAACGGAGCCCCTTGTCTGACAGTTCCTGCCATCAGCGGGTTGTTGCCCATCCCCCCAGTCATTTGGTTAGTAGCGGCGTTCGCCGTCTGCTGCATCAGCCCAGTTGAGTTGGCAAAAGTTGAGTTCCGATGCTGGGTCTCGTCGTATCGCGGTGGCGGTCCTCGCTGGTACATCTGAAAATCCTTCTGCTTCTGCTTCTGCTGGGCCACAAGTTGGCGTTGTTTAGTGAGCAGCAGGAACCGCTGCTCTGGGGGTAGTTTTTGCAGTTGGCTCTGCTGTTGCTGTTGCAGGAGTTGTCGCTGCAACATCTGCTGTCTCAGTAATCGCTGGTTGGCTAGGGACAAAGTCGGGCGCTGCTGAACAAACTGCCCCGTTTGCTGCTGTTGAGCTTGCTGAGGCAATTGCTGCTGCTGAGTCCCTGGCATGTTCTGTCGAACCTGCTGGATGGCTGCGTCAACTGGAAATGCAACAGGTTGTTGTTGCTGAGGTTGGGGTTGCTGCTGTTGCTGCTGCTGCACCTGTTGCACCTGTTGCGACCTGTTCTGTGCAAAAATTTGTGCCATACTTGGCAGTCTGCCAGTGACCTGACTGGTGTGGGCAAACCTGGCTCTATTCATCACTGTGTTAGGGTTTTGATTGCTGCCAATGGCACCAGCTAAAGTGTGGGGTCTCTGTTTCAGCTGGTCCTGGAGAGACTGTAGAGACCTAGACATTGTCATTCCAAACTGAGAAGCTGTTGCAGTGATACCACTGCCCTGCTGCTGTTGCTGTTGTTGCAGTGCTTGTTGTTGCTGCTGCTGCTGCTGGTTGGCATAATGGCTCAGCTGTGTGCCTGGACTTGGTCCACCATGCTGCTGTTGTGCACTGCGATAGTTCGACTGCAACTGAGCAATGGCTTTCTGATTCACAATTGGTGGCGTCTGCTTTTGGTTCACAAGATTCCCTTGTCCCTGTTTCTGCTGAAACTGCACTTGCAGCAGATTGGATCCATCGACAGTGCCACTGGCCTGGGGCTCAATTTTGATATTAGTTGCGTCAAAAATCGCTGGATTCTTAAATTCTGCAATGGCCGGCAATGGTCCTTCCTTTCCTGTGCGTGCATCCGTGGCTACTGTGTTTGGAGGTCCTTTCATCATGGGGTCGTACGCCTGTGACGACTCTGAAGTGGGGGCTATCATTTCGGTCTTTACACGCTGCTTAAGGCTGCCATCCGAGGGGCTGGGTACAGAAGTAAAGCTCTGGGCTCCACGAACCATTGGAGCAACAGGCATCGTGGGAGCAGCTTGCTTATTGGTCAACTTAGTACCATCAGCAAGGTTAGGCATAGCTGGTGAGCCCCCAGCCATGGGCATGGTATCGCTGCTTGAGTTAATCTCCTGCGTAGGCTGGCTCTCCATGTTAGCCGTGTCGGGGAATGGCACATCACCAAGATCTTGCTGGAGCTTGTTGCAGATCTTATCCAGCTCGGAGTCAAAGACCTTCATTTGTTCTGGGTCATTTTCCAGCTGCTTCACGAATGCTTCTAGACCGTCTGGGTCATCCAGGAGTTTCTCCAGGACCTGACGCCGCTCTTCCGTCCACTCCTTGTGCTGACCGTTGCTCTGGCTGACCGCTGATGACGGTGGACGCTCAGCCGTCTTGCAGCCACCGTTCTGTGACCTCAGGTTGTTATTGCTAGCCTCAGCGGTGCTGTCACCAGACTGCTGGATGGTGGTGGTCACGGTCAGGTCTGTCTGCTCCCCTGTCTTCTGGACAATCTGGACTGAGATTTCTGTGCAGGGACGCTTGCTGGATGCGTCGTCAAACCCATTGGCCTGGGCGCCACAGATGTTTGGGGGATCCGGACCGTTGGTCGATTCAGAATGAGGTCGTTTCCGTTCCGAGTGCTTGTTCTGAAACAGCGAAAACAGAAAGAACATCTTGGTAAGTCTTGTTATATATTACAAACGGGTTATTTCCTGCAAATGAAAACAAAGGAGGCGTGTATTTATTGGACAATAATCGCAATGGAAAACTGTGATTTTGAACACACCATTTCAAGCTGAATTTGTAAAATCAATTCACACTGGTTTTTCTGTCTGAATGTGTCTCCGTCTTTGTCAATAACGCTCCTGTCTCTGTCTGTAGCGTCACAAATTGGTGGTAACCACATGACTACAGCTTATGGCACCTGGACTATACGGTACTACATCGAGGTTTACAAAACATACCGAGTACAACATGGAAATAACTGATGTGTACACAAATCTGAAACTTTCTTTATACTGGGCTTGACTTTTCATCACAGAATGATGCAGGTAGAAAAATTCCCTAAAGAGTAACAGTCATGATCCAATGCTCCAAAGGAAAATCAATGCAAATAACTGAGATGAATAACAATTTTCTGGATGATGCTAAACAAAACGTCTGAGTTATGTTCCGCATGACTTTATTACCAAGAAACATTTGGCGACAAAACAAGCCTTATCTGGACTTGACAATATGACAAATATTTGGCAAATATTGCATAAAAGGATCACAACCGTTCCTGGTCAGGAAATTCATCAAATATTTCAAGACAACGAGGGTCCATTCCGAAACAACCTGATAAAAATGTTAACAATCTCACAACCTACCGGGACACAAACAGTTTTGACTTTGCAAATTTCCTGACGAGACTACCCTATCACTCTGATGAAAGTCAACAAGGGCCTATTCTGAACTGAACAATATCACAAATATTTTATGAATGATGCATACATGTATAAGTATTACAACCAACCGTAGTCTTTTTCTGTTCCATGAAATTCCTACTGAAGCTTGTCCCAGGTCAGTAGCATATCCAGGTTGGGGGTGCAAATGGGTAATTTCTTTGAAAAGTGGAAAAGCAAACCTTGATTCCCCACCCGATAAGACACTGCTCAAAGTACATAGGTCTTACTGTGCGCACTAATTACTTTGTACGCACTTTGCATTACAAATAATAATAATGAGCAAATCTATTTTTGTTTGGGCAAACATGGTAAATGGATGAAAAACGTGCATCCAACTGGTTGTTTTGTTTCCATCCTTTACAATAAAACATCAGCAAGAGCATTTTACAAATTGGAGCTTTCACATAGTATGTTGGTGCATTGAAATTTTACAGGTGCATTGAAATTTTACAGCTGTATTGTACCCTGCATTCAGGAAAATGTTATACATACCGGTACGCGAATACCTTTGACCTTGTGTACAGTTCACACTCAACGTGTACACACATGTTCAGTAACGACTATAATCCTCATTCCTACATGTATGAAAGGGAAATGCAAACTGATTGCAAAGCAAATGGCATTGCATGTATACACAGTCTGTAACTTTCCTGATATATCAATTGTAAACAGTTTACACTTCATCAATGATTCAGAACCTTTACAATGACTTTTCAAACAAAGAGAACATTAACATACACGGCATATCGAGAAACTGAGTTTCCTGTTTTGGATTTTCATGCACACGTGTGAATGTTTCCTGCAGCAAAATGTACAACGCAGTACCAGTACCAGTACCCTCCCTCTCTCACTGCACTGACAAATTCACGTACACCATCACAGCTGTCAAAATCAATCAAGTACCTGTTTTGACCAGTTAAAGAATTCCCTTCTTAATTTTATATAGCCATGCTTTGACTGGAGGTGATTGTTACGCCAGCTATACCTACCAGTTGCTTGTACCTCTTTTGTCTGTTGTAGGAATTTGACTAGTCACAATGTTTCCACAAATGTGATCTGACGTTTTTTTCTACTAGTCTGTATACAAATGCATGACAGAGGAAATGGAAGAAATTTTTGACTGTCTGTGACTGATCAAACAATAGGAGGGTCGTACATGTACGTGTATGCAGCACACATCTGTAAACATGAGCTGTTGATGAACACAAACATCGATTCAGTATTCGTACAATAACCTACATGTATATAACCAAGTCAATGTTCATGTATTGCATTTACGTAACCTTGCGGCGCGATTCGCAATCCCGGTTAAGGAAATTGCCAATTGAATTGAAGAAAACAAAGGACATCATACCACGTCAATGAATGGGTACGCGTAGGCTACTGCGGTATCAGGCTGAGAAAAGAAATTATGTCTTTTGTTCAAAGCTTTTTTCCAACCATGAGTTAGCAGAAAAATGTAAAACTTTTTACATGTTCCGGTATTTACAACACTTCTGAGCAACACGAACACGAGTAAAATTGAACGTTTATACAAAACTGTTGTACGTAAAATACTGTCTCCTCTTTCAAAATAACATGAAATTTTGAGCCGCTTTTATGGAAAAAAACAAAAGTGAAACCTCTCCGCGCCTAAACGACGGCTGAATCCCCAGAAATCTTCCAACTCTTCATTCCCACTTGAGTAACAGGAAAAGAGAGGAAGAAAGCCAGAGAAAAACAGCCGAGCGATTTCTCAGCGTCGATATCAACAGTCCCAAGAAACATTGTTCCCGGCTTTTTAATATCAAAAGGTCACACTGAGTGAAATCAAACTACCCGCTGAAGTCATCAGTGCTTTAGAAGAGAGAGAGACACCTCATAATGCTACTGACGGACTTCATAGAAAGTCAAGAGTCGGGGACTGGGCAGTTCTATTTTCTCGGCTTTTTTTCTCTCTCTCTCCTGTGCCTTACTTCTTCAGGATTATTAAATGGGGATTTACGCACTTGCGTGAAATACGAGCCATGGGTAGCGGCCGTTAAATATTGAAAGGCTAATGTATGATTTTGCATGAACAATGGCGTGCTGTAACATTCCTCGTCAGATATGACGTTAAACTGCTATAGATTTTCAGGATTTTTGCTTTCTTCCCTTATTTTTTCTTCTTGACATCATAAAAAATTGCTGATTGTTTTTTTTTTACGTTTATGCAGAAAACATTCCAGTGTACAGGTATGATGTTTGTTTTCCACTGCACTCGCATGTGCAAGTATCTCATACTGAAATGTTAACAACCAAATCTTGCAATTTTGGACAATCTTGAGTTTCGTCAAAATGTAAATTTTACCTTCGGGCATAGGGTCTTGAATCAACAGTCATCTTTAGATAAAAAAAAAACACACACATGAAGTTATTCTGAGCAAAGCTCAGAGTTTACTTCACAAATCTTGTGTCATTTCATGCGTACCGGAACCACTTCAAACCAGTTCCCCATGAATGTCAGGCCATTGCTACAATGTATATGTATATAAAGGTACAGATACCGTAGGTTTGGAGCAACTGGGTGAACAAAGCAGAAGAAGGTTTTTTAGGTTGTATCCCTTGTGTGCGTGTATATGTAGACGTACATTGTATGTAAAGATAATTCCTTATGGATGCTCTATGAATTTACATGTTATGATTGACGCACAAGCCTATGCAAGCGTTGGAAATTTACAAGCATGGTGCATGATGTGGAAGTTCGACGTCATGTTATGGAACCCTTAAAAGGGCATAACATTGTTCTCTTTAGTTCAAGCTGCTGAATAGAGAAGCTTAATGCACTTGTAGAAAAAAGGGGAAACAATGTTTGCACGCTGCTGTTTAAAGACTCTGGTTTGATTAAGTAAGCAAGTTGTAAATATATTAGTCATTCTGGCAGGGGAGTAAAGATTGGCGGAGGGGGAGTCAGGCGCAGGGGGAGTCAGGTTGGCGCAGCAGTAGTCAGGTTGGAGCAGCGGTTCTTTCCTCGCCTTCCACCGCTGTGGCCCGGGTTCGATTCCTGCCCTGGCCACATGTGGATTGGGCTTCAGTCCACACCCAATTCTGTGGGTTCCACCAGAACACTTTTCTGGGGTTTTCCTCCAACTTCTAAAACTGTAATTTCTTCACATGTTGTCTCCTCTCTTCAGGTTTCTTCAGGCTTGCAAGGTACACTTTTAAGGAATCCGTTACCAGAAATAAACAATATTAGTAATAAAAAATAATTCTTGTTTGAAAAAAAAATGTGCAAGTTTGCAACCATGACTTTGCTCTTTCCAGAAGTAGGCCCGGCCATTGAGTTTTCCTGTCCCACATGCATAGACCACCGTGCTCCGCTAATGAAAAATATCCCCTCCTTGTGGGCGAGACAATACGGGCGCGTCTATTAGTATTATACACAACTGGACTGGCTCAGGAAGTTGTCAATGTTAAGGTAAAAGAAAGAAAAATAAGTAGGGTTGGATCGTATGACCCTAGGACGAGTTGAGAGTTGACACACCCTCGGTAGATTACTCACGGCAGGCAGCTGGTTAGACTTGGCTGTGTACGTAGATTGTGGGCACTGCTTCTGTCCTGATCAGGTTTTTCAACACGTTTTACAGATTTCCTTCAGTGGCAAGAAACATGTGGACATACTCATTGCCCGTGGAGTATGTGTACATGCAATTTGCAAGTTACTGGTTCAGATCTCGCAAGGAAATTGACCAAAACTTCAGTGAGTGAGCACAAAGGCCATGTGATAGTGTACCGGTACCCGTTTGTATGCATTTATACAATGAAACTCCACTGACAAGTGCCGAAGGCAATGTGTTCATGAGTGGTTTGATAAAGTCTCTGCTCTCCTTCACATTGGTAGCACAATACAAAATGTTACTTTTGTCAGTTTTTATGAGTTTCTTTCAAGTAAACATACATACATGTACATGTACATGTACTGTATGATCCGAGAGACCTCCATTGATCTTTAATTCAGTGTCAGAATCAGGCGAACAAATAAGCAATGTGAAATACATGCACATGGACGACAACAGCAGGGCCATAAAGCAACGATACTGAACACTAGCCAAAACAGCGTACTGTCAGTCACCATGCAATTGGCACTGTACGCATGGCTGTATCGACATGTACACATGCACATAGGCCTACATGTACAATGTACATGTACATGTACATGTACATGCAGTCTGTGCACAATA